CGGGCTGTTCTTCCTACCAAAGCCTTTTACCCCAATTCTTTCATTTTCTATCGTTGCAATAAGAGCACAATTCCTATACCTTTTTATTGACTTACTTTTTCATAAAAATGAGCGTTCTGTTTCCTTCACTAATTACAGGGATAGAACTGGGCAAAGCAGATATGAAGCAATCTTGGGAGCAGGCTGGGAGGAGCAAAAATGAGGTCTTGAAGCAAGTTGGGAGCAGCATACGAGTTTTAAGAATGTTAAAATAGAGGACAAATGTCACCTGGTTTTCAAAACTAAAGAAAATATGGCATGCAGATAACTCCATGTGAACTCAACGGTAGTTTCATTAAGCTTTTTAGTTGCAAGTATTTCCCACAAAATTATGTGCCAATTACACAAAACACATAAAGCACAACTGCACATGACAGTGTGACACGTGATAAAACAGACTTGCAAAGGGGTAAATATAAACAGGTACAAATAGCTTCCATTGCTCAGCATTGCCTAGTAAGCTGTGCCAAAAAATAAAATGCAGGTACAAAAATGGTCTTTCATATTTCAGTGACTAAATAAGATAACAAATGCCCTTGTACGAATAAATCTATTGGGACTTGGTTAATTGCTCACAGAAGCACCTCACTTTTTTGAGATTCTGAGCCAATTTTGCATTAGCCTCCACTAACACACTTGTCCAGATTCAATCTTCTCCATCTCCTTTTTTTGAGGCCCACGATCTGGTGCTCGTCTGTTGCTCCGTCGAACGCCTCACTGCTTGCTCGCCTTTATTCCCAAGTTTTCTGCGCGGGGCCGCGGGGCGGGCTGCCGGATCGCAATAGTCACACGTTTGCTCCACTATTCAGATCTTCAGATAAAGTGACTCCAGGACTTCAGAAAAGCATGGTGAGCATGCAGCACTGGCAGCTAACGTTGGCAGCGGCAACCTTCAGATACAGATTTTCGGATTCGGATCCATTGGCGTCCCATTTGGGCTGGAAGTTCCGGTGTCATTATTGCTAACAGAAACTGCGAGACAGCTAATTTCGACGAGGCTCATTTATAATTTCAGTTCAGGCGCACTTTGGCGCAATTTTGTTATTATCTATACTTTTGTATCAGTGTGGCATATGAAAAGTCACTAGGTGCACAATGAGAATTGGTGCAGCAGTTCCATCCCTGTAATTTCGATATTGAATTTGAATTTCGTTTTTGCGCTTGAACACATTTTTTTTTGTTCTGGAGCAGAACCCGAACACGGCTTTTTTTCTACAAAACAAAACTAAAACCAAAAGAAACAAACAAAAATATTATATTTCGGCACCCTGGTTCGTAGTGGTCGTTGAGGGCTCGGCGGATATTTATGTTGTCTGCCAGCCAGTTATCAGGTGGCAGTTCACCACGTGGCACCAGTCATGTTTCAACTGATTGGCCATTTCTAGCCGGAAGTAAAGAAGGTGAACTTCTATAAAAACTGGAGAGCTGCGAGAGAAAGAGTGTGACTTTTGGTATAGACCTAAGTGCTCCATTGCGCGTCAATGATGTCCTAATCCCAAACTTTGTACAAATACTTGGATGTGCATAGTTTGTAAAACTAAATTCTGCCAAATAAACCTTAGATAACGTCACCCTCTGGAATCTCAAATTTGCTTCCGTCCCCCCCCCCCCTTCATTCTTCACTCCACTCGGTGGATTTCAAGTGCCCATGGGGAGTTCCCAACAAATAATACTTCAAATGTCTAGTGAGAAAATTTTTTGAATATTCAAAGAACAATTGAGAAAAGCTATGAAGTGCAATTGAATGTGATCTCCATGTTTTGAGAGTCACTTTTGTCTATATCGGTTTGAGTGCGCATGTTTTTGTGCACATCTGTATGAACATGCATGCTTTAGTACACATGCGTACGAATGCGCATGTTTTCACAGTCTAATCATAAATTCAATAAACAGAATCTCAACGTTTCGGCCACACAATAGCCTTTGACAACAGCACTGTGCTGGCTTTGAAGAAAAATTGGAGAAAACAACTCTTTGAAAGTCATGGTTCATCCAACGTGCAAAAGGAAAAAGAATCACTTTTTGGGTACTTTTCACAGCCACTATGTGTTGGGGCTGCACGACATTACCAAAGCTCCATACATCTGTGTGTATATAAACGAGGTGGGTCCTTGCCGGGACTCTAGCGTAAACCGACCCGATCCCAATTCGTCAGGGTTTATGGTTAGAGTTCTTAATTGCTGTCAATGTGTGTACGAAAACATGCAATAAGTTTGAAAATTCCCCACAATGCAGCATTAGGACGGTGTTGTAACGCTGGAAAAATCTAATTTATGTAAGGCGCGACAGCAACGATCATCACATGCAGGCGACACCACTTTACGCGGAAACCGGCAAACCATAAAATAAAGCTTGCACAAAGCGCTTCATCGTCCTAGGAGCTGGCAGAACTAATTGCAAAAATTCAGCATTCAAAACATTCTGCAGCAATACTGCTGAACTGAATCAGGAAGGAGAGCGCAGGCGAGATGGCAAATCGCAAGTGCAACTAAACTCTGATACCAAGAAAACATTGTACACTCATAGAAAGAGGTGCTTACATGTATACACACCGTGCATCAGTGATTTTTTCTCTTTCTTTTTCCCATTGGTATTGGGATTTAGTTATGGTTGCGTGTGGCAGGAATTTATTATTTGTTTATCCACCCTGATGCCATAGAAGAAAAGATGACTTCAATCAGTGTTCGAAGCCACTTTTATTGAGGCAACAGCGATCAGCTGAAGACTTTGTAGCGGTATCATCTGCCCCGTGATCGAACGTGGAAATAAAATAAAATTTTGGTGCTCTATGAAATAATTCGCATGATGCAACTAAGAGTGTTTTTGTTTGTGTATAAATGATACAATGCAACACTGCCATGTGAATTTGTCGGAACATGGACCGAGTCAAGTCATATTTTTGGGGCTTTTTGTCTTCCCATAGATCATGTAACTTAATGTCAAATAAAATTTTATTTTATTTTACTTGGAAATATAATATATGGGAGAAACAAATATGTTCCGTGGAGCTTTTGGGTGCAGGGGAATCTAAGCCTGTGCTAGCATTGAAACAACACTTCTGCTCGTCTTTGTTTCTGCCCAATTTGAAAAGAATGGGATAATTCCCCCCCTCCCCCCTCCAGCCCCCCAAACCCAGCTCCTTTGTTTCTAGTTCAAGCATACAAAGCTAAGCTGAGCAAAAAACTGGGATGTTTTCTTTTTTTTTTTTTTTTTTTTATGGAAAGAAAGAATTGTTTTGCGACTAGCGCAGTAGGAATCGGTAAGAAGGCAGCACCTGCAGTGCCACCTGGAATCGTAAAATATGCCTATTTAGTTCTTATTCAGCTGCGATATCCTCTTAATCTGCAACAGGGTATAGTTACTCTTTGCACAAACCAGTGCCGTAGCATGCAAAATTGATATTGTTTATTCATAGTGTTTTATTCACTTTGGCCAGGCAATGAATTGTATCATCAAATAGACAAACCGGTACCCATATGTACCGTATTATGGAGCTTTTATACAATTATAATCCAAGCACAAGTTGTAGAGGCTGCTTGTAGATCTTAATAGTAGTATTCTACAGTGGCATTCAGTCCTGTAACTGAACGCCTTTCATAAGGCCAGCCCCGCTAATGCCTCAAACACCCAACTCTGCCCAGAGACGTGCTAAATTGCACATTCATTACAATCTGCTTTCTTCAGCATTGCCAACTGGGTACATATCAGTGGTGTGTGCAGCCAGCGCTTCTGAAGACTGCTTGACATGCCAAAAATTTGCTTTTGTTTGGCACGAACCCCCATGAACGCTCTCGAGGACCCCTGGGGGTCCGTGGACCACAGTTCGAGAACCACTGGTCCAGGGCTTTGGGGACCCTAGGGCATTCAGGGATCCCAAAGGGTCCACGGGACCTCATTTGAGAACCACTACCCCACGCTGTGCTTAGCATTAATAAATACAACTGTTATGTGTTTGCTGTCCTCACTATGCGAGTTTCCCACAAGAACTTTAGAGCTGCTGTTAAGACGTGGACCTCCAGCAGCCATAAAGCATTCCCTAAAAGGCTTAGCTAGGTGTAGGGGACTGCCACTAACTATCCGGCACGGTGTCGGTCGCAACAGATCTCAGCGTTTGCAAAAACGTCACTCCCAATCACTATAAAATTTGGGAGGGAGATATTCGCTGACACGAGGAAGACTTGACAGCTCACGTCGTGTAGCAATAAGGCAGACTTCTGTGTATTTCATTGATTTGCATGTGCCAGCACCAGGCACGGCTGCAAGTGCAGGCTCGTTTTTTACTTGACATGTAGTGAAAAGAGCTTGGTAGGCTCATACTGACCCACTTTCAATTGTTGTACACGCGTACACAAGACTTAATATTGACTTCAAAGATACAACTATGTGGTGGAGCGAACAAGCCATCGTTGTTCCACGTTTGCCCACGCAAACTAGGGCATCTTAATAACCCAAAAAATGTGCCCCAGCCTTCATTTTATGTCGATCAGCAACACCTCCAGTATATATTTATTTATGAAAAGTTGCACATTTGAAAACGCACGCAGTGATGTTTGGTTGCGACGTAAAACTGGAAATCGAAATTGAAACTCAATGGTCAACTGGTCCTTAGAATGTGTCTTCCCGCAGGAGACATGACAAAACTGTTGGCCATAGCTCGCAAACAATTGCTGCCTGCGAGCATCAGTTGGGTGGAAAATCAATGTTTTGATTTCGGAACTCCTCATCTGCCATTTTAAAATTATGCTTGCAGCAAATTTTAGAGCATCAAATAGCATTTCCACACGGGCAAACCACCAGCTTGTGGAAGGCGCCATTCTACTTTAGATAGCCTGAAAAATTAGCACAGCTACATTACACGCCAGAAAAATATCTGAACAACACAGCTCTGGTTACGTAATCTTTCATAAAACAAGCCAAACAAAAAACAAAGAAAAACGAAGCAAAGGAGACGTGGGTCTCACCTGCCACAGCCTTCCTGTGTTGGGAGTCGAGGGCCTGGTCGATCTCGTCGAAGAGGTAGAAAGGGGCAGGGTCACACTTTTGGATGGCAAAGATCAGAGCCAGAGCCACCAGAGACTTCTGGCCTCCAGAGAGCTGCTGCATTTCCTTCATTTCACCGGACTTTCCCACAAAGGAGACCTGGGAACAAAAAAAAGAGCAAACCATCACAAAATAAAGCCAGATATGGTGGAAAGATTTAAATATCTCCAATGCTGCCTCAAGTCCAGATAAACACCCAAACAAACATTTGCCAAATAAGACTAAAAGGAGTGTCACACCCGGAGTAAGCTGCTTTTGTCTAGATACTAACTCTCCCCAACGAAATGAATACAGTGCAACTTTTCAGGGGTCGCCCTGCAATGTTCCTGCCAAGAGTGAAGAGCACACACAACCCAAGACTTTCAAGATGGAGCAAGTGGTGAGCATGCAAAGTGAAGCACGGAGATCATTGACCACTCGTAAAGTTACCTGAACAATAGATTTTCCCGATCTGTAGAGCTCTGAATAATTCGCGGATTACCCGCAGATCATCCGCGGATATCCACGTCAACAAGTGCATGTGGATAAAAATGAATCTGGTGGATCTTTGCAGATCGGATGCGAATTCCAGGGGCTGCGGATACGGATGCGGATCTACCTTTTTGCTGAGGCGGTCCATAAACATGTGCGACTGTAGAGTGAATGAGCGAGTGATGGTATGAAGTGCATCATCAAATGTTTTATGGGAGTGAATTACCCCTTATAAAAAAAGGTGTCGATCGGGAAGAAAAATTGTTTTTACGCCAAGAAAAACTTGATTCTCACCAAAGATCCCTTTAGAGCGTTCCATCTCGCCAGAAACGGTGTCTATTAAAAAGCTAAAGAATGCAGGGGCATCAATACGCCTTTCCAAAAAACGCTCCTAGGCCGCTGCCATGTTGCTGATGCGGCTGGTGCGACTCTCGCGCTCTCTATCAGCTAGAAATTTTCTGCCACTCTCTTGGACTGTGAAAACTCGCTCAGCACGATTCTCTACCTATGTTTTGCCGTTTTTCATTAAACGTTTTCTGGTCCCTCTTGAAAGTTTCCACTTCATTTTTTTATGCGTGCTGCGTACCCTTCTGTGTTAGCTTCCACTGTGACAAATAGAGCTGGTAAGTGCCTGCCACTCAAGCTTTTCTGCTCAACATTCACAGGAAATCAAGGAGAGGAAGGACATCAAACGGCCCTCGACGCAATTTTGCAAACAATGCCAATTATTCTCCCCCCTCCCAGAGATAATCCGCGCAGAGTCCTCTCCGAAAATAGTTCTTTGGGTTGGGGTGGGAAACGGATCAGTCACGTTCGTTCCTTTGCCTTGGTGCTGTTGTGAAAAAAAAGGAAGCTCTCCCCAAAAAGTGCCCCAAAACAAAGTCACCTTGCATTCCGTCCAATCGTCAAGATGCGACAGTTGTCAACTGTGACTGCGTTATTTGAGATCTTTCTCAAATAAATTCTTTTTGGATAACGCTGCATTGTGTGGTATGTACGCTATATTGTTCAAACGTCAAAACTTTCAAAATTGTATGTTTGCGTCCTGTCCATCGGTAAACACATTATTTGTGACCATGAAAAATGCGTGCCTTTCGGCTATCTTCTGTTGCAATTGATTTTCGACAGCTAAGCGCTTTGTCATTTGACATGCGGCTAATCGGTCGGCGACGTCAAAACTTATTGTAGAAAAAAACAAACAATGACAACTAACATTCCAGTCGCATTCGTCCTGTCGCGCGCATACAGAACAAAAATAGCTTTACAGGTTTTTTTTTTGTCTTTTTGTTTTTTCAAATGTGGTACAATGCTTTCTTAATGTCCTCGGGAAAATACACACACCATGAAACACAAAATACAGCAGGAAAAGACGAGAATTTAGCCACCAGCAGCATATGAAACTGTGCCTATGCAGGCTGCGCCTATTGAAATCACAGTCCACTCCATTAGGGTCAGCAGGGATGCCGGTGAGAGTCTAGCCTCAAACTCAGTGAGTGGGCTCGAAAACGGTTTGTTGCCCCTGGGGTTGAGTGTTTTTTTGGAAAGGTGTATAGACCCAGGAAAGCATGTGCTTGTTTGGCAAGAAAAGAACAAAAAACTTCCTTTGGCCAAAACAAACAAACAAAGAAAAAGCCTAAAACGCACAAGCCACGACAAAGTAGAAGCCTCCACGACTAGTGAAACGTGGTGTGTGTGTGTGTGTGTACATTTTTTCTCGACCTATGGTAAGTTGCTCTATGTAAGTGGTTCGGAGCACGCAGTTGCGGGTTTGTGTTCAGAACTGAAACCAATACGAGGTGTTGCCATTATTGAATAGTGTGATATTTTCCCAGCAGTGTACTCATTTCTTACCATACATATGCGACTACTTCACTGTGGTGAGCGACCACCTTTCCTCTTTAGTTTGTCCTTTAATGATTTTCATGTTTAGGAAATTGCGTCTGCTTGAAATGGGTGTTACAAAACAAAAAAAAATTTTTAAAATATTCTTGCACATTTTTTATGCAGGGTGTTGCAAACTCACAGGACGTTCTCATAACTGCGATCATCTTTCTAGCGACCCGTAGTACCTCTGGAAGGATTATCACATATAATAAAAACAAGATAAAGCAGTATACGCTAAAATGACTTTGCCCGTATTCTGACTTGAGGAATTTGTACAAAGATAAGCAAAAGGATTATTACAAGGTACCATCCAGACAGTTTTTTTAAATTCAATCTTGATTTTATGATATATGGTAACATACGCGGACATGTTAAGAATGTGCAAATTGTGGGTTGGATATGGTTCCGAAATATACGGATGCGGTTCAGATGTGGATACAAGGTATGCGGATGCAGATGGGATGTGGCTGATGATGATTACAGTTTTAATGGCGCAATGACAACGTAGGCCATAATGAGCCAATTCAAAGTTATTTAGAAGGCACTACAAAAATTGTAGAGTCCATCCACTTCACGAATCCCGGCCGAGGTGCCCGCAATCTGACGAAGGCTTATTGTGGAGGAGGCGCCGTGTAACCGAGCTTTCGGTTGCACGTTAAAAGATCCCCAGGTGGTCCAAATTAATCCTCAGTCCTCCGCTGGGGCATGCCAGATGCCCGACATTGGTTTGGCACGTAAAACCCCCAAATTTTGATTTGATCCACTTTATGTGAAGATGAAGGATCAGCAAAGCTGTTATCTTTACGATAACTATACGACGTCTATACGATTTACATACAATTGCAATGAAGACATGTACACGACGTCGTCGTTTGTTTTTATTTAATACTTAGTGACTAAAGTGATCACTGCCTTATGGTCACTTATGGTTAAGTTCTAAACCCAATTTTTCGAGGCACAACCCGAGGTCAGTTTCGTAGGATTGAGCACAAGCCTCTATCTGCATTGCGGAAGCAAAAGAAGGTTAGATAGGCGCGTTCTGCCCTCAGCCTCCTCACAGCACACTCTTCGCCTAGGCCTAGATAAGTCGGTGACTGTAGATGATAACAAGGGATCAGGACCTTACTATCTAATAATGCCAAAAAAGGCTGACTCATACGGGTTGCCCCCTCTTTTTATTTATACTTGCCACGACCAATCCAATCGGAACGAAGGAGCGCCGTTTAAACACGAGTTTTTTGTTAACATCCATGGACAAATGTTTCTCCAGATCCTAGCACATAACAGCTTCGCTGTAAAAGGGAGGTTTGGAATAGCAGGACAAAAATTACAACTGGTCTAAATAGCCAGTCTTTTTCAAGAAATCGGAAACCCAGTCAAACGACATAAAGGGCAGTCACTAAGTAAAAACATAGGACGAAAAGGCAGATGACCTCTGAAGAGTTCCGAAAAGCTAGATCGGCGCAGTTGGTGGTGAAAGGGACAATGCCATCAAATGTGCAACTTGTCAGCCCTTTCCCACGATGGGCACAGAGCTTTAGATCTTTGCCACAAAGGAGGTGCAGGTGTGTCAAGCGTGTATGGCCAATCCTCAGGTGGCAGAACAGAACCTCAGTGGCATTCCTTGTGGAACACACTTTCCCATAGTGCCAAAATAGGCTTAATGACATGGAGCTTGTTGTCACATTCCTTGTCCCATTCTAATTGCCATGACGCGGATGGGATTTGGATTAAGAACACTGAAGATGCAATTCGGGTGCTGATACAAAGTATGCGGATGATCAAACTCATCCAGGACACTACTCCAAAAGGCACACTTTTTCAACTGTTAGATTTGCACAAAATTTTCAGGGCATAATCAACCCCGCACCATGCTTTGCAATGCAAAGTGTCAAGTTTCTATATTAATCCTTCGAAGAGTTACATCTAAGTACATGAAATAAACACTGCACCCCCTAAGGAAACCTATTGTTTAGAAATGTTAATGATAATGGCCAATTCTTTTAGTGAAATATACAGTATAACACCTATGCCGTGTAGCTGTGAATAGAAATGACAGAAAAGACAATTTTTAATAAAAAGACTAAAGCAAAGCAAAACAATTTTTTTTGCATGCATCAGGTTGAAGGCACAGCAATTTTTCATAACAAAAGAGCATGAAAATGTAGAAAGCAAGTTCACAGTTCCATTCCTTACAAAATTTCAGTATAAAAACTCCAGAAACTGGCTTTGCACATCAATTCATTAACACGAGTTTTTCTGAACTGAGTTTTGATGACAAAAATTGGCTGCATGTTCGGTCATTCTGCCAAACATGTTTAAATCTGGTAGCTTTGTAGAGCCATCGTTGGCAAAAGGTGTTCTAAAACAACATAAAATTTTATTGAAACAATTTTAATGTTCCACAAGGCTTTCAACCTTATATTATTACTGTGGTGATTATGCAATTTCACCGCATGCCAACAGAGTGTGGCGATAGTCGGTGGTACTGCAGTGACTGTCATGGTTGTCGCTGTTTTTGTTGTTCTTGACGGTGTTACCGCTGTCTTCTGATTTGGACGTTATACAAAGCAACGGTTTATATACCGAGACGCATGCTACAAAGTCCACGCAACATAGTCCGGGAACGCCTTGCGCAAATACGCAATCGGTGGTGGTGCTGTTGCAGGTGGTCAGGCTTATGGTGCTGCTCTCAAGGTGTAACCCGTACGATTTGCGCAAGAAGTCGATAAACCACGGATAGCTTTGCACATTTCCGTTAAAATCTCCAGCGATGATCATGGGTGTCGTGTCACAGTCGGTCCCTTCCATGCATTTGAATGTTTTCATCAGTGGCGTATAACTGACGAAATAAACCGAGAGGAAGCGTTCCAAGTTCACTTTGGTTGTGTTTAGCGATATGTAGACGATGGTGATGAGCATGCGCACGCCGCAAATGATCGTCCAGACGGGGCCGACAGTGCGCCCTAATTGCTGTAGGGGGTGGTGTCGGCAATGGCGGTGCTGGTACCGACAATGACCTCCCCCTCCGACTGCTTGCCAAGCTGCGTGAGGGCCCCTTGGCACACGCGAATCTCTCCGAATTTTGAAGGTCACCAGGAGAGGGGAAGCATGTCTTACTGCCCTTTCCCCTCATCCTTGTTCCGCACTCCTCCTACACCCCACCTGTTTCTGCTCCTCTCTTTCTTGCCCTTCCACTCTTCTACACTCTGCGCACTTTCTCACACCACCTGCTTCTGCTCCTCCCTTTCCAGTGTGCAGGGCCTGTAGCTCAGTTAGCAGCGCACTCGGCTTCCACGCCGGTGACCGGGGTTCGATCCCCGACACTGGTTGCAGTTTCTTTCAAAGTCGTTTAGCAGTTACGGACTGAACGACCTCCATATTTCCTGCTTACGCAGCTCCTGAGGTTTGTTGGCCCTATAAAGCTACCTACTGCTTTAAAATTGAAACTGAGATAAACACGTTTGAATGTTAAAGAAGTTATACCTTAGATGGTGCTGGAATGTTGGAAATAATTTATTCTGAAAAAATACTTAAGTGCTGGAATGTTGGAAATAATTTATTCTGAAAAAATACTTAAGTTACAGGAGTGAAGCTTTCTGACAACATCAATAAAGTGATCAGCAAGCTGACAAGACTACTCGCTAAAAAAATGACTTGGAAAAAAAAAAAAAAAAAAAAGAACCAACACTTTAACCTGCAAGGTTAGTTCCCCAACACCTTAAAGGGATACTTCAACGAAATTTGAAATATTCCCGTCGTGTTCAAAAATAGGTTGAATATGATCCACAATGTCCGTAAATGACAATCGCGCGTTTGTATTTTGAGCCTGGTTGCTGTATTTTTCGTTATAAACGGCCCACTCTGGCAAGCGCTCGGAGAAGGCCCAGCGGAGACCACGTGACATTCAACGCAATCGTGACGTAGGTTGTCTCAAGACGAGCAAAGCTACGGCGATGCTGACGTCGAGAGGATGGCCTAGTCGTTCCAGCCACCAAAGCGGCTGCTTTTGTATGAATTTTGAGTGACGGGTTAATCTTCTGTAATCTTGTAGGGGGACAATAGCGACTTCTGCGACACACAAAAGGTATTCTCGGGAAGAGGGGAGTTCCTCCTGCCCCTCTTCTCTCGTCGTGGCTGGAGACGAGACAACCTCCGTCACTAGCTGCCAAGGTTTCTAGACGGGCATTACAAGCGGGGCGTTAGCGACATCCACCAGGTGCTCTTTGCTAATCGTTTAATTCGTTTTAAAATTCCTTTTCGTGACTTTTTTAACAAGACATTGGTATGTTCGATGTGATGCTGCTTTTTTGAACACATATAGACCAAAAAATGAGCGCCAATATTTCGATGTAGTATCCCTTTAAAGACCGACGACCAGTTCACACTTTCCACGTTTCCCCTGCTTCCTCCTCTCCCCCATTCTAACCTGACCACCGTTGCCTGTTCTCTCCTCCCCCAGGGTGAGAAGGATCTTCTGCCTTGCAGAATCCCGTGTCTGGTCGTCAGCCTTTAAGCGAGCCAAGCGAAAGTAAAAATAGAGCAGGAATCATCTGCAAACCTAATCACAGAAATGTACCCAAAGCGGAAGAGCTTCGAATGGCACGCACACACAAAAAAAAATTGGCTGCATGCTTCGTCATTCTGCCAAATGCGTTTAAATGAGATAGCTTTATAGCATGGTTAGTGCTTTTAGTTCAGGTGGTGCCTAGGGTAGGATGAACATTAGTCTTTCAGTGCCTGGGGTGGGTGGTGCTTAGTTCAGGTGGTACCTAGGGCACGGTTTTGTACGAAACAGATTACGCCACACCATTGTCTCTTTCGTGGCGCTGCACGCGTTTCCCTTCAGCACCACCTGGATACAAAGCTTTTGCACTGAATTTTGTCGGTGACCAAGAGAGGGGAAGTGCACCTTCCTGCCCTTTCCACTCCTCGTTCCGTGTGCTCTTTTTACATAACTTGTTTATGCTCTTCTCTTTCTTGCCCTTTCCAAAACCCTCTCCGCTCCACTCACTTCCTCACACCCCAAGCTTCTGCTCCTCCTGCTCCTGTGTGCTGGGTTAGTAGCTCGGTCAACAGCACACTCGGCTTCTACGCAGGTAACCGGAAATTCCTGACACCAGTTGCCATTTTTTTAAAGATAGTCCACGCAGGTGACCGGAGATCCCTGGCACCAGTTGCCATTTTTTTAAAGATAGTTTAACGGTTACGGTCTGACCAACCTACACCTTTCGTGCTTATGCGGCTCCCGAGGTTAATTGGCCCTTTAAACCTACCACTTTAAAAACTCTGCAACTCCGCTGTGTTGCATCCAAAAGTGGAACCTTAGAAGTGCCCCTTTAAGCTTACCCTTATTCCAACACCTGTGAAGTTGTCCACGGAGGGCGTTTGGCTCTCCTGGGGAAAGAAAGAGAGCAACAGATTGCTACGAGAAAACAAGAGGAAAAACAGGAGATACTTTGACACAAAAACATTACTTAGGAAAAATTCGAATTTGGGGGATTTAAGAGCCAAACCAACGACGGGCATCTGGCACGCCCCAGCGGAGGGCCGAGGATTAATTTGGACCACCGAGGGATCTTTTGACGTGCAACCAAAAGCTCGATTACACGGCGCCTTCTCCGCAATAAGCCTCCGTCAGATTGCGGGCACCTCGGCTGGGATTCGAACCCACCACCTGGGAATCCATAGGCCAGTGCTCTCGCCTCGGAGCCACTGAGGCGGCCTTACTTTGAAGATCACACATTTTACAGGTGTTACTTGAGGTAATAAGTAATTGTGTTGTGTGGATGTTTAGACAGCCGAAAGTTAGTCCACCCCAATGGGAGTCTGACATCTACGATGTAGATGAGAAATTTAGCCACTGCAGTAGCACTACTGCACCCTCTTGCAGGAGGCCGACGACCAGACTCAAGATTCTACAAGGCAGAAATCCTCCTCACCATGGTGAAGGAGGAAACAGGCAACAGTGGACAGGGTAGAAGGGGGGAGAGGAGGAAGCAGGCGAAAACTGGAAAGCGCGAACTGGTCATCAATCTTTAAGAAAGGAAGGACAAGCTCCTCCTGCGAAACCCTCCACCCTTTCCAGCTAGTAGAGCAAACGGCAGAGTAGAGGCGAGAAAAAGAGAGGGGGGACTTGCCTCCTCTCATGCGTCTGCTCTGCTAAGTGGGAAGGGTGGAGGGCTTCGCGGGAGGATGGTGCAAAAACGCGGCTGATGAGAGACGGAAAAGATTGCGCAGGTGGGTTTTAGCACACTGGCCTTGCACCTTATGCACAAGTGGCAACTTTAGAGCATCCCGGCGCTTTCCACACACTGCTAATCTTTTGCAATTTATTTATTTAGTGGTTTTCAATGATGCTCAGCAAATTTCTAATTTGACCCATATGCTTACCTTTACTACAGTCAAACCCGAATATATCGAACACGGACATATCATATTATGGCTTATATCGAACCCTTTCCGAACTTCCTTAAAAACACACATATTTTTTAGTTTATATATCGAACGCAATCGGACCACCAATGGACATAGCAAACTCCCCAGCGTCGAAAAGCATGCGCTCCTCAGCCATGCGGCAGGCTTTCTCGCAGTGCACTAACGCATAGCAGCGGTGCAGCAGGCGCTTGCAACGCTTGCACAAGCACAAGGTACCTTGAGCGCCACAAAAAGAATAGCGGCGGTCATGGTCAGAGCTGTGCGGACACGCCAACCAACGCTGGCACCAACCTAGATTCAGATTGCCGTTGTTTGTGTTTTGCTCCCGCCGTTTCCACCTGCGACGTACGAGTAGGCCTAAGCCATGGCTGCGAATGTGAAGGGAACGACGACGCTGACATTTGCGATGAAGCTAGAGATAATTAAGCGTGTTGAGAAGGGGGAGAAGTCAAGTGTGGCCGACGCCTACAACATTCCTCAAAGTACTTTGAGTACTTTGCTCAAGAACAAGAGAGCGACATCAAAGTGAAAGCAGCAAGCAAGCATTCGGATGCACAACATGTTCGGGAGCCGGACTTTCAAGAAGTCGAGGAAACAACGTAAAAGTGGTTTATGGACGTCAGGGCCCGGAGAATTCCATTATCGGGACCGATGTTGCAAGAGAAAGCAAGGGACTTTGCTTTCGTTCACAAGATCCAAGGCTTACAGCCCGAGTCCGAACAAGACCGCCCGAGCTCGACAAAACGTGGGACAGGTTCTCGTTTTGTGGGTGCTGTGCCCGAGACAATGAGCATAGACGACTTCGATGGCGACGATGACAGCAGGACTACGGCAAAGCTGACGGATATTGAAATAGCCGCCGAGGTTGCCCGCGAGTAACCTGTTGCGAGCGATGAGCCTGGTCCTGTGGACATCGAAGACGCTGCACCACGCCCCACCTCGAGCGAAGACGTGGCTGCCGTTGCTGTGCTGCGCCGCTATTGCAGTGCAATAGAAGGAAGCGGGCTTGCACTTGTGGATTGTCTCGACACCGTAGAGCAGGATGTGACAAAGCATGCTATTACCGCATAATAAACGCACTCGCATAATGAGCGCACCCCCCACAACGGGCATCAAAATTGTGACATTTCTTTTTTTCCTACCGTAATCAACGCACCTCCAATTTTCGGATCCGAGTCTCTCGAATTCCGTCCAATTTAGCAAGCCACCAAGCTAGTTTTCTTTTGCCGCCAAGCGGTCAGGCCAAGTCAAGCCAAGCCAAGCCAAGCCGCTCTCATAATGGCAATGGCCGCAAGTTGCAGTAGTTACGGAAGTGATCAACCATGAAACCGAGTGTCGCGCACACTTGACGAAGCTTGGGTCGAGGAATTGCCGAGCCCCAGACATTCTTCGCCTATCGGATGCACTGATGTCAACAAAACAAGCTGTCGTCTGTGGTCCGCTTTCGGACAGTGATATCGTGAGAGTGGTTAGGCCAAATTTCACACACTCCAGGTAAATGCGTTTATTTAATCCGTAGCAGAACGGCACAGCGAGGTGCGAGGTGCACTGTAGGCTGAGAATGTTTGGTAGCCCCTCCGTGAACGAAACTTCTTCAGTGCGAGCGGGCTTTGCTGGGGGGGGGGGGGGGGGGGGGGGGGGGGGGAGGGTCGGCGGTTGGACTTTGTAGGAGTTCTTGCCTCCGTGAACGAAACTTGATCTATGCGAGCGGGCTTGAGCGGTGGGGGGTTGGACTTCGTACGAGTTCTTAAACCGGTAGTCACGGATGTACCTGAGCGTGCCTCCAGGATACTAGCAATATACATCGTCTAAGAACGGTCGTGTTGCTTTACGTGCTGAGTGAGCTTCGTAGGGCGTAGGGTGCTTTTCCTTCGGTAAAAGGCACCCTTAAAGCGCCCTTAAAAGATTTGCAATTTATAAAGCATGGTTATAGTGGCGCGCCCCTGACCAGCCGTAGGTGCGCCTCCATCACTGGAGACATGCCAAAGTACCTTGTTGTGTCATATTGGCACCTAATATGACATTTGCAAGAAGTGTGTAAATGCAAAAATTTTACCCTGTGTAACAAACGCGCCCCCCCAAATATGTGTCACTTTTTCGGGAAAAAAAGTGTGTTCATTATGCGAGTAAATACAATAACTCTAAAAAGCAGACAACGTTGGCACAGTACTTTTCAGAGCAATAAATCGACACAGTGGTCTCAAGTAAGTGTTCTAATCAATTATAAAAGCATGCGGCGGTGAAAGTTACGAATAAGGTCATTACTGTGCCGATTACATGGCGCTTAAGTGTTTTTCTCACCTCATTTTATAGACCGACACGCAGGCTTGACGTCACGGAGCTGCGGCGGCGCTGCGATCGCGCCGGAGCCGGGGGGTGTGGGCAAAAGGGCGCACGTTTCGCGTGGGCGTCATAGCATTTCAGCATGCCGTGAAGCTGTGTTGCCGTTAATTGCACCGAAATGAAGAAGAAAAGCAGCGGAGTGAGTTTCTACAAGTTCCTGGCAGACTCTGAAAGGCATAGAAGGTGGATAATATCCGTGGATCGAAAAGAATGGTCGCCTCGCGCGAACGACCGTTTGTGCGGCAAACACTTTCTTGAACGCAAGTGCGGCTTCCATTTCAATCTCCGTCCCGAGGCTTGCTTATCAGCAGGGAAACCGTTGTTTGATCGAGACCACCCGGATTTTGTTCCCATGGTGTTCGCGCACAAAGCACCGGCCAAGCGCTCGTCGAAGGCTCGCTACACCCGTGCTACCCAGCAGAAGGGGATCGGCGAAAGAAGGGCAGTGTTGTAGGCGTTACCGAAAAATAAACGAAATACGTTACTCGTTACTTGCAAATAAAAGGTACACATTACTGAGCTACGTTACCTAAAAATAATAGGAACAGCAGGGCCGAAATAAAAAAAAAAATTCTCGATTCTAGGCCGACCAAAAAGTATAGGAAAAACACCATAAATTAAACACAGAACGGAACTTATCTGCAATGTACAGCACTATTTCGGTCACGAATCCGACGGTATGCTCACGGTTAATGTCCGCATTTTTCCTGATCATTCGTCGTCCTCACTGGTATCTTTGTCACTGTCCACTTCCCACAACGCGTGGTCATCCGTACCGTCCGGGGCATTCGAGATGCAACACTTTCGGAACGACTTTACTACCAGTTCCGCCGGGATGTCGTCCCATGCGGCCGCGATCCAGGTCGTGGTGCCTTCCCTTCCGCGGTCCTGAGAACGCCATTCTTGTTGCCGCACATGCAAAGAGCTGACCACGCTGCTTTCTCTAGCGACGCACATTTTTTTCGTCCACGCCAAAGTCACGCTGGGCTTGCAGGCTGTACGAGTGTTCAGCAGCCAAGACAACTTTCCTCTTAAAAGCCGCGGAGTAGTGGCATCGACACTTCAATGCCATAGCGTCAAGTAAAGACGAACGTTCCGTGCGTTCCGTGGTACACAGCGTATCTTCCCGAAGCGATGTAGACAAGATGGCGTCCCGCGGTCATGGCGGAGCCGGATCCTCGTATCTAGGCCGACCCCCGAGTTTCGGATTTAATTTTTTTGGAAAAACTATCGGCCTAGATTCGAGTAAATACGGTAATTTCTTTAAGACTTGGGAAGTAGTAACGAGTAACGTAACTATGTTACTTAAAATAGTAACATAAGTATGTTACCCGTTATTGTGTCGAAACCGTAACGGGTAGGTTACTACGTTACTGAAAAAAGTAACGCGTTACCAACAACGCCGTTACTTGTAACCTGTTATCGCCAAGACTGCAGAACGGACAAACCTTTACTGGCTGTCATGCCTTGTGGTCATGAGGGTAGGAAAAATATGATACCTTGACTTGAAGACGGTGTGTGTATTTAATCAATTAATAAATACACACACTTCCGCAGACCCAGAGTCTGCTGATCCCGCCGGCAGTGCGAATACCGACTTGAAGTAATCGTAGACCTCCAGAGACCTGTACGGCTGCACCGTGTGGGCCGTGAACTGGCTTGGCGAAAAAACTAAATATACGACGACGGGAGCTGTCGACTTCCGTGGCAGCAACTTTACGTCGGAAGTCCAGCAGGCCTTGTTTACGGCGTACGGCTCCTCGTGGGCAACGCCGTCCACGCGCAGTTTGTTTCGATACCGCTGCCGTTCAGGCTCGGGCCACGAGCTCAAATAGTCGGGCATAGCATACGACATACCTTGTGAGGAAATACGACGCACAAATAAAGATACAAGCGTCCCTACAACGTCAACAACGAGCGCACGCCATAGAACGCAATGGCGAAAACACGGAGAGCCGGGCACCTTTTGCCCACATAGCTACCGCGCATGCGCGGCCTTCCGGCCATTGGTAAACAGAGCCGCTCCGCGTGTCGGTCTATACATAGAGTTTTGGCTATATTGGACTGTTTTGCGATCTCCGCGCTGTTCGATATAAGCGGTTTTGACTGTACTTAAAACATACACATTTTTCGTTAATTCTTTTACTTGTCGCAAAGTATAGCCCCCCTATTTTATGTCTCCCTGGCCGTATACCTTAGCTGCAAAAACAGCTTTCACAGCTTTTTTTTTGAACCCCTTAAGTGCCACTTTTTTTTTTTCTTAAAGTAACCTAAAAGAGCCATATTTTTTTTATTTAGAAGATTTATTCCTCTAGTATTACTGATAAAATTTCAAAAGTTTATTATGCAAAACTCAGCGGAGTCGAAAAAAAAAGCGCCAACTACGAGTGCTGCCATCTATGATCAGCGCCGCAAATTGCTCGGACGAGCCTAGCTCGTCCGTGGAATTGACGGCTACCGGAGAGGACGAGCTGAGCTCGTCCATGGCATTTTTAGCCAGAAAGTGGCCGACGAGCTCAGCTCGTCTCACTTAAAGGGTTAAGCAAATCAGAAAAGCCTCAAAATAACACCCTCTATATCTATGAAGTGGGCTTCATACCATCATTAAAGGGGCACTAAAGTGCTTTTTGATATTCTTGTTTTATTGTTATAACTCAATCTACGCCCTTTAAGCATCCTAAAAAAAAAATCTAAATTACATTCATGCGCGGCTGATCTGCATACCATATTTGCTCGAGTAATAGCCACACTCTTTATGCAGAAAACCTGAGCGTTCACTTTACTGCGGAGCACGCAGATTTCCAATCACCGCGATCGACACCATGATTCCAGCTGTTTACAGGAGAAAGATAACGTCTTCGTGCAAAGATACCATCTGTGAAGATTGCATTTGTATAAAGAATCATGTTCTCGATCTGGTTATTTGCTATGTTATTTATGTGCAACGCGATGATTGGCTGTATATGTGTTCTGTGGAAAAGCAGACACAAGGGCCTTCTTCATAAATAGTGCGGCTATTACTCGAGTAAATACGGTATTAAAAAAGTGATCCAAGTTCTTAACACTTTCCGTTGCGTAGAACGACAGATGACATTATCGAACCTTGTTGAATATGGTCGACAGATGACATTATCGAACCTTGCTGAATATGGTCGACAGATGACATTATCGAACCTTGTTGAATATGGTCGACAGATGACATTATCGAACCTTGTTGAATATGGTCGACAGATGACATTATCGAACCTTGCTGAATATGGTCGAACGACAGATGGCACCTGTCAGCCACTCGCGAGCAATGGGTTCCCGCGTGGACGAGCAGCCGACCAATCCCGCTCATCCACACGGAAACCCATTACTTCCAAGTGACTGTCAAGCGCCGTCTGTCGTTCCACAATATTCAGCAACGTTCGGTAGCACCATCTGTCGCACTGTGCCGATGGTAAGTGTCAGGAACTTTGATCACATTTTTAATACGCAAATCGGCCGCGCATGAATGTAATTCTGTTTTTTAGGATGGTTAGAGCTCGCAGATTGAGTTATGAAAATAAAACAAGGATCTCAAAAAGCACTTTAGTGCCCTTTTAATGCACCTTACCAGGACACAAAATTATGAAAGAATTTCAGACAGGGAGCATTTCTGGCAATGCATCAATTCTTTCCAGATGAGACTGCTTTACGCGCAATGTTTGGGTGGAATTGGCCAATGAAACTATTTCACCCCGTTTATCAACGCACCTGAGAACCTGACTCTCGTTCGTCACTCTCTGTCTTCATGAGGAGCGTTGCATGGCCTTGCGGCACCAGTTTCTTGAACACTTCGCTGAAGTACTTGGACACTTGCTTGAAGGTCAACTGGATCGCCTCATATTTACGCATCTCCAGGGCATTCATGAGATCTTGGATCGACTGTATAGGAAGAAACAACTTACTCAGACCGAGTACAACGTTGGGGGATTTCGCAACAATGCTTCCCCAAGTTTAGTGCTGGACCCTATCCCACCCACCAAAATCGTGTTCACAATGAGTGTGTCCCACAGTGTAGAGTGAAATGTTTTAGAGTCAAACTAGCTGTGGCTGTGTAATGCCAAGAATTAACAGCCCAAAGAACACAAAACAGGCGTCGGCTTTTGCTCTAAACCAGCAACTTTTGGGGAAAAATCCAAGGAAAAGCGCGTTGTACAAATGATTGTCCGCCCCTCGACCTGAGATAACCCGTACACCACGTCACGTCCAATTTCTCCACATTGCTTCCCGGCTTCTGGGGTATCTGTGCACGTAGGCTTGTGTCCACAATATTTCCGGCAGACAAATTCCCCAAAAGACTTCTTCAAGGACGACAGGCAGTAGCTTTCTGCACCGAGCGCTAAATGTGGACCCTCTACACGACTGGACACCCGACCCAAGTCAAGAATGGGGACACGTACGCTGTGTCCTCGGTCCAGCTCCTCTTTCCTCTTGGCCAGTTTCTCCTTCTGGTCCGAAAAGTTGATGAACTGGTCGAGGGCCTTCTTGTTGACATGGCTGTACTTCTTCAGCTCGTGGTTGCTCTGCTCCAGCTTCTTGAACAACTGGGGGGGACAGAAGCGAGCCAGAACACGTAAGTAAGGGCTAGCAACGCGGCAGGTGGTCGGAACCCATTGTCGACCCCAAGAACCGTGCAACGATGCTTTCGTCCCTTTTTCCTCGGCAGCCAAGAGGACATTCATAGGGGGATCAGGGTTCTCAAGCTTGTTGTCCAAAAGAGAGCTAAGGAACACACTGGATTTCCCGCAACCAAACGGATTAAAAGCTAAGCACAGCGGAAAGCAGAGCGGGATGGTTAGACTCGTAGGAATGCCCTCAAACTGCGGACAACTTGACAAAGGACTCACTTTGCACTTTCCATTTCTGCTCATTTCCCCCTCAGCTATATGCTGTGTCCCCTTTCCCTGTCATTTCCAAAGAATATCCTACCCCCTTCCTTGAGTGCAGGGAACATGGCCCTCCCCTGTCCCTTCCTTTCCTCCTTCCCTGCCTTTGCTGGCTGGGAGGAGGAGGCGTCGAGGACTATCTTCCTTGCAAAAAAAACTAAGTTCATCCACTGGCCTTTCGGCTAGGGGACATAGAGAGCATTCGGCTGCGCAGGAAACTCTGACTTAGATTACTCGAGGACAAAAAACTTGTCCCTTTTTGCCCATTTTCTCTGTACCATATTGCACGATAGATGTGTATTTCTACAATTCTATTTCCTCCCAATGATTGTATAAAGTGAACAGTGTGCTGAGGATAAACGTTTTAAAAATTTAAAAATATTGACAAAAATTTCACTGCAATTTATAACTTCACGTGTTTATTCAAAGACACAATTTTTTTTTTTTTAAAGGACAGTGAAAATGAGAGATATATTTCTTCGGGATAATGTTATCGACCGCAGTGGACGTCGGGTTACGCGTGTAAAGTGACAATAAGCGAATTAATGACCTAAAATCCGTAATTAACTCATTTTAGTTGGCACATTTCCATTAAGGTGTGATAGCAGTTGTAAGAATTCAGACAACTGCTAAATTTTGCTCCGCAATTTTCTCTGGAAAATTTAAGCCGTGATCACACAAGATACCAAAACTAGGTGCAACAGGAACGGCAGAGGTCCAACCCAGAAGAGATGTTGGCCTCTGCAGTGGATGCAGGTAGCTAGTCATTGCGAGCCGATAAGGGTCACATCGCCATAGATAAAGCGCCCTACTCTGCAGTCTTCTCGAACAGTCAGCTTTCGGCTTTGTTTCCCATCAGTTTCAGTATGGCACACTAGATAGCCTAACTTCGCCAGAGAATAGCACAGAGGTGAATCTAGTTGCGCGATTTCTAACAAACGCTATGGCATATTTTGACGACAGGCAACATGTCACTAATTAAAATGTGCCAAATAAAAAAATTATTTAAAACTTTCAGCCTTTCTACTCTGGTAAAGACGGAAGACCAGCGGAGCTGTACTATGTCACCAATTAAAATGTGCCAAATAAAAGCATTATTTAAAACTTTCAGCCTTTCCACTCTGGTGAAAAAGGAAGACCAGCGGACCTGTACTACGACCTCAGGGACGACGCTTAGGACGAACTCAAGGACGTGTAGGAAGACGTCTAGGACGACCTCAAGGATGACTTCTAGGACAAACTCGAGGACGCCTAGAGGACACCCTCAAGGACGATGCCTAGGACAACCTCAGGGACGATGGTTAGGAGGACCTCAAGGACTTCAGGACGACCATAAGGACGACTTCTAGGATGACCTCGAGGAAAACGTCTAGGACGACCTCAAGGACGCCGTCTAGGATGATGTCAAGGACGACGTCTAGGACGACCTCAAGGATGACATCAAGGATGACATCTAGGACGACCTCAAGGATGACTTCTAGGACAACCTCTCCGACGACCTCAAGGACAACGCCAAGAAGTACAAGGAGTTTCCGAGAAATGAGAACCGTGTTTTTCAGCCCGGGTAAGTAAGCTATGCATCGCAGAAAGCTCAAACTTCGAGAAAATGTGACGCTAACGGTTGGGATAGAATGCAAAAGTCTGACAACTAGGTGTCAATTGGATGAAAAGATAATTGAGAAAAACAATTTCTCTATGAGCCGATGTCCAGCTAAGTCTAATATCGACAAAACAAGAAATGACAATGTGGGCACCTGTAGTATCTATTTCAGTTAAAAAAACTTGTCAGCAAGGAAGAAAACAACATCCTCTTTCTTGTTGAGTTTTTTTCACTGAAAGAGATACTATATCCCCCAGAGTGTGATTCCTTGTTTAAACAATATTAAGCTTAGGTGGACATCAGCTCATAGAGAAATTTCGTTTTTCTCAATTTTCTTTTGATCCAGGTGACGTCATGTTCTCAAACTTTTGCGTTCTATCCCAACCGTATTTTTGTCTTAGAAAAAAAGACCTTTCAAACCAAAGGCTCAAAATTATGTGAGAAATACCTTCGACTGAGGTCCAGCCAAGAGGAATTTCGTTTTGCCCCCGGAAAGGACAAAATGAACATTACGCAAACGGAACAAAAAAGGATGAGACAAAAAAAAAAAACTTCTGGTTGTAACTGAGCAAACCAATGTTCTCCAACTCACCTGTTTTAAACTAAGATTTTGGTACTTCTCAAAGGCATCCGCTGGAAGTGAGCCCAACTCCCGAATCTTGCGCATACACTCGTCTTTCTGCAAGAAAAATGTGCAACTCTTGGTGACAAACGCACACATCGTATCCTACATAAAAACCTGTCAAAAACAATACCATTCCTCTACTGCTGACTGTACCGTACAAGTCAATTTATGATGTCGCCAACCACAGAAACCGTCTCATTTACTTGTTGAAAGCATTAGCTTTCAACAAGTTATAATGAGGAAGAAAATGCATCATTCAACGCAGTGATGTGCTCGGTCCGAGCCATTTTGGAGCCACTTTTGGCTGCAGCCGCTTCACGAGAGCGTGCGCTCGGCCGCCCCTCTTGCGTCAGGCGTTGCTGGAGGGGAGAGGAGGGAAGGGGGGGCTGTGGCTGCGTCTGCTCTTTTCGGTGCAGAGGAACATGGCGGCGCCTGAGGCATTTATATCGCTGGCAGCCGCAACCTCGGCAGTAGCGAAATGTGGCCGTTCACGCCAGTAAACTGCAAACTAAGAGAGCGGAAGAACAACATTCCGCTTTCGCATTCACAACTCATAAGAAGTGCTTAGGTGTCCCCAGAATGTTTCTTTGTACTATGCCTTTAAAACAAATACTAGTAAAACATTAAAAAGAAAAAAGAATTGGCTGCAAAAGGGGTTAAAGATTACAGTTGAATATTGATTAACCAACCCTCATTTAACCAAATCTGCAATGCAAACAACTTTCTTTACATTCCAAGCTGAATTCCAGAAAGGTTTTTTTTTTTTTGTTCAATTTAGGATGCAACTTTCACAACTGCCTGAAAAAAAAAAAAAAAAATCCTTTAAAGACAAAAGGCTTTGCTCCAAGGTGTTTGATCAACTCCGGTCACTTTTCATGCCTTTTCTACTTTGGCAAGGGAAGGCCTCATAAAAAAAAAGAACAGTAAGAGAACATACCTCGCAGCTTTTTAAATGCATTTCATTGTGTCGCTCCGTCTTTTTGCGCAGCACTTCATGCATTTTTCTTTCAGGGCGGGCATGACTCAAACTTAAGTTTGGAACACAACACAACAGCCTGCTGATCTTTCTCTGACTCTTCCTCTGGCAAGTGTTTCTGCACTACTAAGAAACCACCCTTTTCCATTCCACTAGTTTCATTGTGCATAGAGATATCAATGTTGATAATCGTACACCGTGTGTGTATCAGGCTTCACTGCTTGCACCAGCATGCTTGGAGGGATGCGGGCAAGCAGCTGGGTCAGCTCAATGGGCTCAGGAATTTTGCTTGGTCTTATAGGTTGACAGTCTCATTACGATTGTAAACTGACCTCTAATTGTAAATAAAAGTTTAAAAAAAACTTGACCAGTATTTTATTAAATACTCATCATGGGCCCCCAAAAGCACAACTGGTTGTTACAATTTCCGAGTCCATGCATTTTTCGTCACGGTCCTCCGAAAGATATATCAGCGAGGTTCCACTGAGCATCTTTCCTCGAGAATTGATTCTGACGAGCGTGCTGCCACATTAGCTACAAATTATAAGGACAAAACATAACGGGACACAAACAGACACCTTTTCTTGGGCTCTTACTTACCCGAGGAGACACTTAATTTCAGGTCAGGTTCACGCTTGCCTATTTTTCGATTTCCCCCACAGCACTGACGATTGAAAAGTGGAACTCGGCACACTCCCCTTTTCAGGGGCCTTCTCCTCGACGCACCTTTTTGAGGAGCAGTGACTGGCGGCTGGTCATCTTCTCCAGGTCCTTGGCGTCATCGTTGATGCGCTCCTGCCAGTCCCGCTCCTGACTCTTCCAGTTCTCCAGCTGTGACTGTAGTTCCTTTTGCTCCTTGTTATTCCCTTCCACCTGTTTCTCCAAGGCTGCGAAGATGCAACACGACGTCAACATCCAGGCTCATCAAAGGAAAGAAAACAAAAACAGGGCGCAGGCCACAAAGCCATGACCCCATCTGCAAACATCTCCCAGCTGGCTAAACATTGTTTTCACTCCCAAGGCGAGCACATGTCGCTACTACCAATGCAAAAGCAAAAGAAACTGTTGTCTGCAGAACCTGCCATGTTCCTTAGAAGCAGCAAATTCGTTCCTTCCGATTTCTTTCGTGTGCGAGTGAGCGCACCCTTTTGTCCGCTTGGATTCCTTGAACCTTCGTTGGGAAACGGGTTCACCTTCTTCACCGAGGACTATTACGGGGAGAGCTGTTCATATTTTTTTTGAAGGACTAGTAATCACAATTGACTGGTTCCACGCCAGCTGATGCTGGCAGACACTAAGAAGGTTTCACCCACCTTTGAGGTTGGTGTTGACGTCGCCGATGCGGGCGTTGACGCTTATCAGCTCCGCCTGACTGTTCTCTAGTTTCCGGCGTCGGTCTTCGACAGATATTTCCTGGAGTGCCTGTTAATGAACAAAGTATTATTCAAAACACTGGAGGTTGACAAAATCTGCTTTGCTTCAATGCTGTGCAATTAGCTCACCGCTTCCAGCTCCTCTTTTCTTCTATACAAGTTGTTGTTGAGCAGGTTTTCCAGCTTGTTTTTCTCGGCCTCGAGCTACGGGTACATGAAAGGACACACAAACTCTGTGAAGAAGTGCGCCGGTACCGACTATAAAATATGCCCCGTCATTCTACTTACGAGATACATTTTCTGAAAATGGGGAAAACCCACAGCCATGGAGAAAACCTCCTATGAATGAAAAATTCCAAGCCGTCCTCGAGCCTCCAGAGGCTTCTAACCCGTGGGGGCAGACCCAGCTTTTGCCGAGACGCACAAAGGCCCGGGGGGCACTTCCAAGAATGAACCAAAATTTGGCGGGAACATATCAGGATTAAAGTTTCTTTCCAATAGTTTTGAACACATCGTGCATGGACAAAGGCTTCCTTTGTGGTACCAAAGAAATCTCTCCAGGAAGCAATCATCCTTACTGATTTTGATAGATCCACTTACATCGCCAACTATAATTACATTTTGTAAAGGCAGAGAGGCAAGCGGAAGTAGCTAATAAAATGCTTAGCTTGCGCTTGCTACGTCGATAGCATGCCCATGACAAAGACCTAACAATGAGGATAAGCTCAATGAAGAGGGCAGATGACATGCAGATGTAAATCAGAGTTTGTATGTTTAACAATTCTACAGGATGTAAAAAAAAATTTACAGGTTTTTTTTCACAGTAATAATAAACTTTGTATAGTCAAACATTCATTTTTTGCCCAAATGTAACACTTTTGCATGTTTTATAGTTGTCCAGGGTCTGCAAAAGCAGCATGTCCAGAATTTCATGCAAAAGCAGTTTGCATGAAATATGCAAACTACTTCTGCAAGTTTCATACATGTCCAAGGTCAAGATTAGCATGCAAGCGATGAGGGTAGCCAGAGATCAGGCATTCAACCCCACTGCATCTCGCTGCACTTTTGGTTTGTGTTTAAAGAAAAGCTAGCCTTGTGAATGGAATGGGGCAGGGCTTTTACTACGGCGCAAGGTGTAGCAGGTAAGCCGAGTGATTGAAACTGCCCTAATTCCGATTCAATGGGGACCTCACGACTGACCCGCATGCGCTCGCTGAACGCCTCCTTGTTCTCCTGAGTGAGGCGCCGGATTTCGTCGTTCAGTCGATCTACTTCCTGCTGGTCCGCCACTGACAGCTGTGTCAGCAGGTCCTGCTGAAGTTCACTGCGCAGTGACTGTTCCGTCGACTCCATCGACTTGAGGCTGGAGTCCAGGCTGGCCAAGCTGCGCTCCTGTAAACGAGGCATGCGGTAACTCTGCTCACTATGTGGGGAAAAGGCGTTTTCAGAGACTTTCTATTACTTTTTTATCCTGAGGAAACTGAGGTTTACAATATGCCATACATAAAAATGAAGCTAAGCAAATGGGGTTTTGAATGATGCAGACATCAAAACAGACTTTATGCAAAATAAATTCGTCAAGCGAAGTTTTTTTGTGTTGTTTTCAATATTGGTTTAAATTTAGTAAGATATCTATATCTCAGAAAAAAAGTGAAAAAAGAAAAAAAAATGAAATACATGTTTTTTTTTTGCTTTTTTTCCAGTGTTGTACACATTCCTCCAAAACAGGAATGAACGCTCGTTCCTTGTACGCTTTTAATTTTGGAACGAGTTCCCGTTACAAGTTCCAGTGGTGCGAAAGGAATGCGTTCCACTTACATTTCTAGGAATGGAATGTGTCATTACATTCGCACATTTTAATCAAATACGGTGCTGGATAATCCGTAGATAAAATAAAGCGAGCAAGTGAAAATGTCCACATTGAACAATATGTCGTATCGCCATGATCATCTTTGTTCCAAACCTTTTGATAAATTTTACGCTTGGCGTTTATTACAAGTACTGATCAACAATTGTTATGGAAACGGCAAAGACACGTGTCACGAGCGAATGCTCCACCGCCATTCACTTCCAAAGGCCGTTAACTTCAGTACAGTGACGCCATCTGCTTCCAAGGGTGGCACGAGGCATGGGCCTCATGCACTCGCGCATTTGAAGCTACTTGCAAGACAAACGCAAACATATTGAGGGGCTTTAATTTGTTCCAGTTCTTTGTTTTTGACTAACTCGCGGACACTTCTCCATCCTTCGTTGACTGAGGAAATAAGCCCCCAAAACCTCACATTTCAGTCAGACTCAGTGCAGGGTCAGCACTTGCTTACAGTTTACCCATGTGGAGTAGTATTTGGTAGAAAAGTTTACTATCCAAGGTCTGACTGCGTGTCTACTTGCCGACCCACTTTCTCCAAAGTTCATAAAACTTCCACGGGAGCGGGGGGAAGGAGGCTTTGTTTCAGGCAAACACCCATAGCACTTTGCTTTACCACTCTTCGGAAACACTATCCCCTACAGCGGTTCAGCATGATCACTCGCACTCAAAGGAAAGTTGTGCTCAACGAGAAATGCTATAAACAGGCATTCTGCACAAATTATGCTAGTGTCACTATCCCTTCCAAAGAAACTCGTCAGATCTACGTGGGTATCCGTGCTTAGCACGTGTCCTTAGTGTTTGAAAAGAGACTTGCAGTTTGATGTCGGCCTTGCCACTATGCAAAATGTTTGTGTCACAAGTGTAGGATGCACAAAAGCCAGACTTCTCATTTTCGACAGTATGAAGCAGACACACTTTGTGCTTCCGAATATCTGAATAACTGAAACGGTTTAGCGCTGCGAGTATCCCTTCACACTCCCTACCATGCACATGCCATAGGCCGCTCAAGATGTCACTACACTCTTTCTCTAGGCACAATCATCACCAATACTGGCTTGTCTCTATTCACATGGTGTCGTTTCATCTGTCTACGACTGCAAATAGGGCTAACTGCACACTTTTGCATAAAACTGGAAAGCACAAGTTTCTAATGGAAACATGTTAATTTTCAATAATTAAGAAGTTACTTAACAAAGTATAGTTAATTATTTGACTTAATGTGACGATTAGCTCCTCATATTATGACCCCCTGTCCTTATAACTTGCCTGTACAGACCGCATTAGTGTATCTTTTGCGGCTTTTTTAAAAATAAATCTGCGTGAACTAAAATCAAATGCCCTGTATACGCCTGGCTAGGGGCTGCGTATGCTTTGTTGTCTATGCTTGTCTGTAATTACACATTACACTCAGCCGCAATGCTTTTCACATAAAATCAGCCCACAAACACATTCTGTGTAAAAATGCACTGGCATTAGCAACTGGCAGAGTCAAAGCACATCAATGGGCAACCTCAGAGTCACCCAACATAAAGGCACGCAAAAGAACCAGGTGATAATAAAAATATAAATTCAAATTAAATTAGGGCCTAGCTAAGAACTGAGGATTAATTTAGACCACTAGGGGACCTTTCGATGTGCCAACCAAAAAAGTTGTTAGTACGTGGCGCCTTCTCTGCAATAAGCCTCCGACAGATGGTGGGCACCTCGGCTGGGATTCAAACACACCTACTGGAGATCTGCAGGCCAGCACTTCTCCACAACAATAAAACTAGTATGTTAGCATACCTTTGGCTGTTTAGAACGTTCCAGGGCTGTCAGCTCCTCCTTCATAAGCCGGATGTCAGCCTTGAGCTTGTCAAAGACGTCCCTGAAATTAATGAAAGGCTAATGTGCACCTGACTAACAGCACTGGCGATGCAGAAAGAAGATTACAGCAGGGCCTCACTTGTTTTTGCTGTTCTTGGTTTCCGCTTTTTGCATGTCGCTGACCACTTGGTTGATTTGGCTCTCTGTCTGTGGGATTCAGTCAAGGCACAACCAAAGCAACTTCGAAAAGTGTTACTCATGCCTTGATGGTCACACCCAAAATATATGAATTTCCTTAATTAATATCACATTATGGGAGAACAACCAACATCTTCAATCCATGCTCACCTTGACCATATATCTGAGCCCCAAAGTATCTGTAATACAACCGTTCTGGCCCATAAATGCACATAAAATAAACAAGACGTAAAAGGAAGCATCGGTCACTATTTTGAACACATTTGAAAGCAAAGGAAAGGTGAGGAGAGGCGAAGAAGAAAGCTCGGTGCAATAACCACACCCGCATTATCCCAACCCCACATAAGATGCTCACCGCACATTTCCAGAGCTCAAATGGTGCTTGGTGCCAAAAGCGAAATGTGAAGCACTCCAGAACCACCAAATTCCTCGCTCGCAAGTAAAGGATATCGGACAGCTTTTGCTTGTGCTCTGCCAGCTGTTTTTCTACCTCGGTGATCTCTTTGACAAGTTGCATGTGCGCTTTGTGGAGGTCGAGCCGAGACCGCCGCGTGTCAAAGTAACCCCCCGTCAGGGCTCCCTTATGCGACACCTGGTCTCCTGCAGCACAGAAACACCCAAAGAGAAAATGTCGCCAAGTCAAACAGAGCACATGGCAATGAGCAGTACTAGCTACTGCGCATGCCCATACAATATAGCCACCACTTTATCACTACCCAAAACCAGAGTGAAAAACGGTCAAGCAGCCATCAGTTGGGCAAAATCGCAACATCCTTTTTTTTAAATGACGCAGCCATCCGCTTCCTCGACCAAAGAGTAACAAGTATAATGATTCCGCAGGATAAAAAAGGGTGGAGGTTTTGTCACAAAGCGTCTAGGGCTACGAGCTATGGTCCACAGGGTTTCCAAGAACTTTGCACTCCAGAGGTCGAAACATAGCTTAGACAAATGAGGAAAGCAGACCAGTGGAAAATCCATATTTCACAAAGGGAGATCGCTAAAATAAAAAAGTATGCTGTTCAAAGAGAGTGGGCCACTACGTCAATGCACAGTGCAATTAACTTACACATAAAAGACTCCAAAGTCTTGTGAAATTTATTACTTATATTGGTCAATCAGTGAACTCGCACTTACATAAGATAATTCCTACTCAAGGTTCAAGGTTTACTCTACATGTGCTATTATATGCGAGCTGCACTATTTTCAAATATAAAGCAGCACTTAACTAGCTAACAAATAAAGATAAAGAGGGCAAGGCAAACTCGGCTTCCGTGCTATCTAGGTACAAGTTCATCCTGGTTTACTCAAACCTTTTTATCACAGAAAATTCATAGTGCTTTAAATGAGGGCCACAAAACCCCCTTAAACACCAAATGCTTTTTTTTTTCTTTTTTTAGTACATTAAAGAGATTGTTTAGCTTACAGTCATAACCAAATGCATGACTCAGCTCTGCTTTAAATTATGCCTAAGTTACAAACATGCCTTATTAGGCATAGGATTGCTCAGGAAAGGTTGAAGGCTGGGAACCCTAGGTGTGGTCCAGGGAATACTACTTAAGAACCCTCGCTCTAACTTATGACCAAAAAAATACTATCTGAAAGAGTCTACTGGGCACAAAGACCTACAAAGGGAACTACTTGCCATCTAAAGTGATGCAGTCCAGATTAGATGTGCGTGCAATCTGGGTGGCGACTTCGAGATTTCGGCAAATTAGGGTCTTGCCGTATATATATTTCATGGCGCTCTCAAACTTGGAGTCAAAGTTGAGTTTGCTGATCATGGGAATGGCGTCCTACAGAAAAAGGCAACCACAGGAGCGGGACAGAAATGTTAAGGTCGGAATGCTGGCTGCGCAGTTGGCGACACATCCAGGAGACACCACAAAGATGATATCAAACCGGGAAATGTAGCAAAGACTCACGTTACTGTTGGGGTACTGCACATCTTTGTACATGAGCCGGTTGAGGGGCATGAAGGTCACCTCTCCGGGAAGTTGCTGCCGGTTCATTTCTTGGAGAATCTTGGTGCCGATGCGGTCGCTGTCCACAATGTGGTAGAAGAGCCTGGAGGAACACAAACACTTGAAGTCAATGCATATATTATGGTGCACCGTGCATTCCCGAGGGTGCCCATCAAACCACTCTGGCATCGTTGCCGCGAGGCGGCTACACAGTTGCCTCACTTCAGACACGATCACATAGTCGTGTCACCGCGGGATCGATTGGGATCTCGAATTCGGCTCCGGACGTGCCGCTTTCTCTCCAAGCCACTGGATGGCGCTACAGGTGCCCCAGGGCGGGCAAGGAGAAACCTCCTCGCCCATCGATAGATATAGTCAGGGAGACCGGGAGGGAAAACTCTCTTAGGACTCCGGGCGGGCTCTGGGACAGGCAAGTGCGTGTGGCGGGATCTGGGGTAATCGCGGGACACGAGGCCTGGGGGCCCTCCTTGTGTTCAGCTTTGGCTTTACATGCATTTGCGAATATTTGTTAATGTCTCGTGTATTTGTAGTTTAGAGCGAGTGTTTTGAGCATTGTGTTTTATGTACCAATAAACTCCCGCTCCCGTGAAAGAACCAGGCTGGACTTGGGTTGTTGACGGACCACGTGAAAAATGGCGAATAGGCGGCGGTACGCGATTTCCTACAAATAAAAACAAATAACAAAAAAAAAAAAAAAAAGGAAAGAACTTGCGCCTTCTGACGTGCAAGATGGACCGCACATGATGCTACAGAAAAGCTCTTTGAGAGCGTGTGTTGAGAAAGCTTTACGAGCCAACTTTGGCGCCAGACAACCAAATTGTCAGCAAAAAAAGAAAAGAGAATTTGCGCTTTCCGGCGCGCAAGATGGACTGCACACGATGCTACAGAAAAGCGCTTTGAGAGCGTGCACCACTTATCTTTGGCGCGCGCTGTCTCCGTGCCGGACCACGTGCTATGTTCTCCGTGCTACTCCATGCCAGATTGGTTGCGCTGGCTTGTGTCATTCGATACGGTCCATCTCAACAGTGTAGAGGAGCAGGCACATATTTGTGCACGCTCGGCTTTGCAGCAAAGGGACCATGTTTCGCGGTACGTTGGTGGTTTTTCTGCTGTCGTGCCGTGCAATGTGAGCCTGCGCACATTCGCTCGGGACGAATTATCCAATGCGGAGTTTTCCCGAGTTTAACTATCGAACTTTTCCTCCCATTTAAAATGTAAGGCGCTCGCCGGGACTTTTGAACATGATCGAATTAAACGAAAAGTCGAATTAACCGAGGTCGAACTAACAAAAGTTTACGTACGAAAAACACTTTCCATTAAAATCCTGCAGAATTGGTTTTATAAATACAAACCACTTCCAAATTTGGTGTCTGGCAGTTGCAAAAACGTTTTCCTCATATCCTAAAACTACTTTTGGGATCCTTTTATGTAGTTTTTATTTTCTTTGTACCTTTGTTCCTAAGCATATTTTGCCACTATCAGTACTATTGTCAGATGTGCCTGACAATAGTCAGACACATCTCGTCTTCCATGTCACCCCACTCGGGGCCTTCCTCCTGTACATGTCTCTTTCCTAGACATTCATTCACCTTCCTCTGGCCTTTTAGAGCGCAGCTCTTAGGGGCCCGTTTCCGGCTTGAGCAGCGTCGGCGTAATTGCGAGACCACGTGACCCCCCCCACAAGGTCACGAGACCCCCTGAGGTCACGTGACCCCCCGAGGCTACGTGACCCCCTGAGGCTACGTGACCCCCTGAGGCTACGTGACCCCCTGAAGTCACGTGACCCCCTGAAGTCACGTGACCCCCTGAAGTCACGTGACCGCCCGAGGTCACTTGACCGCCCGAGGTCACGTGACCCCCCTAAGGTCACGTGACCCCCTGATGTCACACAACCCCCCCCCCCCCCCCGCCCCAAGGTCACGTGACCTCAAGGAGTCACCTATCCCTCGGTACGCTTCCATCCTCCTTCTCAAGAGCAGCGCTCTAACCGGCGTTACAGGGAATTGTAAACGGCTTTTATTTTTTTTCTTGTTCAAGACTGAACTTTCACACATTTTTCATTCACGTCGGCATTGACGACAGAAATTTGGAATTCAGTCCGACACCCTCAGTACTTCTGTGCAGTGGGAAGATGAGAAAGCTCCTTGATGATCATGCCAAGCAATATACCCACATTGCAAAGCGACTGGCAGCACTGACTTTACTGTCTGCAATTTTTGTCACAAACACGTTAGCGTGACCAATGGAAAGGGTGTCCTACGCATCGCCGAGCACGCACAAGAATTCCAATTGGCACACCCAGCAGGAAAGACCTCGTTTAGTGACATGTAAATGCCTCTATTACTTTCAGTTTTATTTCAGACAAATTACTTCAAATCACAAAAACCCCACCTCTCGTAAGGTTGTTCTACTAAATTCACTAATTACAATTCTTAGGCCATGTGTCTCATGAAAACTCCCTTAACCCTTTCACTGCCGGGTTTTTTTCCGACTGCTCCTCACCCCCTGCCGGGTTTTCGAGCTCACTGGACGCCACTGTGATGCCATTGCAGATTCCTGAAGATGATGGGTCAAAAGTGTGCTCTTGAGGGTTGAATTCTTTCTTCTTCCAGTAGAAATTCTGATCGTCAAGTTTTATCTTCTTCCTCCGATTCTTAAACGGCACGGGCTCTTTCTCACTGTCGTCGCTGTACAAGTCACTTAGCTGAGCTGCATCATCGTTCTCACTCTCATCTGAGTCAGAATTCACCAACAGTTCCTGAATTTCCTTGTCCGTCAAATCGCGGAAGCACGTGGCACGCTTACTCGCCATGCCGGCGCTGCGCCGCGCTGCTGAGACAACGACGAAGCAAAGCGGATGTAGAAACATGCGCTCCATCTGTTGTCTAAAATTTAACCTACAAGTTACATGTGTTTAGGTGACCTCTCCATAGATGGCGCAACATGCCCGCATTTTTTTTTTCGCACGAGTTTTCTCGGGAGTGGCAGGGAGTGAGTTTAAAAGGCAACATGAGTATACTCGGGAGTAGCAGGGGGTGTGCGTGGGTGGTGCCCTGAGTTATCTCGGGAGTGGCAGTCAAAGGGTTAAGGAATGCCTGACAAGACCCACAGGAGCTGCAGGGAGGACGCAGGTGTCACCATGCACAAGGTCGAAACCCAACTACACTAGAAACACGAAAAACTACAGAACTGCATGTATTACGAACAAAATTCCAAATAAACTCCAAACTTCTGGCAAAAAATAAACAAAAAAAGACCCCCGACACGCAACCCTAATTAACTCCGCATCATTCAAAAGTCTCCTGCGCAACGTACACGCTCAAGTAGGACTCCACAAGGAACTCCAATTTTCCCCTATGTGGCACGGCCGAAACCCACATTTTTTTAGCGAACGCTCAAAGCCTGCACTCGCCATCGTACAGTAATATGAATCACACCCACTTATTTCCCGAGGTGACTTCGACGGCGGTATAGATGGTCTTCTCGCAGTCGAAGTTCTCAATGAGCATCCCGTAGTAGTTGTTGGCGATCTGCTCGTAACTCCCGCCTTTGTCCCGAAAGGTTTGCAGAACCTTCCGCACGCTGTCTCTGCCATTCAAGGTAGCCTGAGGAAGAGAAAGCAGAGATGAGCTCCCCACACTGATTTTGGTCACCGTGAGAGTGAGATCTAATTTTCCTCTCACCAAGCAAGCCAAGCATCATCCGCAAATGCAAATAAAATAAGAAAATGCAATACGTCGTCCGTTAGAAAAAAAAAAAAAAAGTGGATCGTTAGGAACAAACTAGTGGCCTGGTGAAGTGATACTGAATGCCGGTTGAAATTGCAATCGTTTGCTATTTTCTGTTGGAAGCAATTCACAACCTGTGCTTTTGTTTGAAAATCTTAAGTGGGGAAGGCATTGCTCCTAAACTTTTTTTTCTTATTTTTACAGGACTATCTGTATGAAATTTTCAAGATACATTCATAGCACACATATAAGAGTAACTGCTAAGTTTCGTAAAACTGTGCCCATAAGTAATTAAGTTACAATTTTTTTTCAATATGGTTCACTAGCTTCCTTTATTCCAGGCCTGGAGAAATAGCAAAACATAGTGGGAATGTGAAATTTATAATAAGCATTCCTGTATAGGCATACCAGGGCATAACAAAGCCCTTTTTATTAATTTCTTTTCCAAAATTTGTTTGCACAACATTAAATTTTAACCAGGGCATAACAAAGCCCTTTTTATTAATTTCTTTTCCAAAATTTGTTTGCACAACATTAAATTTTATATTGTTGGTCATATCCTCATCCAACAAATTTAATTTGAGTAGTATTCACCGATGTTTGTTTGCAAACAAGCTACCACCCCCTATCGGCGGACCCCTGCGCGCTTCCGGTTTTCCTCTTCTTTTCCATTTGTCTCTCCTCCTTTTGTTATTTGCACAACTTTGTACAATGCACTAATGTTCTGATAAACCTACTACAGAAACTTCACTAAAGGAAACTCTTCTTACGCGACCGCTGTGCGTTGCTGAAGAATAAATAAATACACTCTGGAAGTCTACTGGGGCACCAAATACTGTGGCACCCTCGTGGTATCAACTCCCACCGAATGTGGTGAATACATTTGTAACACAATTTTCTAAAAAAAAGGAAGCCCTCACAAAGGTATTTAGGAACAGAATAAAAAAAGATATGCATGTGAATTCATTAAACTGTTCCCAAGACATTGCTAGGATAAGTGCCAATGCCAGTGGAAAAATCAATTTTGAGTAAATGGCAGTTTAAAGTTGCACACACATTTTCAGCATAGAGCCTGCTTCACGTGGCACGATTCTGCTTGCGATTTTCATTAAGTCACCACCTTGGTTTTTATTTATTTGTTTTCTCTCGAGCGAGCAACGTTGCAACCAAAAATCACGAAAATTACAAGCAGAATTGTGCCATGTGAAGCGTCTTTACCCGCAGAGTAGCTGGAAGTGTCCTTGCATACTTTCTTTTTGTTCCGCTGCTGTCTTTACTTAGTCTCAACGGCCGATGACATTGATAGAAAAATCAGAATCTGAAGTAGCGACGCGATGAGCATCGGTATCCTGCTGTGTAGAGGCGGGCAGCTGATGCTGCCTTCCGATGGTCGCCATGCAAAGAAGCTTGCATGGACCACTTCCATGCATCGAATCCATGCACCAGTGATGTGATTGGCCTAACCCATTTTGGAGCACCTTTTGCAGCAGCCAAAACAGTGTTCTGGAGCAGCAAAAGTGGCTTTTGGAGCAGACAAAACAGTCTTTTGGAGCAGCAAAAGTAGCTTTTGGAGTAGCCAAAACAATGTTTCTGAGCAGCAAAAGGGCTTTTGGAGCAGATATTCTTAGAAAAATATTTGTTTTAAGTGCAGGAGAAACGAGGGGCACTTTATGTTGTGTTGTCATGTGACGTAACTTGCTGCCTGTGTTTTTACTGCTGAGACATCCCACAAGTGGGATGTCTCAATTATCCTGATATTAATTATCCTGATATTGTGTGGACAGGTAATAACCCACCAACAGGCACACCCTCATCTGCCTCATCTGAATGCAATGATTTTGTTGGCCTCTGTTTAGACTTTTGTTTCACGCAATTAGTTACTCAACCAACCAGAGTGACCCCATTGACGGCGAACGTATTGGACCTTGTTCTCGCTACTCATCCTGAACTCGTTTCACCCATCTCCTATCTTCCAGGGCTTAGTGATCATTCCATATTGCATTTTAATGTAAAAGCAACAGTACCAAAACCATCAACTAATGTAAAGCAAATTCGAGATTACGCCAAAGCTAACTTTGATAAAATTAATCTTGACCTTTCAACTTTCCTCGATGAATATTTATCACTCTTCTCAAGTCGCTCAGTAGAAGAAAACTGGAACTTTTTCAAAACCGAAGTTAATAAACTAACAAATCAGTACATTCCCTTAAGGAGAGTTATCGAAAACTCTCAGTCACCCTGGTTCACCAGAGCCTTAAAACGCTTATCAAACAAAAAAAAGTGTCTATTTCGCGCCGCAAAATTATCCACGTGCGAGCACTGTTGGTTGCATTATCGTACTGCTGCTGAAGTGTACAAAAAAGCAATTGAAAACGCCAAACTAGAGTTCATGACTCATAGCCTACCCGCAATGTTGATCAACAATCCTAGACAATTCTGGAATACAATAAACAAAAAGACGCAGTCATCTATCACACTAAAAACCGCAAATGGTGATTGTATAGCCAGCGATGAGTGTTGAAATTTATTAAATAGTACTTTTGCAGATTCATTCTCTACTGATAACATGCACGATTTCCCTTCGCTAGAGAGTGCCGATTACTTGCCCATGGATCCTCTTTTTCTTGATTACGTTGGTGTCGGTCATATCATAGACAAACTCAAACTGTCATCTTCAGCAGGAGTGGACAGTATTAATTCCAAGTTTTTACAAAACACTAAACAATACTCCTCAATTATTTTAACAAAATTATTTGAACAGTCTATACAAGACGCTGTTCTCCCATCAGACTGGAAGGTAGGGAAGGTGGTACCCATTCACAAGGCTGGAGATAAATATTCCCCTCTTAATTATCGTCCGATCTCAATAACCAGCATTCCTTGCAAACTTCTTGAACATATAATTTTTTCTCACCTTGTCAACTTCTTAGAATCTAACAACTTCTTCAACAATGCCCAACACGGTTTTCGAAAATCATTTTCATGTGAAACCCAACTACTATCTTTCACGAATGACCTACATCACATTCTGGACCGAGGATCCCAGGCGGACTGCATTTTTCTGGATTTCGCCAAAGCATTTGACAAAGTTTCTCACAATCTTCTGCTTCTAAAACTTTCCAAACTTAACATAGACAATAACGTTCTCGCATGGATACAGTCTTTTTTAACTCAACGGTCTCAATTTGTCACTGTGAATAACAATAACTCCTCTTTTGTCAAAGTTGCGTCAGGGGTTCCGCAAGGGACAGTCTTAGGGCCGTATTCTTAATTTATATTAACGACCTACCCACTAGTGTCTCTTCGTCCGTGTCTCTGTTCGCTGACGACTGTGTACTTTACCGTGAGATTCTCAATCATAATGACACCTGTATACTCCAATCAGACATTAATGCTATTTACAGTTGGTCTGACTCGTGGTCTATGAAGCTTAACACTAACAAATGCAAGGTCATGCGTGTGTCTCGCCAGTCTCAGGACTCTCCTATTTCCTTAATACTCATCTAGAACCGGTATATTCGTACAAATATTTGGGTGTACATATAGCTTCTAACCTTTCATGAAAAACACATATTCAGCATATTTCAGCTAACGCTAACCGCATGTTAGGTTACATCAAACGAAATTTTTCATTAGCACCTGTCTCACTGAAATTACTCTTTACAAGGTTTTAATTCGTCCCAAGTTAGAATATGCAGCTTCTGTCTGGGATCCCGGACTAGTCACTCTCATATCTACATTGGAAGCCGTTCAGAACAGATCCGCTCGTTTCATCCTCACAAACTATCACCGCACCGCTAGCGTCACCTCTATGAAAACAACTCTCTCATTACCGCCTTTATCTCTACGTCGTAAAATTTCTCGACTTTCCCTATTCCATAAAATATATCACCACAATTCTTTCCTGCGCGACAAAATAATTGCTCGGCCTGTCTATGTTTCCTCCCGTCTTGATCATCAACATAAGGTGGGCATTCCTAACTCTATCACAACCACGTTTTATTCATCTTTCGTTCCCCGTACATCCCAGGAGTGGAACCACCTTCCCCGGTCGATCGCCATTATCGCGGACTCTGACCTCTTTAAAAGTACAATAACTAATTACTTTATTACTGAGTGTGTCTAAATATGTATTATGTTATTTGCATTAACCTTCTTGTTGCTCTTCCCCTCTGTAATGCCTTCGGGCCCTGAGGGTATAATAAATGAAATGAAATGAAATGAAATGAAAAGTGTACAATACTGTAGGCATTGCCAAGCAATTCCGTAAAAAAAAGGCTTGCCACCATTTTACTGCTTTCCGACACGCCAGATTTTCATCAAAAGCAAGCAAATGTAAAACAATGAATTACAAGTGTCCCGGCTGCCTCTCTCGGCAATCATGTTCACATGCACATGAGGGCAAGTTCAGCAGGTTTGCAGTTTCACGTGCTTCGTCGCGCGAGCAGAGACAACGGATGTTCAATGGAAACCGAAACAATGCCACTCCGCTCCGTCGCAACTGGTTCCCAAAATAGTATGCAAAATGTAACTGTCCAGCATACGACAAAAAACAGTCCAGCGGCGCGTGCTTGCTAGGCCGGCAGGCGAGGTACAAGCTAAACACGCAGGCAAAAGAACCTGAGCGCATCGACATGTATGACATCGCGAGCCAGGGTCAAAAAGTTCTTGGAGCACTTTGTGAACGACTGAACTCGAGACAAACAAGCGTGCTGTGCTAGTTCAGCATGCAGAGATTGCATTTTTTTGCTTTAGCTCACTTCTCTTCACCAACTTTCTTTCGCGGTAGATTTTTCACATACCGGGGTCCCTCTCGAAAGAAAGCCCACCGAGAGAAACCTAGGTAATCAATACTTCGGCAAGCAGTCTTTGAGTTAAAGAGGGGTTTCTTTATTAGCGTATGATTTAAACAAGAACCAGAATGTTGATGAACAAGGTTAGAAAGCGTCACATCTGCAGCAACGTGATATTGATATATTGATATTATTTATTGCACTTGAGAGGTAGAAATGTCCAGGCGTGCAGGTGTTGGGGGAAGGCTGACGCCCATGCACTAGTGTGCCCACAACACTGACCTATGCACTCTTACAATATATATACATTTGTATATTGTATATATACAAATGTATATATATAGTATATATATATATATATATATATATTGCCGCGCGACGTCGGGCAACACCCAAAGTCGCGCGACCACGGTGATTGTGGTCGCACGAGTGCTCCAGCTCGCAAAGTAACTCTCGCCGCGCAAAAACGTGGTTTTGTTTCACAGAATGACGGCTTGGCTGGCACCCGGCACACTAGCGTCGGAGCGTCCGCACACGCCCGCGTCTATCGCTGAAAAATTTTACAGACACACAATGAGATTCCAGAGACGAGAGCGCGAAACGCGAGACGGCGGGAATAAACATGCAAGACTGGATGGACGATTGATGCAGGGTACTTCGTGTTGGGCGGCCGCTTGCACCACTTAGCTCACGCATGCTCAATAACGGTTCTCAGTTTAGTTTCGGTTTTGAAAGGCGACCGAAAGTGGTCCTTTGGAGCAGGCTTGGTGCAGATTACCCATATTTTGGAAAAATGTAGCAGAATGTAGCAGGGTTAGCCAATTGACGCAATTTGGCGCAATTAGCGCAATTGGCGCAGCGATCACATCACTGATGCACCGTCTCCTAATTCATTCCCTTCATCTCTTGTGGCCACGAATCACGCAGGCAAAGTATGTGAAACTATTAAGACAAAGGGCTCCAAACAATCGTTAAGATGGCAAAAAGCTAAATGGAGTTGACAAAGCACAGGAACAAGCAGACCGAAGCAGACGATTCGAGGCGATGAGACACGCCTTGGCGGCGTGGTAGCCGCGGCAATGGAAGGAGAACAAACGTCGCGGCCAATAGTAGTCACGCACTCCCTTGAGCAGGCACTTTGGACAATCACTGCTTTGCAATCGTGAGGCGAGAAAACGCTGATCACGCAAAAACTATGCTGCAGACACTATTTTGAAGGGTGACAAAAAGAAGACGAAAATCTCTGCTTCAAAGCAAGATCAAGATGGCAGCCGTTCGCCAAGTTGAAAGCGAGCGGGAATCACTCAAAGTCTGGCTCGATTTGGAGTTGTTAGTGCAATTTGAAAGCCACCGGGAGCTCGTAAATATCTCTTTAAACATATTTTTTCAGTGAATTAGAGGCTGATAATTACAAAGGAGGTAATTTATGAAATATACAATATAAAAAAATTGTTTTCTAAAAATCGACTTTTTCTGCGATTTTTCAGTCTTCAATTTTTGCGTCCCCCGTCAACTTTTTCTGCTGCCGTACACGAGCTGACCTCTACCGGTGGATGAGGGAGCACTTGGGTCTAGCACATCAGGGGCCGCGAGACCTCTCTCGCAACCTGTGTATTGGTGAGAAGTTACCGCCAAAATACTGCCAGATCGTGAACTCACAAAGAGGTCAACAATTTCTCATTGGTTCCTAACGCACGCCCACCAGAAAGCTGAGACGCCACTTCCAATCAGCAGCCGAGAAAGCTCTCGCTCTCACCCGGGACCAAAATCAAGCCTCGGAAGAGGTCCAATTTTGTGAGCGAGTCAACCACCCAGGGCTCACTTAGTCATTATAGGCAGACGCAGTGCAGAAAGAAGCAGCAAGACAAACACAACATGTCTTTCTGTGTGTGTCTCCTCTGTTGTTTCACTCTATTTTGCATTGCTGCTGCCTATAAGGAATCACCCACTTGCCCAAGCTTCGATCTGAACTCACTTTGCCAGTCATGGAACGCAAGCCCTGGTCCTTCTTCGACAGCTCTTCTTTGAGGGTGGCCAGGTTCTGCTGCAGGGCGTTCTCATGCCTCCACAGCTCACTGCGACATGCGCCACAAGTGCGTTACACATTCCTCCACAGCACACACTCTGCTGCATACTAAAATGCTCAGCACATTGGCCCATGTGCTGAACATAACAAAATAAAAGGGAAACTTCCGTTTTGTCTATAGTTCAAAATCGGCGAGTGTTTTTCGGTGTTTATCGGATTTATTCGAAAACACGGAACCCAAGCTATATGCTATGCGACAATACAAATAAATCTTTTTTTCTTGTAAATCTTAGATGTAACGAATATGGATATAGCGAACACATTTCCGATTCCTGTTAACATCTTCAGAAACTGGCTCAAAGGTTGTAGAAAGGCACCTTCAAAATTCTCACTATAAAACCAAAACACGAAAGTGCCAATTTTGCTGTCATCTTGATCTAGCAAAAGAAACTTGAGTGAATAACTTTTCCCAGAAAACCCTCGGCTACTTTCGACACAAAACTAAATGCCCCAGGTTTATCACGCAACTCTAGAAAAATGTTAAAACTCGCATGGATTCAATCACAGAGAGAAGTAGTAAAGTGATCCAACTGCAACACACTTTCTTTCTCCTTGCAGGGTGTCCTTCCGTTTCTTCATCTCGTAAAAACTCTTGTTCTGACTGTCAATACTGATGCGGTGGTTCTCCAACTCCCGAGTCAGCTCCTGCATGGCAAGCACACGTCTCTCATCACTTGGGACAGGGATTGATCAAAGGGGCAGTGCAATTATATTCAATTGTTATGTTTTTCCTTTTACACGAGTTTACAGGCACTAGTGGGACTCGAGGATATTTGCACGCAACGCCACTGGCCAAGAAACTCCTTTGTTGTGGTGTAATTTCAAGGACAAGGGAGCATTTTCTTTTAACCTCTCCTTCGCAAAACTTGATGACGCAGCTAGGCGGTCACAGTACTGCCCAGTGACGATATTTGAATACGGCTCATAGATTGGACCCGAGCATTGCGTGGACACTCGATTTCGGCTCGTGATAATCAATATAATCCAATAGCTCGAGCCGCATTTGGGTAGTGGCCTGTGTCCCAATCGCTGCAATGACAACAATAGCCGAACCATAACAATGTCTGGAACTCGGCGCGCGTCCTGTGCCTTGTCAACCCCAGCGCATGGCTATGATCAACAATGGCGGCATATAATCGGCTCCAGATCACGTGGCTGCTTGTCCTAGCTGTGAGTTGATGGGGTGAACACTGCTAGTTTTTCTTTAATTTTTTTCTGCACCTTCGATTGCGTGTGGTGAAAAACGGGTGTTTCACAGGCCATTAACGACACGGATCCGTTTTAAGCAGTATTTGCGCAATGTACAAAAATCGTTGCATCATCCCTTTAAAGAGGGGGGTCACGGCTCCCTTCCTACCCCCAGCCCCAGCCCTCAAGAGCTGGGGCTGGGGGTAGGAGGGGAGCCGTGTATGGTAAAAAGAGCGTACACCAGCCTTTTTTTAAAGAAATGCTTCATCCTTGTTAAAATTACAATTCTCTTCATCTGCGACGTCACATCCGTCCATGACATTAAATCTGTGACATTATATTTCTTTGCAGACCCTCCAGTCCCTAAATTTCCATCGCCCCCTTTAAGCCTGGCCCATGATCCCATCCCTACTTCGAAGGGTCTCTTGGCACCACACCTGGCCAAATTCCACCCAAGACCAGAGATACACTCTCGCCACACTTCAAGGTAGATTATCTCCCCGTCGACTAAACATTCGCAGCACAAAGCTGACTCTGGCCGTTACAAGCAGACGGATTATGCTGAGAAACAAGGCTTTCGACCACACTGCATTGAGTTTATGGTGCTAAGCATCAGAGATATCGCAAATGAACTCGGAAGGAAAGAGAAACTTACATCAATTTTCCTTTCGAGCATGACCTTCTTTTCTGCATCTCGTTGCGTGTCTTCTTGAAGCTTGTCAATCTGTAAAAAAAAAAAAAAAAAAAGAAGAAAGAAAAAGATAACCGAGGCATTTAAAGCAGGGTATGATTCCATGGCCACCTTGATATGCTCGACCAGTCAAAATTCTTTTTTATTTGAAGCTAAAGCACCGTTCACACACTTGCAACCGAGTAGGACCAAGAGAGACAAGATCAGTTTTGAAGCCTCTTGCGACGTCATAGGACCAGATGCGCTGCTGCAGAGCGGGTCCTAAGCCGTCGCAAGGAGCTTGAAAACCCGTCTTGTCTCTCTCGGTCCTACTCAGTTGCAAGTGTGTGAACGGCGCTTAAGGAGAATGTACCTTTCATTTTGGGTCCTGCTCCAAAACAACCCTCTGTTGTTTTAGGAACCAAAAAAATTGCATTCTGGTAGATGGAGAGAGGTGAAGCATGTGTCAACGACTAAGTGTCTTTTTTTTTTTTTTTTTTTGTGGGCTTTCCTTTGAGTGAGGGAAGCTGAACAAAATGTAAGGACCCAATTAAACGAGATGGTGAGGGCTAATCACATTGAACATTGTCCTAATGTGATTCTTGCACAATGTGCAGCTGGTAACTTTCAGATTTTCGCTTATTTAATAAACTCAGATTCTTACATAGCGTGCATTCAAACATGGACAGTCACGGGGGTGTCATGTCTGTTTTTTTTTGTTTTCAATTAAATTTTTATATGAGGTGGCAAAACATGTCCATGGAATGCTACAAACCATACTTCTGCAAGATATTGCCTTGTTTTTGAGACAAAAAAATCCTGTCTGAAAAAAGTCAAACAGCGACTTTCCCGATTGTCCGTTATCCTAAAATATACCTTTGGAACTAATACCATACAATATTAGTTCCAAAGCTGTATAAGTTCTGCATTCAAAGTCACACTTTGGATTATTCATATTCAATCTGCACTACAAAATTTTTCATATTCGAAAGCCCCTAACAGCAATATTATACAATGTATACTACAAAACCAGCGAATATGTTTAAAGAAAGAGAGTGGTTTTGCATCATCTGTGCTTCCCATATCACACAAATGGAAAACTTGGACTAAAAAGATTGTCAGCAACCTTTAGCTCAGAAGTCCTATAATGAATGTACTATTTAAGATGCGGTTCTTTAACCCCTTAAATGCCTTGGACGAGCGGAGCTCGTCGGCCATTTTTTGGCTAAAAATGCCGACGAGCTCATTTTTTGGTTGCTCTCAAATCCACGGACGAGCTAGGCTCATCCGAGTAGTTTTGCAGCGCTGATCGTAGGTGGCAGCACTCGAATTAGCTGGCAAATATTTTTTTCACCTCCGCTGATTTTTGCGTAATAAACTTTCAAATTTAATGTGTAACACTAGAGGAGTAACAATTCAAAATTTAAAAAATCTGGCACTTTTAGGTGACTTTTGGGGGAAAAAATTTGGCACTTAAGGGGTTAAATTTGTCTAGAAGACATTAGACATTAGGTGACATTATGGTGTCAAGTCGTTGCGTTGCGTGACATCACGTGCCACGAGGTATGCGCAGCCTCAAGGACGAACAAATTACTGGGAGTAGGGCCTTCTGCTACAAGGCATTCCATGCTTAAAAACAAAATTGGGGCAACATAAGAGTACCGCGAGATCCTACACTCCATCTTAATATTTCTGTGCAATGGAGTTAAAGTTTGGACATGTTCTTGGTTGACATGTTTTCCCGGCTACATATTACGTTCACGAACACCAGTCCTGTCGAACTTTCGTAGGTATCTCCACTGCCCCCCCCAACGTGTTTGGCAGCCAGGCCATGGCTGCCCTCCTCCTTTTACTCTGTTCCCCCTCTTTTACTGCGGTAGTTGTACATGGCCCGTAATGTTGAGCGAGAGGTGCCGTGTGATCGTCAGCAGTGTAGACAGGAGCACATCTACGAGAGCGGCAAGGGAGTGAAGCCGGTGTGATGACACTGTGCTGGAATGCGACGCAGCGCACTGGTGTTGGCACACGCTTCCCCTGACCGGGGAGGAATTGGACTGCATAGCCAGCAGCTTACGAAGGACAATTCTACAAGGTTATAGGAGGTGGACTGAGTACATCTGAAGTATAAAGAGAGGGCTACAGCAATGCAGTTTATTATAGGAAGAGGCCTGCAAGTGAAAGTGAGCTAAGGCGGCGCAGCTCAGCAGGGCAAACCAAACGCCGGAAGAGAGGGCAGCAGCAACGATGGCGGCTTGTCGTGAATGTGGCGACTTTGTGGTCAACTTTACTGAACACAAAGGCCTATGATTTGTGCGTGTGTGGTGTGATGTTGTAGCAAACTTCGAAGACCAATCAAACACGAAGACCAATCAAACAAAAAGTGGTTTGTGTTTCAAACTCAATGGTAAGAGTCATCCTTGCACGGCGTGAATGTATGATGCGTCGGAAAACGCCACGGTTACTGCCACAACTTAATTTCTAGGAACGGTCGCATCACTTTTTACGCTGAATGCCGCTCACACGGAAACTGTGTGTGGCACCACAGGGGACTTTTTCGTGTTTGCTTCGATGAAGAAATCGCTGAAGGCAACCTAACAAAGGTTTGCAATTCACAGAGCATAGTTGCTGCAGAGTGTCTCTGTTAGCAGAAGCAAGCAAAATCAACAACTTCTCCAAAGTGGGCCTGAATACATACAGTCAGATCTTGTTATTGCAAACGTCAGATTAACAAACTTTTCAGATTTACGAAAATCTCCAAAATCTTGATTTTCTACACTACTTTCAGTGTAAAAAATATTTCAGCAGTATGAATTTCAAAATACTGATTATTTCAGAATGTACATACAAAATTTAATCGCTCTTGTATGTAGTAAACCCCTCAATATTACAAATTTATTTCCTAAAACATTAATGAAAGATCCTGTGTGCTCACGCAACTTGGCGGCTTCTGCCACTAGGCGGCTCCCAAGACTGACACTATCATAATCAGCAAACATTCATTGGCGGCAAATGCGCAATAGGCCGCAAGGTCTCATCTCATACTCGTTACATTGTTACATTAGCTACTTCGGCTGGTGCCCTACCGGCCGCAGTAATGTGATACAAGGAAGTTGGCAAGATACCCTATCTGGCCAACTACCTTGTGCAGCAATGTTTGGTTCGATTTTCTGACGTTGAGTTTCTCTTCTCAAAATGCTAGTCCAGTCAGAAGGTGGCGAGTAGCCAGACTAAAGCAATGCAAGCGAACTGTGGAGCGAAGTTACCGAGAAGCTTGCCGTGGACTTCTTGGTGAAGTTCAAGGATTACGTGCAGCGTGGACGTCGGCAGAGCTGACGAACAACAACATTCTAAAAAACGTCCACGAAAAGGAAGAGTGCAACGATGAGGAAACCCACAACAATGGGGCACGGAGGCAGCGCTCGCAGATCGACACGAAGAATCCGCCTCCACCTCTGATCTCCCAAATACCATCGGCAAGTTGCGAATGTTCCTCGGAAGCTGTACTGATGTGACCGACGCGCTTGACACGAACGTTGACGACATAGAATTATTCATTATGCAGTGTTTGTGCTGCATCTACCAGAAACAGATTTCTTCTAATAAATATGCAGTGTTCCATCGCATGTAATGTGTTTCTATCGGAAACGATTGAGTGTCATCTCAATGCAGAGGTAGGCTATCTTTTTCGTACAATTTAATTATTATAGTGCCTATCTGTAACATTTTCACTATAGCAATATTACAGAATTAGTAATGAATTGTTGGTGGTCCCGTGAAATTCATTGTTTCAAAATTCAACTGTAAGAAAAGAATAAAAACTCACGGTTAGTGTGTCTTTTTTTCATTTGAAGTTTGCTTAATACTATGCGTTTCACCGCCCCCGTGAGGTTCTATTTATGAAAAGTCGGCTGTATAACAAAATTAAGCTCCAACAAAGACCGACAGGGTGTCTAGCAAATTATTATTTTGAAATTCCCCGACTCTTCCAGGTTTTCCCTGACAATTTCAGATGGAATTCCCTGACCACTGTGGAGGCAGTTAAATATACAAGACCATTACAACACAAGGCATTGAGCCATGAGCACTGTGAGGATCATTTTGCACCAGCTTAATCCAACTTGCTCATTCCGAAATATTCGGGTTCGTCCAGTCCTGATTGAACAAGCACTTTCTTGCCGCCGACATCGTCAGTGAAGAGGCCACTTCTGGAAACACCATGAAAGCACGACGCTCGACCCATCAATAACCGAATAGCAGTATGGCCGCCAGATGCACACTTTTGGATACTTTCGGCTTAAGGCTTGGAATGGATTGGGGTCTGCGGCTTTCATATTTATTACTAAATCTAGTAGCTCAAACTGGATCTAGTCGTGCCCTCAATCCAATCCAAGGCTTGGACTGGATTTGTCGGCTGTTCTCTTTGCATCATGTAGCACACTCTACATCAGGTCAGAGTACTCGCTCCGTTCTAAGCAGAATTTATTGCCTATTTTTCTGCCCCTATGTCCTCAAGTCTTTGCTCAGGGCACTCAATGGTGTTTCCGGCTCATTTTCCCTGATTGGGCTTGCTTTTTGACAATATCCCCGATTTTTCCCGGTAATTAAAATTTCCCTGACAATTCCCGGTTTTCCCGGTAGCTAGACACCCTGACCAAAGTAGGGAGACGTGGGAATTTAACAGAAGTAAAATCTGATAAATGCTGAATCTACCATGAAAAATAAAATACAAAATACACCCTTCGAATTTCACAAAAATAGACTCCGAAAACCGGGGGTCCCAAGTATGGCGCAAGGCTACACCAGGCCCTTGGCAAGAGCTGCTAAAAAACACAATCACTGAAAAGAGAATGTGTTGTGTGTTCCTTCGCAGTTACATTGAACAGATGAAATAGGTGCAGATTTTGTACCTCGACGGTGCGAACATATTGTGCGCGGCATCTCCAAAAGAATGCCCTGCCAAAGCTATACTCTTATCTTGCTAGTTGCACGCAGCACTCTGGAAACCACAGGTGGAGGAAAGAGGAAAGCCGCTTTTGCATGAATTTTAAGCGACAAGATAATCTCCAAGGGGGACAACAGCGACCCCCGGGATATGCAAAAGAGGGTCCAGGTAAGATGGGAGTTCCTCCATCCATCCCCCCTCCCCCTGCTTGGGTTACGCTCTCGCCCCTGTACCTTTGGTAATGCTGCATGCACAGTGGTGGTCCAGCCATTTTAGGTTTTGGAGCAATTTTTGGAGCAAGAAAAACCCAATTTTGGAGCAATTCGTATCACATAAACTCCCCTTTTGGAGCAGTGAAAAGCTCGTTTTGGAGCACCTTGGTATCAGGAAAACTAAACATTTTGGAGCAGCATGAACATAGAGCAGTTCTGTGCCATGTCATTATTATTATATATATATTACGGCTGCCCTTGTCAATCTTACCTCACCCCCCATATATATAAATATGTCTGTGTGTCACGGACATCTGAATTTCATATAGTTATTTACAAAGAAAAGAACTCACCATAAGAAAACATTTTATTTATGAAAGAACATTCTTGCAGCTAAAGGTAACAAAATATCACAGATGAAAACTAAAATATTGCTTAATACTTCTTGCCTTTTGACTGTAGGCTATATATCACAGGTGAAAAAAAAAATATTGACTCAATGCTTTTTGCATTTCTTTTTCAGTTCGTCCAGCTCGCAAAGAGTGCGTGACAAAGTAGCATTGACTTCAGCTAACATAGTTTGGCCACCTTCTACTTTCTCCAAGCTTTGGCACTTCAGTCCTGCACCAATGGTCTCTTCCGCCCTCTTCAGCAACGCACGGCACGAGATCACCCTTTCCTCCAACTGCTTCTTTAAGCGCTTGTCATGCGAGTTGTCAGCATCAACTTGTGCGCTGCCAGGCTTCTCTCTCTTCATGTCGGCCTCTCTGCTTCCAATTCTTTCCTCATAACGGGCTCTTGCTCTTTTGACGCTTCGCAGAAGGTCTGGTGACAGGGGCACCTTTGTGGCATCTCCATCATACCTCTGCAGGTACGTCTTCACTTGCCGCAATCCGTTGATGCTCGCAATGCACAATGAGGCTCGGCCTTCAAGGAGATGCTTATTCTCACTGAAGCCTCGCTCACAGTCCGCGTTGCCATGAGGTAGAGAGAGCAGCGCTTTTACTAGCCTTGACAACAGTGGGTACATCTGCTGACCAGCTGCGCACTTTTGTTGAAATACTGTAGCCCAATGAGTGTCGATCCGTCCATCTTCCATCAACTGAAGACTGTTAGCAGAGTCACATCTCAGCAGATGCCACTCATCGACCAGTGATGACACGTGGTCGCTCTCAAGCACTTGAGGCAGCTGGGAAGCAAGGTATCGCAAGGATCGGACTTCTGACTCCACGTCGCTGGGCTGCAATCCCAAGAGACTTGTGTGCTGAAGGACTTTATTGTCAAGAAGCAGCTTCTGCAGGAGGTCTTTCGAGCAAGCCAAGTAGAAGGCACGGGCCCCAAGAAGTCACCGCTTCTTTTCACCTGGATCCCATTTCAGCATTGCCTGCTCAGTGTCCATACCCACTTCTGGTTTGGTTTTCCACAGGGTAGAGTCCTGCACATCGAGTTTCTTCAGTTCATCCGCACTCTTGTCCACATAGGCTGCACTCCTCAAACAACGGCTGAGGACTCGCTGGACTAGAGACAGCAACTTTGCGTGGAGTATGTGTAGCAGGGGCTCTTGCTTCTGAAACAGTGTCTGAAACCGAGAAAAAAGCTCGGCACAGTTCTTCAAGAACAATACCTTGGCATAAAGGTCTTTCTTTGAAAATGCTGCAGCAAGCTTGCTGTGAAGATTCTGAGTGTCCACTCGCTGCTTTGTCATGCTTGCCTTGTGAAAGTATGACTTCAGCGCTTCGAATTGTTCTAGGACACGACACAGTGAATCTTGAAGTGTGAGCCAGCGATTAGAGACATGACGCAGAAACACATGAGAAGCAATCCCTAGAGCCTCCTGACATTCTCCGAGGGCTTGAGCACGAACAGCGCTTTTGAAGTAGTAGTAGACGTTTCGGACGACCTCCTCAACATCCGAGCCAAACGCATCGAGACCTTTTGCAAAAGCATTGTGGACTTTGTGAAGGTTGCAGTTGTTGATGTCAACCAAACTTGATGGCATATCCTTTTGGAGCTTGTTCCTCACGCTTTTCATGACGTTAGGCCCGTCACTGAAAAAAAAAAAAAAGCCCTCTCTTCGGTAGCTCAGTCAGCGCGTCTTCTACGCAGCCCACAATTACTTCCGCGGTGGCACGCCCGAGGTTGTACAATTGCACATGCTCAACGACAACCTGTTGCTGGATCTTAGAAAAGTACCTAACAAGCACATCCAGTTGCCGCGTTCTTTGCTCTGGCTTTGGGGTTTCGTCGATCATCACGGAGAAGAAAACATTTGGGTGGCACAGCTCACTCACAACTCTGGACTTGAAGTAAGGGCCGAGTCCATCGGACACGATGCGTGATAACTTGGACCTGCTGCAGCTAAACTTCTTAGCAACCTCGCTGTCCGGGAACATACACTCGTACATTCCCGTAGCACTGTCTCCCCACGAGAAAGGGATAGACTTTGAAGCAACGGACATAGCGAAAATTGATTCCGCTTTCCACACTTGGTCTTGGAGTGATGTGCCAGAAGCACCTTGTGAGAAATCCAATGCGGCTTGCACCAATTTGGGGGGCTGAAGGTTTCCGTCTTCATTTCTGTGCCTTGCAGCAGTTTCAACATGTTTCTTCAATGCTGCGTGACGTTTGATGGCAGCTACTCTATGGGGTCTGTAACTTAAAACGCGCATGCAGAAAAAAAAAGTACTCACGTTGGCTCATCTTCAAGAGGACTTAGTAGTGGCGATGCAGAAATGAACAGTCACAACGCCGCATATCAAAACGGTCGCAACAAAACAATAATGCGCAATAATGCCACCGGGCCGGAAAGGCCGGAAACCTGAATTGGATTGTGATGGCTATGGTAACGGCTCTACCCTTTATTTCGGGCGGCAGCTTGCGCCACCTAGCCTAGAAAATAAAACTCCCACCGGGTTGCCAGCCGAAAACGCCATTCTTCCAAAAAAGGATTCGTTCACGGACCGACTAGCCCTTTTTGGCACAGTTTGGCGCGGTTTGGCGCACTTTGGCGCAATTTGTGTCTTTAGGCGCAGTAAGGCGCAGGTAAAGGAGAATTGATCAAAATGGCGCAATTGGCGCAGCTGGACCACCCCTGCAGAGTATAGCGCTCCAGCAGGAGTGGAGTGCGAAAGTTGCATCTCCTGCAGTCGCCTGCCCCCGCCTTGACCCCACTATTTCGCGTCTGCCCATTTTCTCCGAAGCACATGCTTGTTCTCTTCCCTCTTGCCTAGTGGAAAAGCTCCCATTATTTGTGCGATCAGGTTCACTCAACACATCCTAGATAGTAAAGAGGCCGTGAGTTTTTACATCGCCTATTGGAGACCAGTGAGGGGCGCACATCGGGCACGAGCGCTGCATCACCGTTCGGCTGTGACTCGCGTTTAATTGGTGAGGACACGAGTTCCTGTCATGCGACATTCTTCCGCTTCAACAGTGTGTTACAGGAAGTGGCTAGGAGCCAGTCATACAGCACGTTCTGGGTTAAAAAACAGCCGGCCCGGCCCCTCTGACCTGGTCTCTCTTGTCCCGGATGGCCTTCTGCAGGGATTTGAGTTCCTTCTGGATCCACTTGTCTCGTTCGGCCTTGGAGGTGAACTGGCTACCGCGACCCTGCTTGGCATACAGCTCCGTGCGCTTCTGCTCCTTCAGGCTTAGCCTGCACAGGAAAGTGTTCCATCGGACGCCACCTTTTCGTCTTATCCTCACAAACACAATTCAGTGGTTTCCTAGCAACGAGGTATCTACAGTCTATGTACATGTAATCTTCAAACTTGCAGACTTTTCCAGGTTTTGCTGGAAATTATGCGTTAAATTGCGCAGACTAACATGGTGGGACAGTGGCGACTTAAAACTGTCGTCGACACTGACGGTGCATTCGGGCCTGCGACTTGTGCAAGCTCAAATCCGGATCTGTATACTCGATTGCCACTTGTACGGTTCCTAAACGACTAATGGCGTTTCTTGCACGCAGGTCTTTAGAGCCCTCATGTCAACAAGAACACTTTTCCAGGTTCCCAGCTGCTGCTACTTATAAGCTGAACCCTCCTACAACCCCTCGACTTTTTGGGCTAACTAAAAGCCCCTCGACAATCCCAGGCCTTCCTCACGAAAGAGCCCATGGCTCTATCAAAACATTTAGAGGGGCCCAAGACTATTGTCTTCCGACGTTGCAAGAAATAACAAGACAGCGTGCCGAAGCTGCTGGTCTTCGCTGTACAACACTGAAACTGAAAGTAAAAGGGGAAGTGAAGCTTATAGTAAAGTTTTTCGTGAGAATATTGCAGGCCATATCAGCCACATCACTAATAAAGAAAAAAAGGTCACAGGCTTTTCATATAATGCTTTATGGTATATTGGCGATAATGCCACGAAGTATGGCCACTCTGGATACGGTGCTCAAGTACTACCAGCCATTAAGACTGAAACCCTCCCACGGTAATTGACTGCAACATAGACCTCGCTAGAGTTTTATTTTTTCTAATTTAAAAGAATATAATGTAACACGTTTCTGCAGATCCTGAATTACTGGTTTTCAAGGGTTTATCAAGAAGTTCGAAGAAAATCGAGAAGGATCATTTTTTTTTAAATTGCCACACAAATATTGCACAATTTTGACTTTTTCAATATTTAGAAAACATCAGGCACAATACAAAAAACACAATAGCTGAGCGTTAACTTTTTTGTTAAAAGTGAACAAAGCATGAAATACTCTGTACAAAAAGTTTCAGCTTAAAAACTTAATTTAAAGATGCATTAAAACGTTTCTGAAAAATGTTAAATATGAAATTTGTGCAAGAGGCCAAGTTTGTTGTTTTATTTTACTCGAAATATAAACTTAAATAAAATAAATTTTAGTCTTCTGTGAATAGTGGATTTTGAGTTGGAAGCGAACAGTGGTTTTGGCCGAATATTTTCGATTCAAATGTCGAATAGTTTTCCCACGCCTTTCACTACCATTGCATAATGCTTAGACGAAAACCCAGCTGAACTTTTGAAGGTTGTTCCACTTGTTCATTTATAAGCCAAGTTTAATCTATCTATATTTATGAACTGTGACCTCAGGTCTGATGTCTTGGGATGGTAAGTAAACCACGGCTTTGACATAAAATGATTCCTATAGAAATGGCCAACTATGCCCAATTGAGTGAATTTACAAATCTTAAATATTCTTTCTTCAATTTCGAGTTAAAAAAGAATGAATCGCGCATGAACGCAGGTTGTAAGGGCATCCCTGTCTAACATATACTCTTGAAAAACAGTCAGTTTAATTTTGAATCTTTTACTACAATGTAGATACTGTAAAACCCTTAATGTTCGCAAGCCCTTAATTTTCATGAATATCGCGAATTGAAAAATTCGCTAAATTTAAAGGCTTGCGAAAATTTCGGTCCTTAACAATTTCAATGCAGGTCTCTGGAATTCGCAAAATTTACTGGCTGCAACCATGTCCCCTGTGACCGATTCGTGAAAAATAGGGGCCGCGAAAATAAAGGGTTTTACAGTAGACACATTCACAAAGTTTTCATTTATTTTCATATACAGCCGGCACGCGTGCACCATCCCGCTTTGAATGTATGGTTTTCTTCCAAATAAACAATATCGATATACATACTTTTTAAGTGTTTATCGCGGCGGGTTACCCCGATGAGTGAGGTTCTTATTGAGCACCGATGTAATGAGGAGAAGTAACACCTGCGGAGCTCACTTCCCTGGGTATTGCTTCTCCGCAGTACACCGGTGCTTGGTAAGAAGAGCACTCGACGGAGCTAACCCGCCGCAATCAACGCTTCAAAAAACGCGAATAATGCAGTTCTTCTCGAAGCGAATACTGCATAGTGTATTATTCGAAACTACTATTCGAAATTTTGAATATTCGCACAACCCTGATAAATTTAACTAATTAAAACAGATCAGTTGGCGTGCTTTACAAATAAAAATAGTAATGTTCTAGAAAATTGCATTCCTTATTCCTGTGGCCCTCAAAGTTGTGTCCACGTGCAACAGGTAAAATTGTGGCCCTACCTCCTCTTGGAGGCTTTTTTTTTTTTAAATAAAAACAAGGAAGTATTTTGGGAAACTAAGGTTTGTTTTGTTGTGTGAAAATGCTTTGCTACATCATATAAAGATTTTATTGAAAACAAAAAATAGGCATGACACCCCATGACCATCCTTACCCCCCCTTCGAATTTAAATCTGACTCGACCAAGAGCCCACACCCCCTCAAATTTTGTCGAACGCACCTCACGATTCCAGGCGGGCACAAGTTGGGTATTTTACTCCGGCACACATGTACACACGATGGATTTTAGGAGACTCAAGTGCAAGGGTGCAGTGCAAAGGCAACGTCAGGAAGCGTTCCCACTCACTCTCGGGTGCACTCCTCCTCCCGCTTCTTCTGCGCCTCGTACTGGGGTCGGATGTCGTCCAGCAGCGCCATCTTCTGGGCTATGGTGTCCTTGAGGCGGGTGAGCTCCCGCTCGGCCCGCTTGCGCGACGAGTCGTCCCCTTCCACCTCGTCCTTGAGGTCCTTGATGGTCAGCTCCAGCCGCGTCTTCTCCTTCAGGATTGACGCCTGCTCCTGGCACAGCGCCTCCTTCTCCTCCCGGTTTGACTGCACCTTCGACTTCACCTCCCGCAGCTCCTTGCTCAGCTTCTGCAACCCCAGGCAATTATACGCTTCGTTATCCACCCCGGCATCAGTGATTGTAACCAGCAACTTACCAAAAATCAACGGCCAAATGTAAGGCTTGTATACAATGCCTTAGCTCAACTTTCCACAATCTTCATTTATTTGCTAGGTCTCTCCCTCTATACAATGGCCATTCTTTCATACCAGGCGTCAAGCAGATACAATAAATGATTTGACCACGCTTGATTTATACATATGTGTGTGTGAGTTTATATATATATATACATACAAACGAAATGGCCCAGTATAAACAAATGAGGGAAAAAAAGCTCCAGAAATGGTCAAGGCCATTTTCCTTGCAAGCGGCACAACAGGACCCGACTTAACGTCCTGACCGTCAGTACACTCGAGGCACAGGTGCTACAGAAAACTCCGGGTAACTTGTCAACACTGCACAACCGGAAAAAGCAACTGTTTCTACTGTAGCCCCTAAATTACAATAAATATTTCAACACTTGTACTTGAGAGTCTGATGATCCCCATAAAGTGGTCAGTACCTTAAATTTCAATATTTGTTTTCAGACAAACTATTCTTAAAATGAGAAACAGAATCAGTACAAGCTTGTAAGATAAGGCAAGTGCATGACACCATGCAGAGCGATGTTCACTCGTGACTGCTCAAAGTTTTGAAATAGAGTAGGACCCTGTCTATCTCTTTCCTTCCCAGATTAGCTTTCCTTTAATGAGAATGCACATCCCACACAATTGTTTCTGAACATAAATTGCTTTGTTGCTCTAAACATTCCTAGCTAAAAAAACCAGGTCAGATGGCCGACCCATTCCATTGATTTTTCAGAAATTGCGCAACTTTGAGGCAGCCCCTGCATGGCTTTTGTCAAAATTATAATAACTCGCTAATGAAAAAAAAAAAGGGGGGGGGGGGTCACAAAAAGAAAGTTTTCGGCTTCTTACCTTTATCTTCTCTGCAGCATTTTGAAGGTTTTCCCGCAACTTCTCGGCAACTGAACTGCTCGACTCGCGTCGTGTTTCCAACTAAAGACAAGTTGAAAAAGCTCAGAAACCACAAGCACAAAAACAATCGGGTAGAAGAAACTGTCAACATACCTCGTCGAGCTTCTTTTTCGTGTCTTTTAGCTCGTGGTCGTAAATTGTGTACTCCAGAGACCTGTAAGAGACAAAATCACAAAACAAGTTTCTTATAAAAAATAATAATAATAATGGTATAAAATTAATGCCATTAGCTGGCAAGCACACCAAACGTGCACTCACAGCACACCCAAGTTTAGAAAGATACGCAAAACTACAAGCTCGTCCAAAGATTCAATAATGTGCACTGGGACCATTGGAAACGGAAGAAACAAACATACAACATAGACACAAAATACCTATTCAAAACATGTTTAGAAAATCTCCCACGGTTTATCGGAACTTTAAAACTGCAAGTTGTTCAGGGCACTACAACCATTCTCTGTGAGTTAGATTCCAGAGCTGACCAGCACTACTTCATAGGATTTTTATTCATATCATATATTAATCTCATTTTGTAAGATTGCAACGAAGAACAAAGCAAAAGATACAAGCACACTTTATGACAGTGGTAGTACATATTTACACGTGTCCAGATCTAGACACATGTCTAGATCTGGACTGAAATATGACTAGGTTTCAGCATTCTCCCAGTTCATTCCTGAGAAAAATCGAAGGGTGCTTTTCTGAGTTCATTTTTCACAGAAAATTCGGAGCTTTTCGGAGCTTCCGTCAGCCTACACAATATTCCAAGTTTTTCTAATATTTAGCCTCATTGGCCTGAGTAGAGAATAGAAGTTTGCGAGTTCAGTAGAGCAGTCTACTTATTTGCAATGTAACGAGAGGTGAGCTTTACACAATATAAATTAATTTGTCAGAAATAAGCATACAGCTAATTAAAGGGTCTCATCTGTCTTTAGACGAGCTCTCTTCGGGTGGATGTGCCAACCGATATTCCAGTACTCGGCAGTGTGGAAGGCATATGTGACAAAACTTGCAGACAATAGTGTCGTAACTGCCAATCATTCTAAGTCTAAGTATTATTTGGTTAATTAGGGACCCCATCACACATCGGTACTGAGAAGTCTGACTCAATCTCTCGAACCTCTGTCACCGACAAGTTCAATCTTCAACAAAGAAAAGACGGAGAAAGGCGAACAAACGTCTAGGAAAGAAACCTGTCCAGGAGGAAGGACCTAAGTGGAGTGGCAGGAAAGGCGAGATGTGTTCGGCTATTGTCGCAAAAGGGTGACCTCTTTTTTCTGATAAGGGATCAAAAGATATTCTCTGGTGATCCCTCTAATACAGTTGAACCTCGATTTAATGAAGTCACCGGCACTCGCTAATTATTTCGTTAAATCAAAAACTTCGCAAAATCGAGGAAGGGAGACCTCGCGCGCGCATAGGCTGCGCAGGGAACCTGAATTTGTTCGTTAAATCGGGAAATTCTTAATATTGGGTTTCTTTAAATCAAGGTTCAACTGTAAAAGCAAAAATGAAAAATATAAAAAAGTTGTCATAAGATGTAAGGAAAAGATAAAGACTGGCCAGGTTTTACAACTGGCTGTCCCCAAATTCAGTTTTTCAAAAAAATCTGAATCCGCAATATTTTTAGCAGCGAGCGATGAATATTATCATTTATGCAAAAACGCAAAACCCTAAATAGGACCTACAAAAGCCCAACCACCTATAAAAAAAAGAAATGGCTGCATGTTTGGTCATTCTTCTAACCGTGTTTAAATGCGGTAGCTTCATAGGGTGGGTGGCGATCTTAGTTCGGGAGGTGCCTAGGGCAAGGTTTTGTATGGAAACAGATTACATCACACCATTGTCTCTTCGCGACGCTGCACACGCTTCCTTCAGCACCACCCGGATACAAAGCCTTTACGCTGAATTATCTGGGTCATGAAGAGAGGGGAGGCGTGCTTTCCTGCCCTTTTCACTCCTTGTTACGCATGCTCTTTGTACACCATGTTTCTGCTCCTTTTTCTTTTTTGCCCTTTCCACCCCTCTGCACACTTTCTCACACCACCCACTCCTGCTCCTCTCGTTCCTGCGTGCTAGGTTTGTAGCTGTCAGCAGTGCACTCGGCTTCCACGCCGGTGACCGAGGTTCAATCCCTGGCACCAGTTGGCGTTTTTTTTTTTTTTTTTTCAATATTTAGCGGTTATGAGGTGACCGACCAACACATTCCTTACTTTGCGGCTCCTGAGGTTGGTTGGACTTTTAAAGCTACCGCTTTGATACTTGCTGCTAGAAATCTGCCTCTCTTTGGCACGGAACCGCCAGACAAGAATAGGTTGCTCAGGACTGGCCCACCCATTTCCCTGTTAGGTGTGACAACAATGTAGAACTCCAGACATCTTAAAAGTTCTAAATCATTCAATGCACTTCTTCATTACGAAAAATAATATAATCCACAACTGCAGTGCTACCGGTTAGCCATGTCTTCCATGAGCCCCTAGGGCCTTAAAATAACCAACTGAAAAAAATAAAACTGGATCAATAGACTCAGTCAGTCAAAGAGCTCGCAATATGGACTTTTTGTACATTGTAAGTTCAAATCTCACGTGTGCCGGTTTTTATACAGACGAGCGTTGCACCAGTGTCTTTTACGCGTTCACCCACACTACATTGGCCCCACTGCTCCCCCGAGGAACCCAGTCTCGAGACAACCTGCAGCCACAGACAGGGTGTGGCCGACGTTGGAGTCCCGGGCTCACCCACCTGCGCATCTTGTCCCACTTCTGGTACTCCTTGAGTTCTTCCTTCTCCTCCTCGAGCGTCTGCAACCGGTCCTCGATGTACTTGAGGAGGTCTTCAATCTTGGTCCGCTTGCCCTCTGTGTCCTTGAGCAAGACCTTGCTCTCCTCTCGCCGCTCGTCGTATACACGCGTGCCCGCCACCTCCCGTAAAAGCTTCAGCCGCTGTGAGTCTGGTGCCGTCGCCATCTGGTTGATCTGCACCGCACATGAGGGGGGGGGGGGGGGGGGGGGCACTTTGTCCAACCAGTTCACGCAATACCTCCTACCTCATTGCCAGATTTTCTGCACCTCTAATAATTGCATTAATGCATCAATATGTGCCAAGCGGGCCCACACACTATGCACAGAGTAGCCAAGGTTAGGGGTTTCTTTTATAATTTGAGAGGACAAATTCAGTCAGTTTATAATGATGTGCAGGGTACTTTCCCTCAATCTTCTCTCGCATAGGGCATTAATCATACAACAGAAAGTATGGTAGCCTCCAAATGGTGTGCCTTGCACTGAACCTCAAGATAATAGAACTGCAACTGACACATGTAATGTTGTATCTGCAGCAATAAACAACCGTGAAAATACATATCAATGCCACTGGGGCAAGCATTCACTTGAGCCCTTCCACAAATCTATCCGCTTCATCAAGAACCACTAGGATGAAAGGACAAAGGCCTGAGGTCCAGAGGAGAAAATTTTACTCTCACAAATTGCAGTAAAGTAGGAAAGTCTCCTGTTCATACGGCAAGCAAGTTCGCCTGCTCGTTGTGCAGAGGGTACGCCGACCTCCTCTCAGCTCTGACTATTGAATAAAAAAATAGTGTCTAGAAAGAAAGGTGAAGTTCGTCTGCTCCTAGCACAGAGTGTCCTGTGACATCGGGGTGCCAAGCTCTGCCATCATCTTCAAGTTGAAGCAAGCGGTACAATGTTTTATCGAGTAACAACCACCAGACGAGCTATAACGAACAAAGATCTCACAACCGAGACATTGTTCGCTATCCACCAAAAAGAACAAAGACTGCTGGGGCGGAGCTTTGTTGCACACGCGATCACTTCCTCTCACCTCTTACAGCGGTAGCTGTACCTGGCCCGTAATGCCAGCCAATCGGTGGCGCGTGATCGTTATCGTGGCCAAGCTGGTTGCCTAGGCAACAGCAAAGGGGAAAGTTGCATGCCACCGTGGAGAAAAGGGAGCACAGCAGTTGCAACATCATCACGCTGGAATGCGACGCAGCGCGCTGGTGGAAGCACACACTTTATGTCACCGGGAAGGAATGACTGTGTGACCGACGGCTTGCGAAGGCAAATTTTACACTGTTTTAGGAGGTGGACTGAGTGTATACAGGGTGTCCCAAATAACTTGCACCAAACATTTAAAAAAAAATGGACCACTCTGCTGCAGTGAAACCAACAATGTTTTGTTAGCAGGCATTAGGAAAGTACACAAACTGATTTTAGCGCACCTTGTTACTTCATTATTTAGGCTACTTAGCTAGCTTCTTTTGTATTTCCTTAAGGGCCAAGGTGTGAACTGGAAAGTTGTAGAGCACATTGAGAAACACAGAATTAAGGTGTTTGCTACATGATACGCTTTGCATGCTTCTTTCGATTAGCCTAAAAAGAAAGCCCGTGAAATATAAAAAAAAGATAATGTGCTAACACGCCCACGCGCCGCACTTGCAGAGCTCTCAGACGTGCTCAGAAGGAACGAGGTCCCCCTTATCACTGTTGCATTGTCCGTGACAGGGCCTTGTGTTGGTGTAGGCCCCAGAGATAGGCGCGAGCACCTGCTGCCTCAAAGCCCTGTCTCGGACAGCGCACCAGTGATAAGGTGACCTTGATTCCTTCAGAGCACGTCTGAGAGCGCTGCAAGCACATGACGCAAGTTGTCACGTGTCCTTCTTTATATTTCATGGGTTTTCTTTCTAGGCTAATTAAAAGAAGTGCGCAAAGCGTATCATGTAGCAAACATCTCAATAGGGTGTTTCTCAATACGCTCTACAACTTCCCAATGCACACCTTGGCCCTTAAACAAAAAATTACAAAGATAGCTAATTAGTAGTACCAATTAATTAAAGAACTAGGCACACTAAAAAAAAATTGCATTTTCGTAAGATGCTTGCAAATATCATACAGTTTGGTTTCTCTCCCATAAAGCGCTTGGTTTATTTTTGAAGTTTGGTGCAAGTTATCTGGGACACCCTGTATGGAGAATGGGCTACAGCAATGCAGTTTATTATGCAGTTAGGAAACTACCAAAGCATATTCATGACGTGGTGGAAGAAAATCGCAAACAAAAGCAAGCCATGGCCTCGCCGGGCCAACAAAAGTCGTTTGTGTTTAAATTTCAACAGTAGGAGTGATCCTTGCACAGAAAAAATGTAAGATGTGTCAGAAAACACCACGGCTGCCACCACTTCATTTGCAGGATATGGCAATGAGCCTACGAGTTTCTTTGTCTCCCCTCCTGTAGAGTCTTCACCGTTTTGCACCCCCTCCCCCCCGCCCCCCATGCAAAGGGATGTGTTATGCTTGACATGCTAGCCGTGTAGAAAGTATTCTTTTATAGCTGCATATCCCTGTTACTGTCATCAAAAAGAAAGTTTAGTAACTTTCTTTTTGGTGATAGTAACAGTGGTTACAGTGACAGATTTTGACACTGTTACAGACTCCTCCCATTATTTGCAATACATCAGAGCAGTGACTCACTTTGCTTTTTTTTCTCACATCATTTATGGTGGCAAACCCCCTATATTCCCCTAGGTCTCTCGCAAGTTGAGACAGACACCACAGCATACAGCACCCAAGACTGCACCCAGCGGTCTCTTCTATTGGATGTTGGGCAAAAAGCAGGTCCCGAACCATGAAATATCATCAAGAAACTGTAAATTATAATGGTATCTGCCAAACTCTCCACTGGTGTCGTCCATACGCTAGGCGATAAATCAAGTTTGAAAATTAGCCTGGACTCATCAATACTGGACACACACACACACCCTACCGAGAAGTTCCCCGAGACGAGGAGTCACTCACTTTGCCTTGCTTTACAATGTAGTAGGGATTACTCCTGGAGAACCCCGCACTCTCCAGGAGGTTCATGACATCTGTTCTCCTACGAAAAGAAGGAGCAAGCAGAGTAAGTGGCTACCTGGACACAGCTGCACGCAATCAGCATCAACCACCGCACTCACGTGACCACCTTCTTGTTGAGGAAGTACTGGTCCTTCTTGGAGCCAATGACACGCCGCAGGGACACCTCATCTTTGTCAACCTAGAAGAGATTTAAAATCCGTCAAAGTCAAACAAACCTCCCTTGTCTATAGTATCATATTTTCCCGACTGTAGTCCATGGACTATAGATGTCTAAAAGTTTTAATTGTATGCAGTGTGAACTAGCTGCACAAGGATTTTTTCAAGATTGGTCATCATGACCGGTCATGACGGATTTTGTGAATGACAGATTACACCAGTAATATCTGTATACTACAAGCTCCTCTGCGTGTCAACAAGGCAGGACTTTTTCAAGGTGTGCTATGTAGCAAGATTTGTTTTCATGCAGATTATGCATTGGACTATCTGGCTGGAGACTATCAAAGGAAATTTCAGCAGAAATTTGCCCCTGCAGACTCTACACCAGGTGCGAACAAATTGGTACAAGGTACACCAGGTTTGGCAAATATGGTATAATAGCGACAAATTGTTTCCACTAAGGAAGAGTTCCAAGAACCAAAACCTTGTTTTGAACTATGAGTCATTAGATACCTATTCTGACCCCACCAGCGATATATGAATGTTTTTCAGGTGTTAGAGAGCCACATGTGGATGTTCACCATGCTTGTAAGAGCAGAGTGCTACTTTTCTTCCACTTCCAGGTGTTAAAGGAATAGGGAAATAAGGTTCTGCACTTTACTCACTGTGGTATAAGCAGCATCTAGAAAACATAATAATTTTATAAAAAGAAAAAATGTGGGCAAACAAATTGAATAGCGTAGTGTCATCCCTAGCTTCAACACTGGGAACCGGTTGTTGTGGTTTTCCTATGCACCGTGAACGCTATCAAAGGTCAGAGCTATTCGATTAGAATCGCTGGTTTCGCATTCCTACTTTTAGAATGCTGCCCGAGTGTCGCCATGCGATTGGCCTCCCCAGGGCACAGCACGGTGTGGAGAAGCCTGCCGTCGCAAAGTCAGTGGCAGAGAATAAGATTGAGATATTCTTCAGACCTCGAGCATTTGGGTAGGTCAAGTGGCAGCCATGATGATACCGCCGAGTATACCCCGCTTAACCTCACGATCAACTGCAGCAGACGCTGTAAGCCGTCAGAGCAAATGCAATGCTGTGCGAATCTCGCTCGACCTTTGAGCTTAGCGCAGTGACACGCATTGGTCACATGATACGCTAACAGCACTGGATTGGCAGTGATGGCTGGGAACAGCCAATGCAGTTAACCGCAAGGTGAAACGGAATATAGCGAACCTCACGGCCTAGTCGGCGCTGGCCTCACAGAGGCAAATCCCAACACAAATGTCCCAGAATGCACTATACACTTTGGAGGCTACTTTTGGAGTGCCTGCTAGAGTGGCATACTGCAGCAATCTAATCAAAATACAAGCGTGCTATTACCATTTACGATTATCAATTATCATATTTAACTTCACTTTGAACGCACTACCATAGTTAAGGGGAAGCACGGCCTAGGAATCGCGATTTTTTCAAAAAAGTCACATTTTTGGAAAATAGGCTGACCAGCTTTTACAACTCATAAAGAATGCTGTCCAAAAATTTTATTCCTGTAAGTAAAGTATTTACTCAAAAATAAATTATTTTCGAAGTGCTGGCGGCCGCACGTGCGCGCCGCCGACGCGGCCGATTACGAAAATGTGCCATTTTCAAAGCACGCTCCCTCTGCACTTCTTAGGACTAGCATGGACAGGCCCTCCTCGTTGGAATGAGCGTCTCGCCCTCTTTCGTTCTGTTCGCAGCATTGTTCGCGATATCGTGCTCACAGACCGTAAAACCCCGTAGAAAACATAGCTGTGCACGCTCTTATTGGCCAAGCTGGCGAAACAAGAGCTCTGATTCGCTAGGACGAGCCACATGACAGGGCTCGTCCTAGCGAATCAGGAAGCTCTGTTGGAAATGGGCATACAGCCAGGGAGCTACCAAGAGTCATACGGAGAGAGGGCCACCAAGATGAAGGTTGCGAAGGCCCAAGTGAAAGCGCTCGAGTCCTCCAAGATGTCCCACAAAAAAAGGAAGATGGAAGCTGTGGCCAAGGCACAGAGGGACCGTGCAGAGGAAGGAGTGACATATGCCCCTGGAGCATTTTAGATGAAATGGCAAGCCCCATCTAAACTAAAACACTGTTCGAACTTTCAAACCCTTTTTTCTCAGCTTCATGTTTTCACCATTTTTTCACAGCTCTAAAACTATTGTTCGATGAGTTAAGCGCCCCCAAGTCTAATGTATGGCTTTTTTGGCATGAAATTTACTGGAGAACTCGGCTATGCGCTTACCCTTTGCAAATTGTTATTTCTTCACACAAAAATGTTGACGTTTGTGAAACAAGAAAAAAATTCTAAATTCATACCATTATTGAAAGTTAATTTTTACGTGAAATATGGCCTTAAAAATTATTTCAAGCCTACTACAGATTAGTTTAGTCATTCAGCGTTATATCCCAACAAAGAAATTGTGCCTTTTTATTCATATTTTGAAACGATAGTTTTTTTCCTTTGGTACTGCTACATGTACATTTTTTTCAACGAATAAGGCTGTAACTTGTCAAAAAATAAACCTTTTGGGTTGAAAGTTGGTTTAGCCTCCTAAGTTTTGACGTTTAAAATACCCTAAAAATTTCATTGACCTGGCACAAATACTTAAAAAGTAGACCCTCCAAGGGAGTGCCTCCCCTTAAGGAAAGGAGCATGATTCAGCTAAAAAACAAAAGTGGCCTCCATTTGTTCATTTTACGGAGACCAATGAAGAAAATGGGATCCTGTTTTTTGCCCCACATAAATTAACTGTGCATCACAGAAAGCTGAAACTCCGCGTAAATGGGACGCTAATTGTAGTGATAGAATGCAAAAGTTTAAGAACATTACATAACATGGATCAAAAGATAAAGCAGAAAAAGTAAATGTCTACAAGCCAATGTCCACTTAAACCTAATACAGTACAAACTCATAACGGACCTTGATAATGATGAAGATGTTGGCCTGTTATAAAAAGAGTATACAGAATGTAGATACCCTTACTACAGGCTTTGACATGAATTATGACTGGAGTCTTTTCTAACGAGAGAGACTGATGAAATGCAGATGGATATTATAAAAAGAAACTGCTTATTGAAACTTCTTCACTTTGCAAGGCAGTGATTTGTTTACTGAGCTGTGCTGGATGGTTGTCATCACTGCACGCTTTGAGTCATCCCAGGCGCAAATCGGTCCACTTCCAGCTGGATTATGGAACTGGTCCCAGCTGGAAGTGGACTGATTTTCGCCTGGGATACGAGGCTCGCACGGCGCCTCGCACGATGACATCAGTTTGGAAGATGGATACCTCCGCCACCGAACCAAAGCCGCGTAATGTCCGAAATAATGACTGCGGTTGAAGATTCTGCTATAATGGAATGGTAACGACTTACAAACTCCCTAATATAGTCCATTATATCCGAATGTATGCTATATGAATAACAGAATCTGTAATAAGCGAAGCTGGCTCAATGACATAAAAAGGAAGACCGACCCAACTTCACTAATCGGTACGTTATATCTGCTCTAACGAGGTTATGCTGCATTCGCCAAACCAAGGAATGGCACTGTGGGTACCTGTGGCACTTATTTGTGAAAAAACACTACCTTGTTTACTTTCTTAGAGAGAAGTAATTTGCACTAAAATATATGCCACAGGCACCCACAATGCCATTTCTTAGTTCGACCAACATTGGGTTTGGGTGGACATCAGCTCCAAGACAAATTCCATCTTTCTTTTTTACCTCTGGATCCAGGTAAGGCATGTTCTCAAACTTTTGCATTGTATCACCACCCCTCAACTCTGTTGCAGGTGGAGAAAAGCAGGATGAGCTCCTCCCACAAAGCCCTCCACTCTTTCCACTCTAGCAGAGCAAATGCTGGAAACGAGGAAACACCCTGCCCACCTCCTCTCCAGCATTTGTCCTGCTTTCCTCAACCTGCAACAGGGGATAGCGGCACCTACACACAGAGTTCCAGCTTTCTACAATGCATAGTTCATTTATACAGGCCGAAAAACGGGGTTTCATTTTCCTATCGCACCTTGGTAGTTCGAATTTGGCCCCCTAAACATAGCAAGGAAAAAAAAGAACAGCGTCTTCAATGGGACAAATAAGAACCATTGAAGGCTCAACTTCAGAGCCTTCAGCTGTTTTGGCACAGCTCTATTACCACATTTACTTGAATATCGACACACTATCTATAAATAAAGCCTGGGTCTCCACTTTTCCGTGGAACATGTGGATTGCCCATCATTGCGATCGGCAGAACAAGCGCTTGCATGACAGAGATAACACTCTCATGCGAAACTGCTATTAGCGAATCATCGTATTTCTGCAAGGTATCATTTTCTCAGCCTCATAACCTGCTACATTTCTTAGATTGGCTGTACACGCGCTCTGTAAGAATGCAGATGGCTGCAGGCCTTATTCATAAAGAGCCTGTCTATAACGAGAGTACATATGACACAAATACGAGGACATCTCTTTCTAGAGCCGACGCAGGCTCATCGGCTTAATTTTAAGGTGCTCCAGATGCGAGGCTGAGGCTTACAAAAAAGTGACACACTACCAAAGACATTAATATAAAGCATGAAGTAGAACTAGAAGACACATTCAGCAGTTTTTGGTCATTCATATAAGAAAAGTCCCCCCGGGGGAGCGGCAACCAGAATGCACATAACAGTAGGGAGTGCCGAAATCCTGTCCGTACCGGTAAACGGTTGTCTGCATTGTCAAAGATGATCTCCACGTATGCAATGTGCGCTCGCGGGCCTGTGCCTTCGTGAAGAAGTGCCTGCCGTTGCTCGGGTCGCAGATGGGAAAATTCGTCGCTGAGAACAAATTGAATTGCTGCAATAAAGAGGTTCAGTAGTGAGCTTTCACAACAGACAACCACGACCAAAGCCGGCAGAAGCGTGAGGCAAACATGAACAACACATAGCAGATTGCATTGCTCGACGTTAGAATTGAAGCAGTAAATACCGATGGTACAGACCCACTTCGACCCCGACACCAAGCACAGATGGAACCTACCAAGGTCAGTCTCATTCAATCCTATAATGAAACTTTACATATATGCCCACTGTGATATCTAGAGGTGCCCCAACCCCGAAAGGTAGCCGACCTACTTCTTAGGCATTATTTTTTCTCCATGCAAAAACACCAGAGATAGCCTACTCCTAGAAATAACAACAACCAGGTGATCTCTGCAGTAACGGGGCAGCATTTGACAACAGTCATCTTGATATATTTTCCGCGTCTGTCAGGGTTTCCATAGGCACCATTTGAAGCTACTTGAAGACAATGTAGTAACTTAGGTACTAGGCTATCGGTCAAAAGCACACGCCTCCAAAGAACACAAAAGAAACAGTGGCTGTCGTGGGGACAGAGGGCGACAATGCTGGCTATAACGTGACTGGAACATCCGACTATAGCCCCAATATAGCTCCACCCCACTTTCTATGCAATAAATTGCATAGACAGTGGGGGGAGCTATGGAGGCTACAAGAAGGCAAAATGGCGGTGACCCAATTCACGGCGGCGGTCTTGTGGGCAAATGCTGCATACGAAGTCCGAAGAATAGAGCACAGAGTTGAACGCCATCTAAAACAGTCGCTGTTACATTAACTCTCTGGAGTAAGCGACGATCCCGTGAAGACATAGAAAAAACGAGTCGGCAAAAGTAAACCAACTCTCACATTCCGATAGTGTGCATGAGAAGTTGTGTGAACAGACTGCAAAGAAACAAACTTTCCCATTCCTTAGACTAGTGCTGTTGTTCTTTTAACACAGAATGTGTTCCAAGGCATGGATTTCTTGAGAAAATCCTTACACTCGAAAGTAGAGTAACACGTCACCAAGGAAACATAAAATATACGTAGCCCGTCATGGCAATGTATAAGCATACAAAGTAAATAGAAGGCATACTAAGTGATAATTAACGAGGTTTAGCAAGCAGTGCAGAGAAGATCGAACTCCAGAACGCGCCACGAGAAGGAAAACACGGCAACTCGCAGCCTGCGGTAGTAGGTGACCGTGGGAATACGCAGCTGGCTTCTGAATGACGAAACACAGCTCTCCACGTGATCTTCCAATGTCGTGGGGCGGATTATAATGCACCAAAGAATGGCGCAGCGGGTGTGTGACGTCACGATTTTGCACAGCAGCCAATAGATGGCAAGCGGGCACAACAAACTTTTTTTCCTCGCAACAAAGTATTACATGACACAGCTCACGTTGCAGCCCTCAGTGCAAAAAGACAGATCCTGCACCAGGCAAAGCACCGTGCGATTCGGCAACACATTCGAAAACACCCAAAGCTCCCTGCAACCGTGCATAATGCAAGCATGGCCCATTCTGTGCTACACAGATTTATTAAAACGACTAAGACAAACTTTTTTTTTTTTTTTTGTATTTAGAGCTCCATTTATGCCAATACAATTTTGACTGATTCACTGAAAAGTTATGCACATGCCTGCAAATGACAGATGTTAAAAAAATTTTCACAAATTTTGTTGACACATCTTTTTGTTTTGATGCAATTTCCTGAACTTCTCCGACCAAAAATCCTTGCACAAATCTAGCTTTTCGCTGCTCTTTTGTTCACAATAGCTTCGCTGCCATGGTTAGCAACCAGTCCAGCATGCACAAGTGTAAAAAGAAAAAAAAGGTAGGTGGATGGCGCACAAACAACCAGGATTACTGAGATTGATCAGCTACATCACGAGCAAATTGCTAAAGGAAGCAGAACAGACAAAAACTGCTTCCCGCATTTTGGAAACTTTGGTGTACTTTTGCCATGGTCAGCATGTCAAAGTTTCTGTTTTTGGGGGTTGTTTTGTAGCACTGCATTCTCATTCAGCTGGTAAGAGGCTTTAGTGACTGAAAATGTGGGCAGGATAGGACAGAAATAATGGTCTATCCAAAGGGTTATTTGAATAGTTTAGTAGCTGCACAGTAGACACGTTGTGGGCGTCTCCTTTTCAGCTTTGTCCAGCACCTCAGGTTTTATGACGCGCAACTTTAACCTGTTCATCTGCTTGCCGTCTCAAACAAAAACATCACCAAGATTTATGGAATATTTGAATGATTCATTCGAGCCGTGAGGCCAGAACACACTACACATAGGAAGGCACCATCAGGAAGGTGGGCTCGAGTTTTAGGCACTAGACTATGGGGGCTGCAATTTAGCTAGGGGGAGACAGAAGGTTCCTTAGTAGAGGCAATACTAAAGAGCGCTGTCCACGCAAAACACGACTCCCTCCGATTTTTTGTAATGCACAATTTCCCGTCACATGGGAGCGCACATGAACCGTCCCCTCGGATACTCTTTGCTGCTAATCCGCCGTGTGCGGGCCTACGGAGCTCAAAATCGTGCGCGACAAAAGTATATTTAGCTGATTATTGCTTGCGGCCAAGCAACTATCCCAATGTAACGGATATGGAATCCTCGCCTCCCTATTACAACTCAAGGCATGTTTTAAAAGGAGCGTTCCAAAGTAGTCTGGACGCAACCTCCTAAATATGCCGTGACATAAACATATCGGCTGCGGAAGAATAAACCAGTCATGTCCCATCTATGCGACACACGGCGAACCCAACTACTCATTTACCGACCAGTTTAGTTACAATGCTGACTAACCAAACAGTTTCGACCAGGAAGGGGCTGACTTAGTGCATACATTCTCGTTTAATCGAGTAATATGTTTGCCGAGTGAATGGGACGGGGGACAAGTGTTTGGTTAAACCGAACACGACCGTGGTTCAATCCCCCGGCCGGTGCTTCGCACGCGACGTCTCCCCACACACGCGTCACGATCTCTCTTGCCTAGAACGACGACTCGGGAGGTGAGAAATCAAAGAAGGCTCAAACTGGCCAAAGAAAGTCCCCGCCGAGCACAGAGGTACCAGAGGAGGGGAATGCCTCGCCGGCGGCAAGCATGTCGCAATGATCGCGATCCGTGCCGTACTCACCATAGAAAAAATTGCTTTTTCCAGAACCATTTCGACCAACTGCAAGGGAGAAGAGGAAGAACGTCGAGGTTTTACACGGTGCACCGACGACGGTCCGTAGACTCTGAGGCAAGGCGTACTTACCGATTACATTATGACGAGGGCTGAAGGGTTCCACACACGTCTGTTCTTTGTAACTGCGGAACCCCTGTATTATTAACTGCAACAGAGAGAAAACGCCGGGTAATGTGACTGCTGCCTGCCGGGCGCGGGGAGATCCGTCGCGACGGCGGTGCTAGCCTAGAGCACAGGGCCCGGGAAACCCCTGGTTTCCGCGCCAGCACGAACGCTCGGGAGCCGCATAGAGGGCATACAACTGAGGGCCCTCAACGTGCAGTGCTAGAGTGTTGTGCGTAGTAGCGTTTGCTGACGGCAAGAACGGCGAAACGAGCAAGAGCAATGCACCTGCCACCAGTGGTTTCGGCTCACGGAGAAGTCGCGGGCTCCAATCAACCCGCAGAGACGTTCCTGAACCGGCCCTTTGCGGCTCTGCGTTCCGGACAAAGGGCACAGCTCCGGAACGTCCACCGATAACACTTACAGTTCAATTTTAATTTATTTCGGCAGAAAACAACCAGACACTCATTTAGGCTTACTTTCAAAATACAACTCACGAACTCCCGGTTTCCCGGCGCTACAATATTTTCGCTTATAAAGAAAAAAATACTAACCTGTTTTATATGCATTTTAGATGTTGTGTGTCACAAAAATGTGACACCAATTAAGCGTGAAAATGCCACTTTTCGAGTTTAATTGTGCACACAGTCCCGCCAAATGCCAAGAAGTTCAAAATGGCGGGAAGGAATCGGATCCCTCTGGTGCTCAGTTTATCGTCACGTTCACTGCATGCCTCGAATATCTATTTAAAAGAAACAGCCACGTCGTGAACAGTTCTTAATTCTAGAAAAAAGAAACTATGCAGTTGTAATTATTTTCTTATTAGTACATCGAGTTACTACAGCTACAAGGCTGCAAGCATAAAATTTCCCTATATTGCCACCATGCAATATGTTTTCTTCGTGTATTTTTTTATTTTTGTGGGCTTTTAGCTTGTAATGTGGGGAATTTTAGAGCCATGACGTCCAAAAAGTACCTACAGTACCTACACGGGACACAAAGCACACATGAGCACACCGGCATCATCGTTTGCGGGTTTGCAAGCGAGAAGTAAGTTGTGTAGAGTGTAATTTGCCGTGATTGCCCTCCCAGTCGTGCGACAGATGGTTCGCACAGTTTTGTTTAAGAACCCCGTGCAGACAACCCCGCATTCCTAAATGGCCAAGAGGAAATCGCTTCCCGAAGAGCCGAGAGCGAAGATGAGCGGCCCCTTTTTCCAAGTTAGCGGCACCAGCGAGAAGCGCGAGTCGGGGCGCGTGAAGGATGCTAACTTACGACGCGTGCTCGACTCGGCCGCGAGAATGCGGCGCCAAAAAAAGTCAGTGGAAGGCCTGGAGCACGACAACTTCCACGACGATCCGCACGCTAACCTGGTGATGCATAAGAAGGCGCCCAAGTTCGAAGAGACACTCGAGGCGAAGAGGAAGCGGCGCAGCAAGGGCGAGCCGACCAAGGTGCGCTTCAAGAAGGGGTTCAACGCACTGGTAGAGGAGCACCAAGCCGCCAACCCCGAGCCGCCCAACTACACGCATGCCAACGTGCCGCCGTCCAAGTTCCCGGCGAGACACTTCTGTGCAGTGTGTGGCTTTCCGTCGAACTACACATGTGTCTCCTGCGGTTCCAGGTACTGCTCAGTCAAATGCCTGGGCATTCACCGCGATACGAGGTGCTTGAAATGGACGGCGTAGCAGTGTTCAGCACCACGACCATCGTAATCGTCTCGCCCCGTGCCTCGGTTCATGAACCACAATGATTTCGTGTACACGTTGGCGGACTCGCACACCGACACGCACTTGCAGATTGACGTTGCAGGACGTTGAAGAACCAGGCTTGACTCCAACCGAGCACAAACCTTGCCGAAGACAACCAGAGAGTGGGCATAGACAATGGTACCGTACAAGCAGATTAAATATCATGCGGAGTGCAGCCTCCACGCGCTACCCTGGATGGTGCTTCACTGCGCACTGTTTCAGACAAGATTTTACTCAACCTCATCGAGGACAGAGTGCGGAAAATGACGACTTCCCGCCTTTTATAGTGACCACAATTGTGAATTATATTTTTATCCGTTGTCTACTTGCATTACATCTTGTTAGGAGAAACATGTTATCATTGAGACATTCTTTTCCCCTGTCCTTCTTCTTCGACCAAGTTTCCCTGCTTTTACCACAGTCTCGGGTTTTCTACATCATGATCAACATCCACCAGCTCGCCAGCGCACTCACTGTTTTTTCATGTTATCATTGCTGTTGACTTTGTGTGAATGTCACCATTTCAATTGCACACATCATACTGTGCCGGTGGTTATACCCCTTTGAAAGTCGTACGCCGATTGATAGGAGATTGGACCCACTGCACAATGGCAAAACAACTGACACCACGGAACATGCAAGACTACCTAGGAGTGATGATAACTGCAAAAGCTGAACGTGTAGCTTTGACAAGTGCTCCCTTTGCACGAGGTGCAATCGAACACAGGGAGCTTGTGCTTGTGTCGTGGAGAAAAACAAATTGGATGATGCAAACTGAATGCTGTAGAAGGTACAGACTCGACAGCAAGGCCGCCACAATGGCTTCCGATTGAGACATCAATGCAAGCCATGTATTTGCGACCCTAGCTACCTATAGGGGTCGTCACTCTTGACAAATAGGGTGGCTGAAAACAGGTCGTGCCATGCCATGTGCCAGCTCAAGACACTACGCTGGAGTTCAAGCAAAGAAGCATTGGCTTCAGAATGGTTTGCCCAGATTTTTATCCACTATGTTCAGAACCTGTGGCAGTGTGTTAGCACAAGCTAGCTTCAAGACGCTTAACCTTCTCTGGGGAAGCAATGGAGGGACTGCCTATACTGTCCTACTGTGTTGATGAACGTTGATAAACACGCAATGTCTGGTTCGCTCAGTTGTGTAGGTTGCGTTCAGAGCGGCCTAGGCACACCGATACTTTGACTGATATGACAGTAACAACAGAATCACCGGAACAACTGGTTTGCCCTACACATGGGAAGCAATGCAAGGTGCACCCAAGTTGTCGGGCCATTACGAGTCACGGGTTTCCCTGCGGTCCTGTCGCTGCTGCCATTTTTGTTGCTGTGGACCCGACCAACAAAACTTGCCTCCCTTTACTTCAGCAGCCATTGTGCCAACCGCCGATCACATGCAATGGCAGAAGCCAGCAGAAGTGGCGAAAGGACCTGTTCCTGCCAGTTGAATGTTTTCCCGCTAGGTGCCGTCGGTTTTGCTGGAGCTGCGAATAGCCAGCGAGAGGTTAAGAATGCAGAAGCAGCTATGACCTCAAGCATGAGCTTTTCATTTTCAATAACACTTCGGTATCTTGCGAGCACACGCAGCCAAACCAAGACTGAAGGCATAGCTTCTGCATTTTTAACCCGTCTCCGACTATTCTCAACTTTCTGCGATGGCGGTACCGCGGTGTGAGAATCGCGCTCTCTAGCTCCTGGATGATTGGCCTCGTAATAAATGGGCTTGCCTACACCTTCCTGGCATGAAATAATAACATAAGGCCCTAATACTGCTCGTATATAGCAAAACTAGAATTATTTACGCGTCGCAGACCCAGTCTTGTACCGCTGTTCTACGACGATCATTCAGATGACAGCCATTTCAATAGGCACCAGTGCGCCCCCTATAGGTCGTGAAAGTTGCAAATATTTTCTGTACAAGAACGGTTCAACCGATATTGCACGGAGCAAAGGACCCCTTTCATAAGTTGTGTGCGCATTGTTAGTCATTGACAAGAGAAAAAGCATAAGGCCTCTCTTTCGGATAGCCAGCTTCCAGCACGCACTTCTTGCCTTCTGTGGGACTTCGACTGCACGTGCACGCTTAAAGCTCACAAGGAGACTAAGAGTTATTGAAGGTATAAAGCTGGTGCTGGAGGTAGGACAACTAGATGACATCCCTGCAGGTGTTGTGCTATTGGAGACTAGAGAAAGTATGAGCCATTGCACAAGGGTGGAACAAGCGACGACACCACAGAATGTACAATGCTACATAAACTGCAACAAAGTGGCATCGGTAGATTTTCTAGGCTTCCATGTTTGGCAAAGTCTTCTCTGTCCGTCATTGTGCCGGGATTTTGCAGCTTCAAACACTAGGCACACTTTTGAAAGGGGTCTGTCAACCTTTTTCTTCCATATTACTCGAGCACCAAGGAGCATGCTGGGAAAGTGGGCACACCTGCTGCATACTCTTGCCTTATCTGTACAAAAGATTTGAAGCAAATGACCAAGGCGTTAACGGATTCATGTGCAAAGTGCCATGCGCCATAGATTTTTGCTTTAGAAAAGTTGCTGCTGCATACGCCAGCACGTGCACCACTGCAACTACGCTCGCATCATCCTCCTTGGTGCTCGGGTAATTTTGCAGAAGTCTATTATTCTCGCAATCATGCGCCTTCTTCATAAACACAATGTGAAACTGCCTTCACATGCAGGTTTAAAGGGGAGCTCCTGAGAAACTTTGAGTCACTGATTTGCCTAAAAATAATCTCCAAAACCACCATTGTCTCTCTTTCTCTTTGCCTCAAAATTGATTCCACACATACTCCGTTTCACGATAACTTGGCGAACTGAGGAGGCTGCGGCCCTCGCGACCGAATAATAAGAGCGTCAGAGCCGTGGTCAGAGCAAGGCACGTGAGCACTTCACGGTCAACACAAACGCTCCCGTGACGTGGCGCCACGTTCCTCGCTCCGACGCTCTTATTGGGTCACAAGAACTGTAGCCTCTACAGTTCACCAAGTTATCGTGAAACGGAGCATAGTAGACGCACATGAACTTTTTTCATTTTTTTTTCCACAAAGTTAGTGAAGTTTAAAGTTTGGTCCGAGAGTCTCTACTCACAGCACTGAAAACATGTTGGCCCAATGGGTTACAAGTTAATTGGTTGTGTGCAATAATGTGGGAGCAGCTCATGTAAGCAAAACAAAGAGTACAGTACTGTTTTCTAGACTGCCTGCTAGACTTGCAGTTTTTACAACGTGGGACGTCGCCCACTGGAGTGTGCGGGTAAATTTGAGTGTTGATTTTGGAACAACCTTCGTTTGCAGTTTTCCCAATAGGTATTATGAAACTAGAGACAATGAATAGCATGCTGGGGAGAGTGAAGCCTCGGTATTCTGAAAATGTGCTCATTTTGGTTGCTCAAAAACCCGCTGGGCCTAAACTTTTCTGACCATGGGGAAAATGGCCGTTTTATATACCGTACTACCCCGAGAGAGAGCCCACTTAAAATCGAAAGCAAATCGGTTGAAAATCAGGAGTGAGCTAACTTCCGGTGTGCCATCAAAAGTTGAAAAAATGCTAGCTTGAGATATTTGGTGCCCTGCGAAACTTGTAATTGCAGGGAGGGGCAGTGAACTAAAGACGACTATTTTGTCCAGTCAGCAATGTTCGCTTATCTACAGCTGTGGCTAAGTAATGCTATTTCTGCCGACATCACCATTGGCCAGGGCCCTGCAATTACTAGAAGTGGGCCATCTTTCGGTGTGAGGAAATTAGTAGGTTCAGAGTATAATCACATGCATAGAAGTGAAGCTAAATAAATGGGCTCTTCAATTATGCAAATGTCAAAGCATAGATTGAAATTCTAAGGATGTATTTCATCAATGTTCTTCCAAAAATGATCTAAACCAGGTAAAGATATGGCTATCTAAAAACAAAGAAAAAGTACAAAAAAAATGTAAATGTTTTTCATGTTCACAACGAAAAGCTCTGGAACAACTAGAGTTTTAGCTCAAAGCTCAAAAAGATTGAGTTACGAAAAATCAAGTCGACCTTCATTACTGACATGTCATTGGGGTCAGCAGTTTCTCACTGTGGCAAAGCCCAGGTCATTGGAACTGAAATATGATGACCTGGCTTCATCAGCCCCACTGCTGCTATCAGAGTCTGAAAAATCTATAGGATTCGCAAGAATTGCCATATTTGCAAGCGTGCATCGAACCCGTGGAAGTAGCCATAACCGTCGACGACGACATGCCGTCGGTTTTACGCTCGGCTTAAAAATTGCTGCCACGCGGAAAGAGAAACAAACACAGTAAAGGAAACTGGTCTTCAAACTACTACCTACGAGATGGCACAGCAAGCACGGGAGCTCCGCAGGAATCGTGAAATGGGCCTCCATGCCCATCAATCACAGGTGATCAACGTTGTATGGGCACGGTCGGGAAAGAGTTGACAGCTGATCTATGGAATTGTTCCCATTTTTGGGGCACTTGCTTGCAGTCTCACCGGGTGTATTGTGCTTCAGCCAGGTTGCTGTCTCCTCGCCTGCCCGAGGCTCTTGCAAACGCGAATAACCACGCATTGTCCACAAAAAGGCATTGCAAGCAAGTTTTATTCCTACAAAACATCTGCTCTGGAATGGACCAAGTTGCATTTTCACTCGGTCCAGTGCTTAGACGTTACACATTCTGTAGCTGGACAGTGCAATTTCAATCCACCTTGCTAGCATGCTGCAAGAAGGGGACGCAAAGAATGAGTGGAAGCTCTGCCGCGGCACGCCGCTATGCTGGGGCAGACATTTCGCAACACCTGCTACGTCGCATATGCATTCGACCAAGCAAGCAGTCTGGCCAAAACCTGTTGCAGCAATAGCTGCAGTTCCCGAACGTGCGACGTGCGCCATGAATCAGTCATTCGCAGAAAAACTGTTCAATGTATGGCCGGCAACATTGCACAAATGAATCCGTGGATCATACTGCAGCTTAATTGTCGTGCCAACTACAATTCGTAAGATGGTTTGGTCACAAGACCTCCATCCTAAAATTCTTAAAAAGCTTGCTTGTAATGGTGCAGGCATTTCTTATTGATCAACAAGGTTCTCTACTCAACTTGCATCACATAGTTATTCTCCCCATCAAAAATAAACTATAGATATTTAAAAAAAAAAGTGCATGCTGCTGTCTTGGTCTTGATTGGGAGAAAAAAAAAGTCAAAACATTGAATCTAAAAAGGCGAGAGCTGAAAATATCTAGCTACGCGACTAAAATAACCTCGAGAGTCTTCTCGTGAAGCTGAGTTCCTAACAGAAGTCTTAGAAAAGTATGGAAAAAGGCGATTTCGGAAGGAACAATTCGGCTGCGGATTGAGGGGAAAAATGGATGTAGCAGCCGCAAGGAATTGTTGCTTCTGAAAGTGCAACCAGCATGAAAGCACTGAAAATGCCATAGGGTGTTGGCCAAGCTTCATGCTGGAGTTTCACAAAGCAAGCACACACTGCTCAAAGGCATGTGCTTTTTTTTTTTTTTTTTTTTCCCAAAAGGTATGTGGCAGTGCCTAACACGTACAATGTTCACAAATGGAACAGGCCTGTTCGAGAACGTCGGTGTTCATGGGAGGAACTTTTTGGCGTGTAAACGCACAAAGGCGGAAAATGGCCAGAGACCAAACATTCACCCTGCCCAAAGGGCAGTAGGGCATTCAATCGGTATGCAAGACACAAGCCCAAACAAAATACTAAGATCATGTGGCAGCGTACGACATGCCTTTTCCAAGAACATTGTCAGCCGATTGATGAAGCAGCGAGGGAAAAGTACAAGCACCAAACGTTCAGGTGAACACACGCAAGATGGACTAGCTGCCAATGTTAGAATGCGTACATAGTACATAAAGAAGCTAATTTTAGAAGTCAAGCTTTGTTAGAACATACTTGACAATCAGACTGCCCTAAAGAATAGACTGAACTATGAGTGGCTACCCATGTCTACCATATATGTGAAGATGTTGAAAATCTCCCAAGTCATCTCTTAAGTCAGATGTTTTGAAACATGCTCTATGAAATGGGTAAGCTGCCACTACTTCAGATGATCTGTCACACCCTCAGTGCAACAAAAGTTCCTTGTACTTTCAGAAGCTGACGTGGGATGAATCATTGTTGCTCATAAAAGCCAAAGTATGCATATTTGTTAGCTCTTCCGCACCTTTGGCCTAGCTTTTGTTTTCTAGATCTCAACAAACTAGCCTGGACGCCCAAAAAATTGGTTTGTAAAAGCTTTAAAAAAAACATGCTTTCATTGAGAAAACCATTAGCCCCACCGTCAAAGTTCCACAGAAAAAAAGGAAAGCCAAAATGCAGATCGGGCACAGAGACCATTTCCCGGACTGTAAGCAAGCCGGCGAGCCACCCTCCTCGAAGGGAGTCTCCAGAAAAGAAGCTGCCCCAAACAAGACGCCGGAACGGAGTAACGACAAGCACACTACACATGGGGCCCGAGCCCCCATGTACACCTTCACAGAAAGAGCACCACCCTGCCCAAACCTGCCTACACAAAAGATCTTGTATCATGCAAGCTTAGTGCTGCCACAATGTTGGAAGAAAAGCAACCGGGAGGGGAGAAAAACACAGGCAACGAAAAGGGGAAGGGGGGGGACTAGACAAGTCAAAAAGTGCACCAAAGTCGACAGTCTTCCGTGCAAGAGTCACGTTAGCTCCGATGCAAAATATATTATTTACTGGTACAAGTGTGGGGTCGCCGTCACAAATCGCGATAGACACAAAAAAAAATAAAAATAATAACAAAACTGAGATGCCCTAGACAGACACACCGAAGACAAGCGGTCAATGGTGCGCCACTTCAAAAGCCCGCCTGCTCGTAAAAAAATATTGCTGCAGAATCGCTCTTTCTCGTTGCACTACTGAGGCGGGAAAGGGCCAGGGAGTGGGGGGACAACTAGGCCGAGGGGGCCTAAGCAACCAAAAGTGGCAGACTCCCAAATAGGCATCTGGCAGGGGGAGGCTAGAAGAGCTTGGCCCTTCTCTTGAGGTCATTGCGCTTCCATTCGGGCAGGCGATAGAACTCCAGCCGGCTCATGTGGAACAGGGCTTGGAACTCCTCGTTTGACAGGTGGCGCTGCGCAGGGACATTGACATATTACAATTGCTAGCTAGGTGGAGCAAGCTGCCACCCTATTCAAAGGGTATAGCCGCACACATCAATCCATCCAGCACCTGGCACATCAAGCAAACACACGCCGATGAATCCTGGAGAAAAGCTCACCGAAGAAAAGCTCATCGGAGATAAGCTCACCAGAAAAAAGCTCACCCACTTTTGTGCGGGTCTGGAAAAAAGCTCACCTTGAATTAAATTTTTATAAAAGGTGGTTATCAATTCAATGTTCATTTGATGAAGCGAAAATGTTCAGTTGAAAAATGAAGGTACCTAGAACTGCGGGCCGCCACATCTCTCCATCGAAAACTTTGTAAAGTGCATGAAGGTGTTTGGCGTGCCTGTCAAAGTGAATGGTTGTTACAGCTGCCTTGAAAGGGACTTCCATCATCAAAATCCTTAATAAAACATCAGAAAAAATATTCTCTCAGTTTTTCACGCGAACCTGGGTGCTCCAAGACTGCATACATGCCTGCAAAACAAGCTCGTGCAGCAGCTGATTCCTGTTTGTTATACAGCCTCCCGGAGCTTTGTCACCTGTTATGTTTCTCTGGTCATAAGCCCTCTTTTTCTCGGTCCACTGAAAAGCGTGTCACAAGAGACTGCCGTATTCACCACGCCCCGCCCCGAAGCCGCACCAGCCAAATGTATGCGCCCCGCTTATCCACTGCTCCTCGCTTTCCCGCATTGCGCAAATCATCAAAAGGAGAAGCGCACCTCCAGGTGCGCTTCTCCTTTAACACGCACGTGCATGTCTGCAATTGTGATAAACAGAACTGTGGCTATGTTATAGCTACTTTACAGTGAAAATCGACAAAAATAGGACAGTTGTTATTATAAAAACCTGTGTTATATGCTGCACGCCATCAGTTGTCCTGTGCATTAAAAAAATCGTAAAACAGTTGTTATTATAAAAACCTGTGCTATATGCTGTACGCCATCCGTTGCCCTGTGCATTAAAAAAATCGTAGAACAGTTATTATAAAAACCTGTGTTACATGCTGCACGCCATCAGTTGTCCTGTGCATTAAAAAAACCGTGATTTTTTTTGCGGATCCCAGATGTAACGAATTTTGGATATAACAGAACATATTTCCGATTCACGTTGACTTCGTCATAATTGGGTTCGACTACATGAAAACATATTTCTCTACTGGTAAAATGTGCACTTCGATTGAATTAGTTCAATGAAGGCTCAATTCACAGATTAGTTGGTGAACTTTTCTCTGCATGCATCAAAAGGCTGGTGAGCTTTTCTCCGCATACGACGGTTTTGTGGTGAGCGTTTCTTCGGTGAGCTTATCTCTGGTGAGCTTTTTCTCCAGTGAGTTTCTCCTGTGAGCTTTTCTCTGCCGCCCCAAGCCGATATGCCAACTTGGCTGAAAAGCCGCACCTAACTGTCTGTGGAAATCCCCAAAAGAGTCCAGTCCCCCGAGAGCAATCAAAGGTTGAAAGTAAGCAGAAGTTTTCACGCTCCATTACTGCCGGGCTAGAAGCTGCGCCCAAAGTTACAAAACGAGCGCACAGAGCTTTGCTCAAAGCTCCTGATGCACATCCTCTCGATCTCAACGTAAGAGTTGACTGTCTGCACATATGTCAGCTATTAGAATATACAGACATTTCATATCTATTTTTTAGTTAAACAGAGCAATAATTTCAAACCCTGCAATAAAACCTACCACTATAGCATACCCATTTGGTGAAATTTCAGCTCTCTCCATGCATGCACCAATTTTTCCAGCCCATTTTACAGCATACACAATTGTTTATGTGCCCGTATACATGGCCTGCACGTGACGTCATCACTTCATGGTGGTGGTCATTCCTCCTTGTTCTTGACGAGCAAAATAAATTCAATGGTGCCAAATCTACCGTATTTTCTGGTGTATAGTCTGCAGACCATATATGTTTAAAAGTTGGAATTTTACTCTGTGCAGGCTATCTACAGGTGCAGATTATACAAGGTTTTGTATTTTGCTTACATCATCCCTGTGAAAAAGACACAAAAAATCTTATGAATAACAGAGTACAATAATGGTGATTTATGTATGACACAAGCGCCTCTGTGAGCTTATATAGCAGGCATTTGTCAAGATGAGCTGTGCATAATCATTTTTATGTTCGGATTAGGGGCTAAGTGCGGACTATGCACCGGGTGCAAACTATCTAAGAAAAATCTCTTTTTTTTTTTTTTTTTTTTTTCAGCTGAAATTGGTTTTTGTAGACTATACACCAGGTGCAGACTAAAGTCCGGAAAATATGGTATGCTCCAGTTAGTATATGCTAAGCAGTGAGGCCATTGCAATAGCTGCTGAGGTGACGCCAGTGCAAGCCATGTATAGCAAAAACGCTATACACACTTAAAGCACCGGAGGCCAGATTCACGAAACAATCTTACGCCAAAAAAGTGTGCACGACAAAACGTACGTGCAAATCCGTATTCACGAAGCGAACTGTTTGCAAGTTTTGCGCGAGTGACATCAGAATCCTACAACAGCTCCAGAGGTGTCTTATGCACTTTTTCACAATCAAATCAGCATGGCCTACTACGTTGCTCAGTTACTCGCCGCAACGACCAATGGACATTTATTTTTATAGGTGCTCTACACACGCGCTCAGACATCAAGCAGCAAGAAAAAAAAAAGAAGTAGTCGAATCCAACCAAAACACAAATGAACGCTGGATTCACAGATATCCGGAAAAACGGCAACGATCCCATGGACCAAGAGACCACCAAGGACTATTTCGACACTAGGCCTAGCAAGGCACTCCGATGCAGCGTTGCTCCGACAGCCCCTGACCAAGACCATCTGCCCTTGACCTGCTGGCTTGCCGAATGGAATACGCCCGCACGACCCTCGTGTACCTTTCCCATAAAAATAGTTTGATATTGCTGACCTCAATTTTTGGTGAAGAGGTCAGTCTGTTCCCCTTGTCACCGCCTTGTTTTCAGAGGCAGCAGTGGCGAATACTCATCGAAAAGGGACAGCTCTCATCGATTGTATCTCCTTTTTTTGCGTAGGACATAGAGCTCAAATAAATGCCGTATGGATTACCTTCGCAACATATGGTTGTACACTTTGTTATTAGTATGTCCTTTTTATTCCGACACGATGGTACATCAACACAGTAGAGCTAGAGCAGTTCGTGGGAGCTACACAATGACGGTGCAACCTTCCTTTGCCAAGTGTCGCGTCAGCAACAAGTTGAAATAGAAAAAAATTGGTCCCGAAGCGCTTACCAAGACGCGGTACAACAACACGGTTCCAGCACTTCGATCAGACACTCGTGTTTCTGCTCCCAGTGTGAACAGGTATTTACGTGGCTCTTGCTGACATTCTCATAGTTCAAACGTATCTTCCTAGATGTCGGCTTGCTCCTGCATGCCTCAGGCCGCGAAAAACACCGCAACTATTTGTTTTTATGTGCGCCGCTTTGCAAACGAGCGGCGCGGGCCGTCTCGTTTTAGCAACGATGACAGTTGTGGTGAACTTGACTTTCTAGCGATGGAATCCGTAGCAGTCGACAAAGGCGGTTATTCCGGCCTTGGCATTCGGGCCCGTTTGAATCGTGGTAACGTCCACATTTCACTGCATGGACACGATCCCCAGACAAGCGGTGGCAGAAAGGCCGCCTGCATTTGTTGTTATTCAGAATTCACGTGCTCCGAACTAAGCCGAGCTCTCAGATTGGTTGTTCGTATTGCCAAAGCTGTTGTCGCCATAGCAGCTGCCCGCTCTCGCGTACGAGAATTGCGCTTTCTTTCTCTCGCTTAAGAACACATTCGTGAATACCGATTTCTTCACTTCTTACGCTGTGGATAACTTACAAACTTCTTAGCTAAGTTGTCGTAACCTAAGAAGCTTTTTGTGAATCTGGCCTCAGACACACAAACTACAAAACAGCCAACCGTTCGTACAACGTGTCTGAATGATATTATGTGGGATCATGACAACCGGGTTTTCCAGACGTGTCGTATGACATGTTGGATGCTTTATTGTGCATGTGCCCGACCCTTTAGTCTTTTCCACCTCCCACTTCGATCTAGGGGCAGAGTGTCCAGAATTTGTGCACTGACCTCCAGATGGCACCTGTCGACATCCACTGGCAACCTGTAGTTCGATGTCATGAGCAGATGATATGGGTAGAGCTGCAAAACGAAGAAGAGCTTCTGTGAGGCGCAGCTTTATTTTTCCAAAGTTGGGACACACCTAACCTTTCTAACAATTATAGTACCTTGTTCCAGATTAAAAGAATTGTCACCACACTTAACATAAGATCTTTACACCACACAAATAATAGTTTTAGATATTTCTTTGTCAAACAGGATGAAGTTCTAACAATGTACTCTAGGGTGTTTTCAGATCAGTTTGGCCACCCATGTCCGGTGACCATTTTTAATTCTTATGAGAAAAAATATTTTGTAAACTCTATAACCTTCAGAACAAAACTGAAATTCAATTTGTAAAAAAAATTGTTGTCCTTGCGGAAAAAAGTTAGAAGCATGCTCTCAGTGCGAAGCGCTTTCTGCGAATTGCGCGAAGTTGGCATTTCGAGGCACCTCTCCCAAAATAGGGCCCATTCACTTCACATGAAGATAGAGGACCAGCGAAGCTGTTATCTTCACAACTTTACGACAACTATACGATTCACATATGATTGCAATGAATTCCTACACAACTGCATTGTTTGTCTTTATTTAATTCTTAGTGACTAAAGTGGCCATTGCCTTATGGTCATGATAAACCGCCATTGGTTGTATTTTGACTTTAGATACGTTCTTGCTAAGCGTGAGGTTGATACACGTTCTGTTGTTGATTGTTGGTATACGTGTATGTGATGGTATAAGACTATTTTAGGTTTTACAGTGACTTGGGCTCTTTATCAGCAATGCTGATAAAGAGCCCAAGTCTCTTTATCAGCGTCAGGAGCGAGAGGAAAGAAGGTAAGATGGGGCGTTCTGCCCTCAGCCTCGTCACAGCACGCACTCTTAGCTGAGATGAGTCGGTGACATGGATGATAACAAGGGATCAGGACCTCACTATCTAATAATGCCAAGGAAGGCCGACTATCGCGGGTTGCCCCCTCTTTTTATCTATACTTGCCATGACCAATCGGAACAAAGGAGCACAGTTTAAACGGGAGTTTTTTGTTAACATCCATGGACGCATTTTTTTTCCAGATCCTAGCACCATAACAGCTTTACTGTAAAAACTGTTGTGGCTACCGGTCTAGAAATATTTACTCACAAACTACGTATACGCAGGATTGACTCGAAATATTTATCACGAAGCGTCCCCCTGCCGGATGGTCCAAGGTGGTCTACGAGAAAGGCAAGTGAAAGTGAACGTTATCTCTGGGGTCTTCTATCACTTCTATTGCTTTCAAACTACCGGTACGCTTTTCTCCCATGTTTGTCTTCTCTTCGCGTTTCACAATCCACCGTGGCTGCGGCTCCAATGCTGTGAGGAGGTGCACCTGTCACGCCATATCATGCTACCGCCAGGCAAAAGGTAGATAAACATGTGTTAAGCAGAGCAGCCTTCCTATCCCACGCGCCGGCTATTGAAAACAGGCCCTGCGAAGCATGCAACATGACAGTGCCTCTCGATCGCTCCAGATCGCACACACTTTCTGCAACTCTTATACAAAAATGCATGCAGAATTCTCAATTTAAAACCACCGTCAGCCTCTGCGCAGTCAATTTGTTTCTTTCTAAACCCTCGAGCGTTTTTAGACTTTGTAAAAATAATGCAATTGTCATCTATCAGTATCTACATGCCCCATTCACGGCACTGCAGTAGCCTCAATTTGGTCAAATTTCTAGCTTTACAACTTTAAATACACAACAATAATGCAACATGTTGTTTTTTGTTTTTTTTGCAAATTCTGTTAGTACCTATCAATAGCCTTAATGCAGGAGTTTAAAAAAAAAAAAAATTGAAGATTTTTTTTTTTATTGAGTTTCAAATGAACTTCTAATTATTAAAATGATCCCATCTGAGCATTTCTCATAAATTTGTTTCACTACCCAGGACGATATTTAGGGTCAGTATTAACAAGAATCAGGACAACACGCTGGCAAAGTTTGAAAGTTCTGGTATTTATAAATGCGTAGAAAAAAAAAGTTAAGTAAGTATTTTTGCGGAATCTGCTGTTTGCGATTTTTCTCTGGAAATTAACATTGTCAATACTTAATGATAAATATTTTGAGTCAATCCTTCTTATATGTAGTTTGTGAGTAAATATTTCTAGACCCGCAGCCATGACAATTTTTTTGGGGAGAGGTACACAAAATGCCAACTTTGTGCAACTTGCAGAAAGAGCTTTGCACTGAGAGAGTGCTTCTAATGTTTTTCCACAAAGACAAACATTTTTTTTTTCGCAAAACAGATTTCGGTTTTGTTCTGATGAACATTGAGTTTACAAAATATATATTTTTTTTTTGTAAAAATTAATAATGGTCACTGGGCATGCTCGACCAAACTTATCTGAAACACCCCTTACTGACTTGTGCTAACTTGACAACATTTCAATCAAAGCTGAAGAAATAATTGAGTCATTGTACTAAGCATGTGCAGTTGCAAGCTGTTGTATCTGCGGCGTTAGCTACAGATGTGGAAGCACACAAACATGGGATAAAAATTACAGGAGGCTTAAGCTTTGCCTTTAAGAGTGGAATGTGATAGCTAAACATATAAACCCCCGCTCGTTCCCAAGGCATGCAAGCGTGTCTGCAGGGCCTAGCCGGTAGCGTGTCTGGCTCGCAACCGAAAGTTTGTGGGTTCGAATCCCGCCTGTGCCTAAAATGCTTCACTTTTCTTTGAAGGAAAGATGGGGTGCTTCTGCATTTGAGAAAAAACTCTTGAATTGCGTTCATTTGGTTTTTAGAATCACAGATATCCCAATTATGCTTCAATGCGACACGCCGGAGAGCCCTAGGAGCAATTTCAAAATAGGGCTGAAGCCCCGCCTCCCTAGCCTTGGGCAGCCAAAAGATCCGTCGAATATGTCACATACAGCGACTGACATCAGCGTTTTCTCGCGTTTAACAATAATTGCGCAGCAAATGGTTTAGGTATTCGGGTTCACGGGGTAAAAATACACTAGAATTCACGTCTAACTCATTTTTTTTTCAAGAGGCTCCGTAGCTTCCCTTTAAGGCAAATTAATTACTTTATAAAGTGAAATCATTTGAGAGATGTGGCGACCTTTAATTCACATTACAAGTCATGTTTTATACACTTTCATTCCACGTGTGACGTCATGTTTCACGTGAACATTGTGGATTGCTTGAAATTCCCGCACAAGGTCGTGTGGTTGCGACGTCATAACCCTATCGACCAATCAGGATTTTCCCGTCTCATGCCAACCTTTTTGCGGCACAAGCGCCTTAAAGCTATTGCTTTACAACGGAAGTCTCTGCAGATATGCTGTGCCTGCACATTTGGAAACTGGTTGCTCAGCACATAGGTATGCCCTATGACTGTACAATCTTGTCTCCGAATGTCAATGCAGGAAAATGCTGGTTCTACTAACAATAGTAATAATGTTTATTATTACTGCTCAGGAGAAGCCCACAGAAGGGTAGTGCTTCTGTGGCTGCAGAAGCTCTGGTGTGAGCTCCCAGTGCACGTGAGGCCGCGAACAGAGAGAGCGCACCTTGGGGGGTTCGCTCGACAGGTGCCAGTTAACGTTGGGCATGGAGCGCCGCAGGTGCGGGCTGTAGGATGCATACCGGAACCCCGAGTAGCCGTCCGAGAATGGGGTCGACCGAAACATGCCGCTCGTGCTGTGGTTCTGCACACGGGTCAGTCATGCGCCACATCAGAGTGAGAACAACACAATATAGCAGCGAGCTCCATCGTGGAGCACGGGTGAAAAGACGTCGTAGGACCCATCATGGCATGCCCTGGTTGCCAACACAATAACCAGAAAGAAGCAGGCTGTACGCCGCCATTTCTTAACAAGGAATGTGCCACGTTTATTGCGATGTGGATGCTATATATGGATCGCTATCAATGTTGCCAACATGAATGGACCACAAAAACCAGCAGCTGGAGGACATAGCTATCCCAAACTTCATTTTCAAATGCGCACTTCGTTGGTCCAATATTGTCATCGCAAAATATAATTACCATCTAAATCGGCAGTCGCATCATAATTTAGCGAGTACAAATTGCAACCCTTTGCATTTATAGTGCATGAGGGTAATAGACACTCCAATACACTTTCTTAACTGCAGTGCAGTTTTTACTGTATGGAGAAAATGGAATTGTAACATGTGCAAAGACAAAGCACAGCTTTTGCGAAAAGCACATATACATATCAACAGGCCTTGAAGACTGGGAGAAAGTTACCTCGAGGAACTCAAAACAACTCATTTCAACAAAATCTGAAAATATTTATAACTTACCGTAAAATACCGTGGAAGTGCCCGCTTCCTTGAAGCGCCCACTTATTAGTATTTCCCAAACTTGGCAATTGTGAAAATTATTCGTTAAGCGCCAGATTTGGGCACTCCCCCAATATTTTACGGTATAATCAGAACATTACTATCAGAAAGCTTTCAAACACTACTACTGTAATAACCCGAAAGATAGCCCCCCTAAAATCAAGAGCAAATCGGTTGAAAATATGGAGGGGGGCTAACTTTCGGTGTGCGATCAAGTAAAATTGAAAAAATGCTATTTTTAGGTCATCTGTCTTTTCTAAGCTTGTTATTGTGGCGAAGGGTAACAAAGCAAAGATGACTGTACAGGGTGTCACAAAAAAAATTTACAGGGTTTTTTTCAGCGCAAAAATAAACCAGGCATCGCCGAACGCTCATTTTCTGCCCAAAGGTAGCGCTAGAGGTCACAACCAAATGCCAAAGTTTCAGCCCGATCCGATACCTTATTCAAAAGTTATAAGTGATTTTCTGAAAATTTCAATGGGAAAATGGAGCCCAATTTTGCCCGTTTCGGTTTCTGGTGCCCATAGAGCCCCATGTATTCGAAAACTCCGTTGGCTGCCATTTTAATTCACATTGAAATTTTCAGAAAATCACTTATAACTTTTGATTAAAATATTAGTTCGGGCTGAAACTTTGGCATCTGGTTGTGACCTCTAGCGCTACCTTAGGGCGGAGAATGAGCGTTCCGCGATGCCTAGTTTATTTTTGCGGTTAAAAAAACCCTGTAAATTTTCTTATGGGACACCCTCTACTTCTCAGTCAGCAACATTTGCTTAGGTGTATCCCGCCATACCTAACTAGCCGTATTTACGCCGAGGCCTTCATTGATCCCAACACCGCAATACTAGGAGTGGGCTATCTTTCGGTGTTCAAAAAAATATAGCAAATGAAGCCGAAAATAGGGGTGGTTTATCTTTCGTGGGCGGGGCATGTCTCGGGATATTACAGTAGTTGATCGGAAGATTAAACAGTATGTGCCAATATTTCAATTGATAGTATTCAAAAGTTTTGAATATTTGCATGTCTCCATGCTGTAGCAAACAAGCCAATACTGAAACTGATAGTACATGAGATATGCTCACACTTCCCAAAGACAGTGATGCAATAAAGATCTTGTGCAATAAAACTAGCGTTGTTACAGAGCTGTTTCGCTACAGAAGCTCTCAAAGTTAGTTGAATAGATGACATGCCATAATCATACTAGTTAAGAAACAATGTTTGAACAGCAGTAGAGGCTTTATTACACAACGTTTCGGGAAGAGACTTCCCTTCTTCAAGTGTGCAGAAAATACAGTTGCAAAGCGTTTTTAGAAAGACCAAGGAGAGGAGGAACATTGGAAAAAGTGAAAGAAAAAAGTCATATTATATAATAGTACAAATAAAAACACTTCAGGATGAAAAAAACTACATTCCAAAAAAACACACATGTAAAAAAAAAAAAGTAGTAGTACTAAGGGGGACACAGTCGCAGCACTCGTTAGCGAAACCAAGAAAATATATCACAGGCAACGGCCTCCATCATGTTAGAGTTAGAGCTCCAAATCCAGAAAAATAACAACATACAGGGGTATGAGCCTAAGCCAGTATAACGCCGAAGGAAACGAAGGCCATAAATAAGCTCGAAGTGTGTGTAAACGGACACCAGAAATGTCACACGTGGGTGCAACAGAATATCGAGAAATACTCCTTAAAACGCCTCTAGCTCAATCTCCCCCCTCCCCGCCAAAAAAAAAAAAATGACCGCATCTTTACGTGGTGAATGATGTCGATGGGGGCGAAGCTCTGGTGGTGCTGATGATACTGATTTTGTTCATAGGTAGTGCTGATTTTTTTTATATTTGAGCATTTGACCGCAGCGCCCTCTCGTCTATAAGCGTTGAGCCAATGCATGCAAAGTTTAACGCAATTATATACACATTTGACCACAGCACCCTCTCCAGTACGTATAGATGTTGAGTGGCTACATGCAATGTTTCATCCATGACATCCTCAGCTCTTCAGTTACTACACATCTCAGAGCCCCCCACTCGTCCTACAGTCGTGGCCGAGTGGTTAAGGCGATGGACTAGAAATCCATTGGGGTCTCCCCGCACAGGTTCCAATCCTGTCGACTGCGCAAACTTTTTTTTTTTTAAGAAGACAGATGGAATGGCAATTGACGTGAGCACGGACGCCTGACAAGGCTGGACACTAAGGAGCTTTGCTCCTAAAAGGAAGAAGAGGGAAGTTAGCAAGCCACGTGCCCACATCCCAATGTTTCAAGCTCTCCCCTCAAAGAGCTTTAGCTCTCTCCCGCTCTCCTCTGCGATGGGGGAGGTGGTTTGCCTATAGTATGCTCAAGTGTTTTTACTTGTACTATTATATATATATGACTTTTTTCTTTTGCTTTCCAATGTTCCTACTCTCCTTTGGTCTCTTTAAAAACGCTTTGCAACTGTATTTTCTGCACACTTGAAAAAGGGAAGTCTCTTCACGAAACGTCGTGTAATAAAGCCTCTACTGCTGTTCAAACTTTTTCTATGTTTACAACTTTCTTGGTGAAGACTTGTACATAAATACAGTTAATAGAAGAAACAAGACAGTTGTTGAAAGTCCCCACTACAGCCACGGAATATTCATGAAGTACCGCAACTTCCAAGCTTTTGCTCATTGTTATGCAGTGGTACAAGTAGGAAGCTGATGCAAAATAACTCGCTGTAGGGACTTCTTTAGTAAAGGGCTGCCCATACACAAGTGTTTCTGCTTTAATTCAGGCTAAGAGCTAGAAAGTCTTCAATAAAGTGAGCAGAGCCGACAGTGCAAATAAGTGTTTGCAGCTGGCAAGACAGGGTACTACCTGGTAATGTGAAACAAACTACGTGTTTGCACGACTGTAACGCAGACTTTATTTTGCCAAAATCAGTGCCCAAAAATACATGCGCGTTACAATCGAAACCAAAAACCGAAACTCAGAAAGAAAACACAATATTCGGTATAAGGTGGCTAGCCCCATCGCCATCGTGACCGTTAGTTTACATTTGCCCATTTTGGTACCCGTATCACGCATATTCTCTCACGCCTAGGACTTGTGTCTGCCGTCTTCAGATGGAAAAAGAAAAAAGAATTCGACAAGGAGGCATCAGTTAAACGAAAGGCCATCACGCTGGGGGGAAAGGACAACAAAGCAGCGCTGCGTGGCCTCGCAATCCCAGCAACTCGACGAACTAGCAAAGTTGCTTGGAAGACGACCTTCCCAGAGGCAATGGTCGCGCACTCGTACAAGCGCAAGAAGCGCAGCACCTACAATGCTTTAGACGAAAGCAAGGATTACCTCTGTGGACAGTGAAAAACCATCATTAAACTCCGAGAATGGCAACTAGTGCACGGTATTTATTTTTGTATTGGCATGCGTTTCATAAAACCTGTTCTATGAGGTATGCGTTCAGCTTTCCTTTTTTTACCAGCGCAGTACAATCGGCATAGAGCTATTTTCCAAATATTTAAGCACTAAATATACCTGCGCGTTACAATCGGGGGCGTGTTACAATCGTGCGAACACCAGACAGTTACGAAAACTGACAGTTTGGCTAATGAGAATGGCATCAGTGCGGTTGTAAGTGACCAATCAGAGAACTCAACTTTCCCTTTGACAGGATGCTATGGAATATGTACAGTACTTCATGAACATTTATTGACTCTAGTGATATCATGCACAGTATCCAAGCGATTCAAGAACTGGAAATAGAAAAACAACGGACAGCAAATGTCAGGATTCCTAGTATGAAAGGACAAGTTTAGATGGAAGTTGAGGAGTGTGTAAGTTGTGCTACTTGCAATTGCATTCCTATCGTGGTCCGAAGTCCCTGAAACTGCAAGGACAAAAAAAATGCACTTTTGAGTAAAGGTTTTCATTCAAGCACCATTGCAAGGTTCTCAGTGCCAACAAAAGAACAAACTCACCATCTGATTTGCCGCAACTGAATTCCGTACTGTGAGTTTTTTCCAATTTGCTAAATGAAAGATCTTGCGCCTGAAATTAAAAATTACATTTGTGTGGAGAGAAACAACTACTAGTTGAGAGAAATGAGTCAAAATGTATTTGTTCCACCACCCAAATAAAAGCCTTCCGTTCACGTAAACCCCTTGCCATTTCATGTACAGTGCAATCCACTTATAACGATACCACATATAACGATGTACCGCTTATAACGATCAGTTTCTAGTCCAGCAACAAAGATAATTGGTTATAACGATTGAATTTTTGGGCTTTCTCATTAACATTATAAGTGGATTGCACTGCATAATCATAATTAATATTGCATCTTTATGCATTGTGCCGAGCTTATATGTGTTAGATATGCAGCGCTTAGATATGCAGCTTCAAGTCGCCCTTTCAAGTGGTTCCACTTCGAGTGCAAAAACGCACAAGTCAGGTCTGTAGCAAGAACAGTTTGGAGTGGCCTAGGTGCAGTATCTCTTCAAACACATTTACAACATTCTGCACGAAAAGGCCACTTTACTTCAAATCGACCAGCGCACTCTAAAAATGCTGCTAACACAACTACTAGCTCTAAAAGTGCTTGCTTCATTTTTACTTGTACTAGAAGTGTGTCTTAGTACGCACAATACTCGAATATTCCTTAAATTCTCATCATACTGTAAGGAACACCCGTAAATACATGCGAGAGGGTTTTACTTGAGAGCCGACAAATTCAAGCAACGAAGAGGAATTAATCGGGGCAGGGAGATCGACCGACACACAGGCAAATCAAACTCGGCACTGTTGTGCGTCAAACGACAGTCAGTGGGGTAGTGCCACGGTACCCAGTGAGACAACCAGTCAGTCGCAACATGCCGTTCAGAGCTCAGGAACCAGTCACTTTGACACATCACGGCATCGCACTTCAAACAACAAAACACTTGCAGGTTGTCCGAGCACAGTTAGACTCCTTTCTGACTCTTTAGCCGAGGTCACACTGATAACGCATCCTACAAAAAACGGTCTGCAGAAACTGTCCGAGGCGTGTTTCTTGCTCGCCTTGTCGCATTGGTCATACAAAAACTGTCTTTAGATACGTCCGAAGCACACATACGTCTGAAGCAAACAAGCTTCAAACATGCTTGTGGCATGTGTGCAGATAATTTTGTCTTCATACGTGCAGCGAATGCAGTGTCTTTTGTCTGATGTATGGGCAGTGTGAACGTGGCTTTAGAGCGTCTGCCGCAAACAACGCCTTGTTAGCAGCTGGTCTATGGAGGGAGCTACTCCTGCTGGTCAGCCCGCACACGGTATCTTCATACCCTCGCCAAGGTTACTGACAACACAAACGGAGCATTAGAAACAGACACAAAGAGTGGATCGAGGCTTTGTCTCCGAGAGACCGAGGCACCACAAGTGAGGGTCGACCGACTGCATTGCCCAAAACACAGGCCGCCATTGCACAGACCTTTGGAATGGTGTCAGGGTGTTACAAGCAAGCCATGCTCTCACCATGAAATCACGACCACCTACAGGAAGTGTTGCAGATTTGGTTGCGAGTCCATAGCCTGGCTTGGGCACTGCTCGAAGTGAGGACACCACTGCCAAAAAAAAAAAAGCCACCACGAATGATTTCAAGTTTCCTAAAGTGCATCAATCGTTGGCCCAACTGGCCAAGTTAATCCCAAATTCAAAGGGGACACTTGTGTGGCTTTTTACAAAGTCTATAATCTAATTTTTATGCTCGTAACATTTAGACGAGGCATGTCGCAGACAGTAACCGACCTGGTTCTAATTGCCCTGCAAATTGATTGAACAGGAAATGAAGAGATTGTAGCAATGGCGGCTGCACGGGCAGAACGGAGAGAAAAGCAAATGTTCCTTCCCGTAGTCGCGCCTGCACCTTATATCATCTCGCCGAGATTTCCAGAATTTTCAGGGCCACTTTCAGTGGTTGTCGCTAGTTTTTTAATATTTGTCAGAAAATCCTGCATGGCAAAATGCAGCGCTTTTCAGAACCATTTTTGGAATTGATTTTAATATCATTTTATATGAACTTAAAGGAACACTGACACCCCCAACAAACTTTTTTTAATTTTTTGCCAGGATCCTTATGGTGTCAAAAGACTACCCAGTCAATATTTTGCTACAGCATCACATATATTTTTAACAAAGTCAAAAAACGCAACTGCTCGAAACCAAAACTAAAACTGCACTGGGGAAGAAGAAATACCTATTGAGAAGGATAAAGTTACCAAAAATCACGTGGTTGTGCAAATTTTGTTTTTTTAACCAATGTATTTGCAGCATTTTAGACACCACAAAAATGGGTATCATATTTTCTTATATTTTTAGTATTGAGTGTGTGTCTTCGATGACCCATGACTTTGATTATCTTTGGTGGTTGTGTTTAAACCGAAGAAAACGGCACATGACCACGAAGAAGAGAGTGAGCGCGACTCAAACTGGCCGGTTCTCGATCGGTGGTTTTCGGGTGGAAAGAAAACTAATTTCGAGCCGCAAATTGTGCTCTGGCTGGTTGGGCTCTCATGTGTCATGTACAAATAAAAACCTTGGCAAACTTAAATACCCTCTCGGTGTCCCTTTAAATGAGGACAGATGAAAATTTCATAGTTTTTATTATTCATACTTTTCATTCCCAAGGGAAAGGATCAATATGCCAATAAATTATTTCCGCAACTTCCAGACAAATATTTCTTATAAAAATAGAGCACACAAAAACTAGCGGAACCTTGGCCTGCATTACTCGGGATGCCTCTTCTGACTTTATCCTGTAAAATCAATCATGCACCTCGTGGAACAGTTAATAAAACATGCGCATGCACAAAACTACTGTATTTACTCATATAATGAACGCACCCCCCGCAACGGTCATTAATATTCTGACTTTTTTCCCACACGTAATAAACACCCCTCCAATTTTTGGCTCCGCGAGTCTCAAACCGCATCAAACTCAGCCAGCCAACAAGCCAATCCACCTTTTTAGGAAATACCGGTTCGGGGTGTTTGGGCAGAGAATGTGCATGCATTCTCTGCCCAAACATGAGCGCTGGCGCGAGATCTCGCTCAAAAGCCTACCATGGTCGCTCGTGAATCCATGTAACACGAACACATGTTTTCGTAGCAGAACCTCTGGAACCATAATTTCTAAAGAGGTGCATTTCTTTTTGCCGCCAAGCAGCCAAGCCAAGCTAAGCATGGCAGTACATGCGTGCGTAATGGCTGCACGTGGGAAGTTGTGGAAGTGATCAACGAAGAAACAGAGCAAATCAAGGAATTGCCCAGCCCCCGGAGATGTCTCGCCCATCGAATGCATCGATATAAAAAAAACACGGCGTCGTCTGTGGCCTGCTTTTGGACAGTGAAATTGCGAAAGTGGCCTGGGAAGGGCCGTGTCGCTTTCCATGCCGAGCGAGTTTCGTACGGTGCTTTAAATTCGGCAAAGAAAATGCCGAAGGTTGCCTCAAAAAGTTAACAATTTATAGAGCATGGTTACTGTGCTGCGCCCACGACTAGCCGTGGGTCTGTCTCTGTCAGTGGAGACGTGCCATAGTACCCTGCTGTGTCAGATCAGCACCTAAAATTACATTTGCACGAAGAGTGTGTAAATACACAAAATTTTACCCCGCATAATGAACGCAAATATGAGTAAATTTTGGGGGAAAGAAAAGTGAGTGCATTATGCTAGTAAATAAGTTGGTTCAGCTGTTTTGTAAGCTTCGAACATGCATGCGCAGCTGAAGTATGACGAAAGGCAACGAACGCAGGCTGGAGCCAAGGCAACCCAAAGAGAACAAGTTCGCAAGAACAGAAGCAACGTGCCGACGAGGCAGAACCAATGGGATCACGGACGTGAAAATGCAAAATACTGAATGCAAAGACATGCAAAATATGGATGGAAGCGGATACAGTAAGTGTATCAGGTGCCACCTAGCCTACAACTACAAAGCACATTGCGTCTACATCAAGGGGGCTGTGCTTTCTACACAGAGTTTTTCTAGGCTTTCTTTAAATTTTGGTTTTTGGACCCAATTATAATGTGCATGTAGTTGCAAGTGCATTGCTTCAGAAAAAAATTGCGCAAATAAAGTATATATATTGTGCCCGCAACTATAAACCTTTTTCACAAGGGCACCGCCACCTTGAAATATTATCACTTCCAGCATGGAAGAAAACATTGTTTTGCCTTTGCCACACCGGTACCCGGTGTCTCAAATAGCAGCCAGGCTCTTTAAATCGACCAAAAAATTTGGTTTCTTAATCTATCGCGCTACGATTTTGTGCAGCGTTGCCCACAGGTGGTGCATTTTTTTTATAAAATTTGCAACGATCGAACTTACCTGAGGAAAAAGTAAAAATTAACTCCCATGGAAACGCAGCGAAACCACCGGTTTTCAAACAATAGGGCACTTTATGGTTTGAAGACTGGTGGCTTTGCTGCGTTTTCATAGGAGTTAAGCCTTTTTATTTTGTTTTTACTTTTTCTTCAGGTAAGTTCGATCTTTGCAAATTTTATAGAAAAAATGCACCACCTGTGGGCAACGCTGCACAAAATCGTAGCGCAATAGATTAAGAAACCGAATTTCGCTGTCAGTTTAAAGAATCTGGCCACTATTTGAGACACTTGGTAGAATACATTGAGGATATAAGTGTAAGCATCACCCATTCTCGTTTTGCCACCCCTTTATTTTTTTTTTTTTTCTATTTGCAAGATTAAATGTTTTATTATTTTTTTTGTCACCCATACTGGATCTGCCTACCAGGTGGCTGCAGGGACAAGAGTAAGCAAAAAAAGGTCTATAGGGTCGTCTAGAGTACCCCCAAAAATAGTATGACGGAATAACGGGTGACATAGTCTGCACGAATGACGGGACATCTATGCATCCGCGCAATACTGTGGCCCCTTTGCCAATCGGGTAGCAACTCCCTCTTCATCTGGCTCAGCCCACACAGCATGCTCAGATTGTGTCCCAATGCAACATCACAATTTATAACTAGAGCACACACGATGAGAGAGAGAGACGAACCGTTGTATGTAGGTGTCGTCCCGACAGACCTCCCCATAGACGATCTGTAGCTTGAGTTCCGATCAAACTCTTCCTCTTCCCAAGGCCTGGGGCGGTCAATGTCCCTCGAAGGGGCTGGGGAACGAAAGTGAGGGCTGTCGGTGCAGTCGCCAACTGCCCAGCAGCAATGGCCGACTTACAGGCGTTTACCGGGTTGTCGTAGCGCAACCTGTACGTCGGTTCCTTGTTGGCCGAGGGCGTCCGCGAGGCATTGCGGGGGTCCACGTGGGTCATCTTCCAGGCACGATACTTCTCGCGCTCCTTCACCGTCTTGAGAAACACCTGCATCCGAGGCATGAAGGAGTGAGTGGGAATTAGTAAAAATGCTGCACCAATAGAATTTACAAACCACTCTTAATTTTTATTGTTTTAGTTTTAATTATTGACATCTAAAATTATAATTGGAAATCCTTTCACCTCTCTACAATTCTTTGAATAACTTTAGCACAGTTCTGCAATACATTTGGCAGAACAATGCAGTCTTTACCACCTTCAACTAATAAAACAGGAGTGCATGGAACTCTTGCATATTGGACGAGGCTGAAAGAAAAAGAGACAATAGTTTTTCTAATTTGGACTATCCTTTCATTTTTGTATATACGTATTTTGACTGAGCTGCTGTGTACAGCAGAAACTTGTTAAGGGAAACCTGCAAGGTCTCTCCACATCGGTTCCTCTTGTCGAGAGCAATCCTTCCTCAAACAGGTGGCTCCTACTGAGAACTCAGAAAATGGGGTTCTTTCCGACATCCAGGGGCTCCTCTCAAACTAAAGAGAGTTGCTTTTTAACGAGGTTCCACTCTGGTTAAAAAGCAGACTACATACTAATCATGTGCGAATAGTGGATTTTTAGTTTGAAGAGAATTTGAAGCAAATAGTGGTTTCGGTTGAATACCTTCAAATCGAATAGATTCTTCAAACCCTTCCCTACTATTGCACCAAGCTTAAATGAAAACCCAGATAAGCTCGTGAAGGTTGTTGCCATGCTTCAACTTGTCCATTTATAAGCTAATTTTAATCTAACTATATTTATAGACTGTGACCTCAGAAAGTCTGATGCCTTGAAATGACAAGTAAACAACGGATTTGACATCAACCTCAACCTATAAATATGCCCACCTATACCTAATTGAGTGGATTTCCAAATCTTGCTATATGCAAAAATTGTTCATTCAATCTCAAATTAAAAAAAAAAAATAATGATTAATGAACGCAGGTGGGAAGGGCACCTCTGCCTACCATATATTCTTGCATAACAGCCACATTTTAATTTTCAAAATTTTACTGCAATATCAACAGTCACAAAGTTTCAGTTTCTTTTTAAATACACCAGGCACACATGAGCACCCGCACGCTTTGAAAGTGTACATTTCTTTCAAGCACGCGACTGCAATATTTATACTTTTCAAAGTGTTGATCGTGGCGGGTTAGCTCCGTTGAGCGCACTTCTTACTGAGCACCGGTGCACTGTGGAGAAGCAATACCCGCAGAGCTCACTTCAGCGGGCGTTGCTTTTTCGCAGTGCACCCGAGCTCGGTAAGAAAGGCACCCAAAGGGGCTAACCCGCCACGACCGACACTTGAAAGAATATGAATATTGCAGTTCATCTCGAAGTATCGAATAGAGTATTATTTGAAACTACTATTCGAAATTTCAAATATTCGCAGGACGCTACAGCAAACCATGCCACGGAAAGCATGTTTACAGATGCTTGCATCACGGCCATGCTGCGCTCTCTGGCGATTCCCCCAACCTCTGCCAATCCCTCGGAATTCCCCGACAAACCCAGACTTTTCCCTGTTTCCAAACACTGTGAGCACGATGGGTAAGAGGAGAGGTACAGACCTTTCCAATGCCCGTGGCAATCTTTGAGAGCTCCTGCTCCTCTTTCTTCAGCTGCGGGTCCTCTTCAAACGCTTCTTCTTCCTCCTCGTCATCCTCGGTCACTTCGTAATCTTTCGAACTGCCGCTCCATCGTCGTCGCCGCTCTGTAAAAGAGGTTGTGCACGGTTAACGTTTGTTGCCATAATTGCTACGTCCCACAAAAAGTTGCAATCGCAGATAGATCAGAAAGAATCGGCCTGTTCGGCTGGTTCGACTATACTCTGGTCAGCAATTTAGTAAAGCTATGAACTCTGGAAGAAGGTGGCACTAATCAGGTGCTTGAGCAGCACCATGACCTAACACAGCCTGAGCCTTGTGCTGAAAATCTTTTGGGCAGTAGATTTGCATGCACTACACTTTCTCGGAAACTGATGTCTCGACGATGTCAGGTATTGTGGGCCTCAAAATCTAGGTGAGAAAAAAGAAAGGTGCTCTCGCCACTGCGAAAGAATCGTATGTGCAGGGATGGGCAGTATTTCAAGTACAAGTATTTGAAATACATATTTCAAATGCTGAGCACTTCGTATTTCATATAGTATCTAATGACAGATTGGGAGATTTATTTGTGTGTTCTATTAATATACTGAAAATTTAGTATTTCAGATACGTGTATATCTTTGCAATCAAATGCAATAGTGGGCACACTTCGTGATAGGAGTCACATAGAAAAAGTATAAAATTTGCTGCAGATTGAGCATAATAAACATCGAAAGAAAAGCAAGAGTAGAACAAGGAATCAACCGGACAAGTACAATTATCAACTGTTTGACTGAGGGATTTAATTTTTTAGGCAGAAGGCATCGGTCGCATTAATGACATGTTGTTTCAAAAGATTTGACGCATTAACTCAGCCCTTGAAATTATTCTCGCACTAAAAACATTGTTTTTCCCAACGTTGTACCCGCCTATCAAGTTATGAGAAACAAAATTAAGTTTTAGAGCTGCAACATTCTTTTTAAGTTGAGCACTTCACTTTTAGTATTATATATAAAGACTCCACTCTTTATTTGGGCACAGTCGTTTTTTAACTGGGTTAAATTTAAGTCCAAGATTTAGTCTATGAGAACAAAATGTATTTGTAGAAGCATTTGAAGATTATCAAATACCCTCATTGTATTTGTATCTTCTAATTAAATACTTTTTGAAAAAAAGTGATTGAATTTGAAATTAAATACATTTTTGTTGAAGTATTCTGTATTTGTATTTCAAAACATTTTTGCAAGCATAGCCGTATTTGGTGGTCAGTTTGCCTTGCTGCATACCCGACCTCCAGTGAGATCCAGAAGAGCCATAAGTGATCGACACCTTACATATTTATGTTAGAGTTCCGAATAAAACTAGAACATTGGCTCGCAGTTAGACAATATCGAGCCCATGATTCTTAATATTGTGAAACTCATGCAGCCAACTCTCAACAACTTCCTGCAGAGCGATAAACAAATTTGCCCACTTGGTTCCTTTCCCTTAGAGTTCAGATATAGTGAAAAAGTGGATTTAGTAAAGTGACTTCAATTCCTGCTGACTTCCTTATATCCAGGCTAAATATGGGGAAAACCTGAGAGCTCAATGCCAAAACAATAAATCACCTGGTTGTCCGTAAAAAAGGGAGGCAAAGGTAAAAAAACAAGAACGGAGCTAGCACTGCTACAGCACCAAGTACCGTATTTACACGATTGTAAGTCGACTCGATCGTAAGTCAACCCCCCCACATTGCACATCAGCAAAAAAAAAAAATCTGTAGATGCGCATTTTACTGCGAACATGTCAGAACGGCAAAGTATCTGTTTTGAAAGCCGAGCCTCCAACATGCGACCGATGCCTTCTGGCGTGCTTTGGCTGCGCATGCACACGCAAGGTGCATGAGATGCCCAGGCGTTATCGAAACTGGGAAGTTCACGCTGGAGGCGGGACAACTGAAGCTGCTCCCTGTTGTTCTCACTCCGTCCGCAACTAGACTACAACTCGTCCGCACTGGGGATGTCAGTCCCGTCATCATCACTGCCACTTTCTCGAAGCACGTCGTCGACGGCGTCCAATGAAATCTTGCACTTCGCAAATGAACGGGATCAACCGCATCTTCCACGCTTGCTCGGTAATCGCACTGGACGTCACGGGTAGGGACCGATTGCACACTTTTGCGGCGTACGTTGCAAGCCTGACTTCCAACTCCAGAACCAGACTTTTGCCTACAGAAGCCTCTTTGTTTGCCGTCACAGTTTAAAGGGACACTGACACCCCCCAAAAATTTTTTTTCATTTTTTGCCAGGCACTTCATTATGGTGTCGGAGGACTACCCAATTAATATTTTGCAACAGAGTAGCATATTTTTTTAATAAAGTCAAAAGACGCAACTGCTCGAAACCGAAACCGAAACCGAAACTTGACGGAGGTCGGAGAAGTGGAGAGAAAAGAGTGACTGGCGGAAGTCACGTGGCTACACCCAACCGTGCCTTTCTTCTTTTTTTTTTTTTTCCTTTTCCTTGTAGCAGACGACACGACATGCGGCGTACGGGAACTGTTCGCCGTACGATTATTTTGCAGTTATGTTTGTTCCGCTCGTTGTTCTGTACTCTAAGATGAGTTGTTTTGTACATTGAGGAGTTGGAGATGAGTAGTGAGTGCCCGTGGTGAATTTCCATGATCGGCTCCGAAAAGAATACACCCAAGATGTTGCGTGAAGAGCTGGCTCACATGTCTTGCGTCCGAAAAAAAAAGGGGCATTGTGCGACAGAGTTTCCGAAAGATCAAGTGGATCGGGACCAATGGCTTGCTGCAATTCCTGTAGAGCATATACGGGCACCTCGGAAAGCGGACGCTACCTGATTTATATGCTCCTTGCATTTTGTGGAAAGTGATTACATTGAGTTCGCAGGTGTCAAAAAGGAAATCCCATACCATTTAATTCAGCGAAGTGTCGTCCACAATATTTGTTTGTTATTTTTTTGTTTGCTTGTTCAATGATAATTGTAAAAAAAAAAAAAAAAAAAAAAGGTATGCAAACATCGGAAAATGTTTGAAAAAAAAAAAAAAAGAAAAGGTTCCACGGGGGATCGAACCCGGTCCTACCACGTGTGAAGTGGACGTCTTTCCCACTGAGCTACTGGGACTTTTTTTTAATGGTGGATCTCTTTCCTTAGTAATAATTCAGCCGGTAAACTGTAAGTTGGAAAGTTTGCTGCCGATTTTCCTCTAGCAAAAGCACTCCCGGGTCGACGTCAGGAAGCACCACGCATTGGCGACATTTGCACCTAGTAAAGAAATCGTACGCGTGCATATTCAACTCAAAGTAGACACGTCGTGCTTGACGTTTGCGCGAGCGCAGCCACGAGAAGGGAGCGACGGCTCAGCGACGTCTTCGTGCAAATCGGCTTGGTGGTCGGGCGTGTCGTACGGGATGAATACCAATTCTTTTGATCAGTCCCAAATTTCTCTTTTAAAGGTAGACAGAATTCGCCGGTACCGCGAACGACAGTACTGAAATAGAGGCCCCACGCCCGTCGTCCGCTGCCATCGCCGTCCCCGCGAGTCCCACGATACGCGAAACGACGAACGCACAGAATGCTTCCGGTTCTCTGTGCAACTATTTTTTTTGAATCAACGTATTTGCAGCTTTTTAGAAGCCACAAAAAATGGGTTTCATATTTTTTTCTATTTTTAATATTGAGTGTGTGCCTTCAGTGACCCACGACTTTGATTAAATTTGGTGGTCGCATCGATACCTTAGAAAACGGCCCGTGACCGCGAAAAAGAGAGTGAGCGAGACTCGAACCGGCCAGTTCTTGATCGGCGGTTTTCGGGCGGAAAGAAACCGAATTTCGAGCCGAAAATTCTGTTCTGGGTAGTTGAGCTCTCATATGTCACGTACAACTAAAAACCTCGGCGAGCATAAATACCCTGTCAGTGTCCCTTTAAGATCCCGCGCCACTGCTGAGTGCAGACTCCACTGGAGCATCACCCGCTCCGACGGGTCGAACTTGCGTCGAACAGCGCAGTTGTTGGTTGCTTCTGAGTGAAGAATGGCCATAAACGAGCACCGAAAACCTAAACTGCCCGGATCATGCGTGTCAATACAAAAAACATAGTTAGCGCTCCAGCATGATCTCGTCACTCGATCAAACGATGTGCTACCGTAAATTGCGCAAAAAACTGCGAAGAGAAGCTGCGGGGTGAGGAGCCGTGAGGCTGTTCCAGCCATAGAGTTATTATAATAAACGCTAGAGGCTCAGCTGGCGCTAGTGTCTACGGGACTTCCGGTTGCAAATTGAAGCAGACAGCATGCAGTCTACTTTCCCAGTCTTCCTGTGTATTCCTATAGGAAAACGCGCGTGATTTTTGTCTCGTCGCCGGAAAATAACATGAATAACTTTTGTTATTTTGGCTGTACCGGATAGTATGTACCTTTATTAATATTGTGAAAGTATAATTGCTTTAGTTACAGCATTTTTTCTTTACCACTGAACGATGTTAAACTTCGCTATATTTCAGGCGCAAGCCTCTATTCCATGGCAGGTATGTAGAAACGAGCAATTATTCTAAGCAAAATAACAATCGAAAGGAATTTAGAGTGTGTTCAAAGTTCGCCAGCATTCCGTTGGTGCTTATATATTGCTAATATGCCTGTCCTCTCACTATATGAAAATGACCCCGTCGTGCATCTTTACGAGTGGTTAAAAAAACGTTCAAAACGTAAAGAATAAAGTATGTGGGCTACGAAAGGTGTGTTTTCTTATTATTTCCTATGAATTGGGTAGTTTTTATCGCGCGCCTGTTCTCTGGCTTCCCCCTATTTGCAAAGATTTGGAGCGTTCGGGTGATGATTTGAACACAGAACAAGCATCTTCACACATATTCACGAGCAGGAAGCATAAAGCAGTACTTATTTATTGCAAATCGGGCTACATTACGTGACTTTCAATTTATTGTGATCGTCTGCAAGCAGAGTTATTTATCCAGTGTTACTGCATAGTTCTTGTCGTCTCTCTTCGCTTTCCACATGTCCTTCGTTCGTTTGGCACGTATATCCCCCATGCTGAAAAGCGCCGACGCCGTGTTCGCGCTAACAGTGTCCGACAGTGCACATAAATACTTGTACGAAGCGGTTTTAGCTCCGTTTTTCATGCCACAATTTTAAAATAAAAATGCCGTAACTGACCAATTTCATCTGCGTGTCCGGGAAATGTTCCAATGTACCTAGTAGGTACGATTTATTCGTGATATTTGCTCTTATAATCGAGCGCAGAGAGGAAATGCACTCGCTTTCTTCCGTAGAAATGCATTACCGGAAGTCAAACTCGGACTGCTTGCTGTCTGCTTCAAAATGCAACAGCACACTAGCGCCAGCTGAGCCTCTAGCGTACATTATAATAACTCTATGGTTCCAGCGGCCTCCGGAGCGTGGCTCTTAAAAGAAGTGCCGCCACCCCCCGGGAATTGGGCGCCGTGCGCTGTTCATTGCCGTATATTCGGGTTAATTTGCGAATCGCTATCAATAATACTCGTTCGCGCAAATAAAAAAATAATTAATTTGTAAAATGAGCACACAGAATAGTGCAATGCTAGAGGTACTATGGTAGAGGGGGAGGGCTGAACTCGTAACAAGCCGAGGTGTTCATGATATCGCAATTGTTTCATTTTCGCCAGTGGTGGAATGCTTTGGTTCGATTATAAGTCGACCCCCCCCACCTCAGATTTTCAAAAATTGAAAAAAGGGTTGACCTACATTCGTGTAAATACGGTAACCAATCTCCAAAATACTTTTTTTTTTGCTGTCAGTAACAAACAAACAGAAGCACAGTCAGGAACAGCGGGCGGCAGCAAGAAGCAAAGTGAAGCTGCTAAGGAAAGGGTAAACCATAGGTAGACAGCCTCATTATCCTCCTTTTTTTCTCCATATTTATTTACAAAAAAAAAAAGTATTACAAAGAGTCACTGCTTGGCATTACCCTAAACAGGGGAGGCTACAACAAAGGACTAGGTCAAAGGGTTTTTATCGAGTAAGGCTTGCTGTTTTTTATAGACAAGCCATTTAAAGGGCCACGGACAACCCCAACATAATAGATACTTTTCTTATGGTCTAAAACACTTGCAAATCACCTGATATAGCCCTAAAAAATATTTCATAGCGAAAAAAAAAAGTTTGGGGGTACAAAAGAGTTGTAAAAAATCTGTATCCTCCTCCCCCAATCCTGACTCTTCCTCGCTTCATTTTTAAGTGACATATGTAGTAGGCAATGGCATTTTTTAGAACTTTGGAAATGTCACGAGTTCCATGCTTGTAACCATTATTAATGACATTCTTCAAATGTTTTTTATGACCATTGCATACGCACTATGGTGCCGACTTTTAAATACAAAACCTTGGAGCCCGGAAGAGTTAGTAACAAAGCATTGGCTGACAGCCTCCCCTGTCCCATAAGCGAAGCCTGCAGTCTGTAGCAGCAAATTGATGGAAAACTCCCATTGGCTGGCACACAACATAGTTCCAAGGAACGCCACCCCACAGAGAAGCCCTTTCCATGGTGCAGCGCAGGCACGTACCCAGGGGGTGGCCCATGGGCCCCCCCCCCCCCCCCCCCCAAAATCTTCCATTTTGCTGGGACCTCCTCTCCCCCCTCCCCCTCATACAGCATTTTTTCATGGGCGGGCCCCCCCCCCCCCCCCCCCCCCGAAACAAAATCCTGGCTATGTGTCTGGTGCAGTGGCCCTGCTGCCGGTAAGAGAAAAAGGGGGCTGGCATCTGCAGAGCGGCCGGCCGCAGAGCTCGCCTGGGCACCTACGCGGAGGTCGCTCAGCCAAGCTCAACGTGGCGTGCAGCTTGTAGCAATACGCTATGTATACCAATGCTTTCGCATTCCTACACGTTAGCAGTCTTAAGTGTCTTTGTAGTTTTGGGGTTTTCTTTCACATTTTTCACTTGGCAATGCATGGGGGCTGTGCTGAGGGTATTGAAAGAGTTGGGGACAATAGAAAAAAATAAACAAAAGCTCCTTTTCTTTTTTTTTTTTTTTTGTGCCAAATAATTTTTGGGGATTTTGAGGGAACAATTGTTGAGAGATCAAGTTTGGGTTATCCTTCATGTCACTTATTAAAACCTGCAACACACCAGTTTTATCAGAAAACCGGTAAGAAGTGTTGCCTAAATTGCAGTGCACACTGTAATTGAGATGCAACAGCATTTTGCACGGCCTTGTGCTGCATAAACGTTTTAAAGCATGGAATTCTTTCGAACCCCCTAATCCCAAAATATTGTCCGTCCATCTGTTCGTCCGTGTATGTTATGTGACGCCAGACTCTAACGGTGTATTCACACGAGAGATATTTATCTCAGGAGGAAACCAAATATGTCATACAGCTGCGAGAAGGAAAAGAAACGAGAAGGAGGAGGTGGTGCAGAAAATCCAAGCGAGCATTCGCACGACGAAGTCGCATGCAGTGTAGTCGCCACAGTCCTTTTCACAAACCTGCTGGCGACCTTCAGAAACTCGTCAAACAAAAAGGCCCCCCACACTTTAGAGTTGTTGAGCATAATTCTTCCCCGAAAGCAGGGGGGACAAACGAGGGGACCAAGTCGCTCCGACGTGATGACGGATATTCTTTAGGCCAGTCACGGATTCTCCTCGGCTACATAAGAGCTCGGAGGATTAGCAAACATCCGCGACAAGCAGCACGTGACCTCAAAACTTGATGACGTTTAATCTTCTCCTCGAGGGACAAACTCCATCGTCTGAACACGCCACAAGTGAAACCAATAGAACAGCACAGAAACAGTCCATATGTAGGCCAGGTGCACTCCTTCCATTCAATTTTGTACGCGAAATGTTTTCTCGCCCAACTCTCGCAACAATGCGACTTGTACAAAGAAATAGTTTACCTGTCCTGCAAGCTTGTTACAAGGGTGTTTGACTGTAGTAGCTATGAGATACTATTTTCTTAGCCTTTAAAACAAATATAGATTAAGAAAATGCCACACATATTTGTTGAGTGGGAAGCACTACCTAACGAGTTTTATATTTTCTGAAAGGTTGCTTTTACTTAAGTTTCCACTGGAAGTTGGTAATTTTCTTTGTAGATGTATGGATGGTATTCAAAGGAAATAACATGTCCCGTAATTACCAACAATAATTAATTTAACAGACCCATAAATAAAATTCATCAATTTCTTAGAACAGTATAGAATGTGAAAATAACTTAATGCAAAAAGAAAGTTGGGAGCTGTTGCACTAAGAACTCGCACAGTACAAACATCTAAATATTCTGCCTCCAAACAAGAAAAGTTGCCACCACTAGCTGCAGACATTTGCTAGGAAACAGGACTGCGACTGAAAACAAGACAGATTCCTTTGAGGGCTTAAAAAGCGGTTCTGTTGCAGACACTGAATTGCTACCGTCTTTTTCTCGCACACATGGAAGAAACACAAAAGTGGATCAAAGTTTGTGAATCTGCTGAACCCAAACAAACAAAGGGTGCAAGCGGCAGCACTCACCGGGGTCGGTGTACGGAAAAGGGGGGGCAGGAAAGTCGTCTCGTTCAATCTTGGGAATCTCGTTGGACTTGGGCGGCCGGGCCCCGGGGAAGTGGGCCAGCTCAATCGGCTCCTCGTTGTTCATGTGCGGTGACTTGGGCCGTGGTGTGCTTGACTGGATCGTGTCCACTGAAGTGCAAGAGTAGGCCCAGTCAGCAGCTACACTGGTAAACATTCTACACAGTGCACGCTTGTATGGGCCGAAATCTCCGGCCATTTTATTTCTCAGAGGCAAAGCTGCTGAAATTTCCCCTGCACAGTACAATGTTTTCGCTGTAAATGAAAACAAGTTGCAGGGAAGGGTCTTTACCGTTACACGCAAGTTAATATTTTATGAAAGCGAACTATAGTTGGCCCTAAATGCCGCAACTGGATGTTTATCCATGCTTTCAGTCGAACAGCATTGTAACTGGATCCATTTTTTGCTGCCATATTCCCATATCCGAGTTGTCTCTCACGCTGAAAATAAAAATCTCCAGAGAGCTTTGTATACTTGTAAGCTGCTTTGTTTTTGCGGGCTCAATATTTTGTGAATTCTGCAAAGTGCAGGTTTCAGGCACAAATTTCCAATTTTAGAGTGTTGTGCTATGTATTCATCACCATAGGCTTATATATTTGCGTGATCAACTTTTCGCAATATTTTTTTAAGTCAATTCGCGAAAATGAGGTTCTCGGGAAAATTAAGCTGTTCAAGAGTATTAATTTTATAGAGTAAAAAACCCGGGAATAGCGAAACATGGGATAGTATATAAAGCTAAACCTCGACATAATGAAGTAGTTCTAGGAGAGGAGGGGAGGAGGAAGGGAAGGGGGGCTTCATTACATTGCACACTTTTGTAGGCTTTTAATTTTTTGGAGCATAATGATCAAGCATGTTGGATCTACCTGGGCACCCTCTCTTCCCGAACGCCCTTTACTCATTCCTTTTATCGTTTCCTTCTTAAAACAAAGAACTGGAAAGAAATTACGAGTCCCGTTAAATAAGAGATTGGTTCTCTCGAGAATACAGACCCAGATTTTACTAGATGTGCTAGACACAGGGGACTATAATACAAGTTCGAGGTCTCCAATAAGTTATAATGCAGTGAAAAAAAAAATTATCTTGATCCTACGGAGACAGTTGGTATGCACAGAATGTTCCTTTTTTTGTTTTTCCTTTAATTTTTTGGGGGGATAGGGACAGAGACTGGGGGAGAGGAGGAGACGAGAGGGGACGTCAGAAGGCCGAGCTCTGGTTCGAATGATTAGTGGGTAGAGGCAACGAGCTGCCTTCGTCTGTCTCTATCCACTGTACAAACACAAACGTCAAACGCCCGATGTCGGTGTCCGCGTCCAAATAGCGAGTAGAAGTCTCCCCTTTGACGCACTGGTGGTGTGTCAGGCTCATAATCACGGGATCGTGAGTTTGATTTGCGTCAGGTCGTATTTAGAATTTTGTTCTTTCTTCTCATTTATATGTTCTTTTGTACAGACAGTCCTCCGAAGCATGTGATTCATAACGGTTTCTGTGGCGTTCTATCACACTTTCCTCAGGGACCCCAGTCCTTAAACACCACCAGCGTTAAAAGGCCGCACAGCCAAATACTGAGAACACAACTACCAGGAACGTAGCTAGTAAGCGGGAAGTGAGAAGCGGAGTTGTCCAAAAACATCTGGGCCCGACAAGACCCCGGTCAGCACCCGTCGAAGCAGGCGGTTGGAACGTACCGAGAACCTGCATGCCTGGAAGAGGAATCAAAGGCGCACCATTTAGACGAGCGTGCTGAGAGAGCAGAACAGAAATCCAGACTGCAAGTCTTCACAGCCCTTGCGGAAAGGGCCACAAAGTGAAAGTCTCAAAATCTGAGCCACGCTGCTCTCACCTTGTTTCGTATGATGCTTGGTGGGTATCTTCGGTCGGCCCAGTCCATCTGAGGGCAATAAAAGAGGAACTCTGAAACACCACCTTCTAGGGAATTAAACACCAGTGCTGCATAAACTACATGTTAAAAACTACCTAAAGTACAAAGTAATTGGCAGATTTCATACTTTTAATAAAGCAAAAAGGACAGTGGAATGTACCTCAAGTAGAGTAGAACCTCGCCGATACATTCTCAGTTGATACATTTTACCGGCCGTTACGCTCACAAACACCGGTTCCATCGAACGGTTATGTGCACCAATTTCCCATTTGTTCCACTTGACTTCCCAGTTTCTGCACCCAAAAAAGGGCCACCTGATGCTGCCGACAGGACACGTGGGGCCACCACCCTGCTCCTTCCCCTCTGCCCCATGCTGCCTGCCCAGACAGGCATGGCCTTTGACTAAGCAGGCTTGAGAAGGATTCAGCTTTCACAATCACCTGCTCATATGTCCATCTCTTTTTCTGATGTGTGCTGTGGTGCTCGGTTCTCATGCTTCTGCTAGCTTCATTTTGCATAGAGTGTGCAGTTCCTAATTGTGCACCATGCACGTCAAGCTTCACCTTTCTGCAGTGGCACAAGCGTCGAGCTTCACCGCTTGACGCCGGTGTGCTAGGTGTAGCGGTTGATGGGGGGGGGCAGCTGGGTTAACTTGATTTGCTTGGAAATTTTGCTAATTACAGGTAGACATTTTAAGTTACAGTTCCAGAAAATAAAAATAAAAACAATAGTAGACCTGTTTTTGAACAAATACAGTAGCTCTTTGTAACCGAAAGTCCATGTGAAATAAGCTGTGCGTGAGAGTTACATCCATTCTCATCTATAAACTACCAAATGTTTTTTTTTTTTTTTTTTTTTTTAATCCCCCGAAAAACATGTTAACAGGGTTCCACAGCACATCAGATTCAATGTACTTCATTCAAAATAAAGTATTGAAGTACTTCTTAACAATCTTGGCATCCTTTAGTACTCACCAAACAAATACAATAACAATTGACAACATTACTCAGTGGGTAATGTCGTCTACGTGTCTGGTTTCAGCATCAAAGGTTTGCAACAGTCAACCAAGCTGCTTCATCGATAGTTTTGACCCTTCATCAGAGTCCAAATTTGGAGTCAACTCTGGTATCTTCCTTTCAAAGCAGCACAAAAAACGTGCTCCAAGTAAAGCATGTACAAAGCACGTCACAGTCTGCACAAACAAGCAATCGCCTGTTTTTCCTTTCTTTTACTGTTATTGAAAGACTTTTGTCTATGCTACTAGAGCGATGAGAAACACTAGTTTCTGGCACCAACCTAAGCTGTAAAATTTAGTGCTTGCCAGTACCCCATCTGAGCTAACTGCGAAAGCATTTTGATGTTGGGCAGTGTACAAGCACGAATAAGGCAATAACAATAAAGCTAATAAATATAAATTGTTCCTGGGATGTAACAACATAATATTTAGGCCCACAAATATTAAGCCGCAAGCAGCAATACTATACTGATTCAGATATTTGCATATGTGTACAACCGACTGCATTACGGCTGCTTACAAGCGCTTATGAGACGCTATTACAGGTAGCTACAGCAACCGAAGTCTGCGCAGCGCATTGCAGTAGAATGCAAGGAGTCGTAACACAGTTGGTTATGGTCAAACGCAAATGTCTGGACCTGCCTCAACAATCCCTGAAAAGGCACTAGAAGTACTACCCGATGTTTGCGAGGAAAAAGTGCCCTCTATTTCTCACCGCAAAAAATAAACTATGCTTTGCCAAATGCTCAGACTCTGTTCAAACGTAGCATTAGCAGTTGGAGCCAGATGCCAAATTTTAAGAACTTACTGTAACCACAATCAAAAGTTATATAAGCTATTTTGGGAAATTTTTTTTATGAGAAAATGGGGTTCCTTCTTGTTAGCAGATGGCATTTATCTCCATGTATTTTTAGGCTTTATTGGTCGCCATTTTTTCATTGAAAACTTTAGAAAATCACTTATTTAATCAGAACACAGTAAATTCTGAAACTTTGGCATATTTTTTGGAGGCAGAAACTACGCATTCGGCAATGCGTAGTTCACTGTTGCAACGATAAAAATACAGTTCTCTTTTCTTTCTTTTGAATACCTGGCATAAGCTTTATTTGAAGTACACCGGGAAACACTGACCGGGGGGCCGATGAAACTGGGGCGACTTTGGCGGGTGCGGCTCCAGAGGCCTCCGGAGGTAGCCCTGAGTCGGCTCCGCCGTCAAGTAGCTGTAGGCGTACACCCGGCTCAGGTCGCTCATCAGGGGGTCCTTGTTGTCCAGAAAGCTGCCGGGGCTGGATGACCGCGCATACTGTCCACGAGGAAAAGAAAGACCACTGTCCTCGGAAACCCCGCCACTCACGTGCAACAACTCATCTGGGGGCTTACGCGCTGGCCGCAGAATTCCCGCTCCGCATTTCAGGGTCATCATCCGAGCTACCTGTTGCCATAATGAATTAGCTAGGAAAGACCTGGACTTTTGTTTCGGTGATTTTAACTGCCTTGTGCTGAGTGAATTTGACCTTGTGAAATTTCTAAGTGCCTTCGTCCAGTAAAAAAACGAGACCAACAAACTTACCAGGGTCAACTGCGTTCGCAAACGACTCTGTAGTCCCCGAACGCGTTCGTTGCTGACCCGGGCAAGTCTGTTGGTCTCATTTTCCACAAGAATAGAGCTATGCTTTGAAATTCCACAAGGTGAAATCCACCACTAAAATTCACCCTTGATGAAAATTTTACATCAGTACCTGCAGGCACTGAGTTTTTCGAACCTTTTTAGAGTAAGCCTTCACATTTATAAGAATACTTCATGTCAATGAAAACTTGCGAGCAGATTAAACAAATAGCTCGCGATTCAAAAACTGTAACTTGGCCTCGAATATTTCTTAAATTTACTGCCGATACTGCGTGTAACATGAATCCTAGTTTGATGTAACCATTTGTACTTTCTCAATGGTCGCGAAGAGAGCTTCAATCTTGTCGTCAGTCACGAAGGGCGACACAACGAAGTCCGTCGTCCATCCATTCGACAAAATGTATAAACGGACGAAGTCGTCCGCATAGTCAATGCGTTCATTGAAAACAAGTGTACTCATTGATCGCGTTGGATAGAGGAAAAACAAATGCTGAGCGCATTTACCGACCGTGTTCAGACAGCCAACATGGCCTGTTATACTTCGTGCAGTATAGGCTGGAGAGAACTTTATTTTTCAATTTTGTTTTGACTCTCCACTTAGAATTCAGCCAACATGGCAAACATAGCTTGGAGTGGGCAGAACCAGAAGCAAGGCAGGTGTAGTATTTCATTTTTTGTTTGGTCAAGTCTACACTACCTAGATGGCGCCACTGACCATCATGTTCACCCCTCGCCCCAGATCATTTGCCTCTGCCCTCAAAGTGTGAGGCCCCGTGCTCCGGCCCTTCGAATAAACAGTATGGCTGAAACTTTTAACCGACTCGGATGTCCCTTTCTTTTCTGCATTGTGCCTCATCGGCTCGCGCCGTCTTCAGCATGTGAGATCTTCTTTGCTTCCCGCAGGCCCCAGTGGGCTCTGCGCCTCTCCCACTTTTATTCTGTGGAATTTCACTTTTCAAGGAAGGTGTATATTTCTTTTGCAACTTGCCCTAGTAGAGAGGCTTGTTGCAAATTAAATTCTACAGCAGGCCATCAAAAACGTTTCTCCTGCTTGCCGATAGATAGTGCCCAACATTTGTGGAAAAGGCCCATTGTCAACTAGCATGGGTAAGAAAAGGGCTGAGAAACCGGTGTTCATCAATTTTAACCAAAAAGCCTGTAGCAGCTCAGTGCAATAACCAGTGATACCATTATGAATTTTAAGGAAAGAAAAAAAATTCAGTTTTCACACTGAATTAGTACATTACGCACCCCAGACAGCTAGAATCCTGCCTGAGGGCTAGCGCTAGTGGTGATGGGATGGTTCAGTTTCAGGTCGTAATGTTACCTAGCCTTAAAGTTTGAAGCAATATGTGCAGAAAATGTTCCCATTTGTGATGAAAACCTTCCCCATTTGTAGCACGCGGCACTCATTCCCTCGTGCGAAACACTGCTCCTGTAGACAATTTTTAATTGTCACCTGTAACCTTGGATTCGGATGCCACTGCATTCTCAAACTTTCCGCATCTTATCATCCCTGCTACGGTCACCTTCAGACAAAATTTCCAGTTCTTGCAATGCATTGTTGATTAAGAGGATATAAAAAAAAACCAGTGAGGTTTTTGTGCTGCACACCCTGCAGCTCTTCCAAGATTTTAATGATAGAAAGCAAAAGAAATGCTGCTTTTGGACTCTTGTTAATGGAACATGCACAGCTCAGACATGTCGACTGCACTGTCAGATGAGCTGAAAAAATTTAAATCAGCATGCACCGAACAACTGGAATCTTTTTCAAAAACATATTGTAGCATGAGTCATGAACGTGCACAGTCATGCACACGCGCTACCGTGTTATGCGCAGTCGTTCTGCGCATCTTGTCATTGGTGCATCTGATCGTTGCTGTGTATATATTATTGTGTTCTGTTCAATAATTGGTCCTTCGTCACTTGACACACAAAAGTCTACACATATTACATCTGTAGTTTTCCCCTGTGACATTCCTAAATATGACCTACTCTGCTCCTCAAAAAAAAAAAAAATAACATCGGGATTGGGAAAGGCTCATTCTTTGTTATAAATTAAGACTTTGTCGGGAACACCGAAGGCGTAAAACTGACTTGATTTTGCAGAACTATGTTGTTATAAAAATAAATTACCTTTTATAAAATCCTTTTCACAGTAGCACTCTCCAAACAATCTGCTTTGTATATTGCAAAGAAACAAAAAAGCTGAACATGGTATTATTTTTCCAACAATAGATTGACTAAGCAATGTTGATGTGTCACTGATAGGAACTGTCATAGTTTTATTCACAATTAATATACGGCGTGTCCCCTCAAAACAGTTACAGCACTTTCGTGATTGAAAGAATGCACTATGCATTGCCGAATGCTCAGCCTCCGCCCCAATGCAGCGCCAGCAGTCCGGATCAGGTGTAAAAGTCTTAGAACTAATCATCATCTTATTCAAAAATTATAAGTGATTTTCTAAAAGCTTTTGTGGGAAAATGGGGCCCGTTCCCGGCAGATAATGCCATTCATCTCCTTGTATTCGTGGGCGTTGTCGGCCACCATTTTCCCATTGGAAATTTCCGAAAATCGCAAGTAATTTTCGAAGCAGTCAACGGCAAGCTCTGAAACTTTGGCATCTAGTCTGGACCACTAGCACTAGATTAGAGCGTAGACTGAGCATTTGGTGATGTGCAGTTTATTTTTGCAGCAACAAAACACCGTAAAGTTTTTCGGGGCCACTCTGGGGGGGGGGGGGGGGGGGGGGGGGGGGGGGGTACAGTGCTGAATCGTTTTTCTGCACTCTTTTTAGTATGACTAGCAGTTTACACTATTAACCCTTTGACAGTCGTCGCCATACATCTACGGCGGTGATCACACATTTGAAAGTGACCGCCTAAATGCGAAACTGCATGCACCGCGGGAAGCGTTGCTATTTGCTATGTTTTTGGCGAACTATAAACGTTACTCGCACCATGTTTCGCTTTCCTGGGTTATTTATAGTTTTCAAATTAGACACTGCGCACGTGACGCTCACTCCACCTACAGGCCGCTCTGGTGGTAGTGCCAAGGGAGCACTGTCTTTTCCGATTCAGACTTTCAACGCTTTTCGGAATGAAATTCCGAGGATGAGAGCTTGATCATTCGAAGGAGACGCTCTGTAAAGTACCTCCAGTTAGGAATCTGAGGCAGCTGGAATTTTGCAGAACAAGATGTGTTCAAATGAAGCCAAATGGAAGAGAAATGACAACTTTTCGCCTCCAATATTTTCATTTGATGCTTGTAAACCTACACAGCTTGCAAGCACTGTATTTGCTAGCGCTAGATAATTAAGAAAAAACCTGCACCTTGACCTTTCCTTTATACTATTCCTTTGGAGACAAAACCTGACCACTGGGAAACATCTTTTGGGGAAAAGAGCTTGAGCGTCAAAGGGTTAACTTAATTATTTTAAGCTAGGGGCTCAAACGTTGACCCTCCTAGGTAGTGTCATCTCTTAACTATAGCACAAGTGACGTACACTGCCGCGTCAAATAATCTCGAAAAAAACAAACAGTAAAATGCCCAGAAACTCCATCAATCAAAATGCTGGCACCCAAAAATGAAAGAGATGAGACAACCCAAATATTATGTAGATGCACATTGTGGAAAACATACTCCATTTCTAATATAGCTTCTATATTTTACTCTCATTATTTCTAGCCTTAACTTATCTGCAATCAGCTTAATTTGAAGAGGAGTTATAGATCACATGATGAAAGGTTATCAATATCTTATTATCACCTGTGGCTCCTTTCGTTGTTCAATTTGTTCTAGCTTTCTGACAAAACAAAAACAAACTGAAATGACTTGTGGTGCCATTTCTCGAGAAGTTCAAACGTGCAATAATTTCATTTTAAAGCTTTATGAGTACAGAGCTGCACTTTTCCACTTTACAAGGTGAAAAGAGCCACTAAAATACACCTTCCACAAAGATTCCAGCTCGTTTGGTGCAGACGTAGACTTCTCCCGACTCATCTAAAAGTGGTCAAAATACTCGAGCCATGCAATGTATATATATACACAGCTATAATAACATGCAACATCAAGCAGTATCAGGCATGCCGCACAAGCAGCCCAACCTTTTGCATGCAATTCTTGATGCAAAAAACCTTTGCAAAGAAGACAACCGAAAAAAATTAAACATTTATCAACGCTTGTTTTCGCTTCTAGGTGAGATACAAAAATTTAAAGAAAGAAAAGTATATACAAGGGTCTTATTTTTCTTCTCCAAACACAAGATTAAAGTTTGCTCGGAGTAATACTGCAATTGACTATACTATTCAGGAGTTCAATATTTTGCAACTTTGGCTCAGGTGAGAATTTAGGAACACTTCGCGAGCATTAAATTTTGCAAGACGGAAGACGCCAACGAAAATGCTGAGCACCATCAAAGGGTAGGGCTACAAAGTTTTGGTGAATGATCTGTAGTTATCCAGAAGTAAAAAAGGTGGATTAGCCATTACATTAAGCTGTCATTTCGCAATGTGCCAGAGAACATTTGAGTTCTAGCTAAACCATAACAAAAGTGTAAAACTAACAATAAAAAAAGGAGCACGTTGACAGGTTAAGGGGGGACACTGGCTAGAGGTCAAACTTTCGAACTACTGATGTGATCAAAATGAAATTTTCAGGGGAGATTTAGCTTC